GTATAATACAATAGGATACAATATGACACAGTATATGATAATATGATACAAAATTATATGTTAAGACATGATACGATATGATACAATATATGGTACAATATAACACAACACAATACGTTAAGACACAATATGACACAGTGTGATACAATAGGATAACCACCTGACACCACACAATACGAAACAATATACGATACATAAAGATATGATAGGATACAATATAACCACCTGACACCACACAATACGAAACAATATAATATGATGCAGTAGGATATGATACGAAACGATGTAATAAGATTCAATAGGATGATGTTTATTTAAACCTTTACTATGGTTTACAGGTCCAGTTATTCTTCTAATTTGTTGGAACTCACAAACAAAAACTATCTGAGCTGTAAGAATGAGTGCACAGCTTTTATAGATGTTACGGTATTTTTCTGAGTGCTGAGAGTTGATGGCATTTTAGAGAAAAGAATAAACACTAAAGGATCCATGAGGCTCCACAGACGCTGGTATGAGTAAGCAGAAAAGGACGGAGGAAATGCTTAACAATGTTTTAAGAACGTCTTAATTCATTTTGAGTATCAACAACTGACACTGGAAAAAGGTCGTTTAGAGTTTACAGCAAGTCATCTCACTGTTTGGGCTCCACACCAGGAAAGAAGTTCCTTTAGGAGCTCGAAACTAATAAGTAAATATCAGTGACAGCGGTGTAAGAGCTCTGTGACCCCCACAGAGGTCAACGTCTGTAATCCTTTTTTTTTTTCTGCGTCTGTCTTATGCAGCAGGGAGGGGACGTCTGCAGGGACCTGAATCAGACTAAATATCCTTCCTCACAATAGTCATCCCTGCTGTACAAACAGCCAGTGAGACAAATCCGATAGCAACACAACAATGAGGAGAAAAGTGAGTAATTCTTGAACTAATAATCAAACTTTGATGCCAGAGGCCGCTCTATCGTCATTCCCAAGCTCAGAAAAAAGCGGTTCAAACAGAACAGGCATCAAGGTGGTGCTTCAGCCCGTCTTTGAAGAAAATAACACAAGCAAACACAACAGGCCTGACCGGGAGGAAGCCGCTGCACGCAGCCTTTGACTTCAGGAATTTTCATTGTTTGACGGGAACAATTAATCCCCGTTCCTCCATGCTATTTAAAACACCTTTTTCAGCCCTGAGAGTCCTGCTTCAACACCACCGGAAGATCTGATCCTCTGTTTTTATGACCAAACCATCCATGGATTTTTAAAAACACTTTTATATTTACACCTCCAGGAAAAAAAAAACTCCTCTATCCAAAGAATAAATCGTTGATATCAGGCCTGGATGATGTTTTTGCATTTTAATTTGAACATGTTAAACTAATAGAATAATATCCTGTCTTTGGTTTTGACTTTTTTCTGCATGTTTGTCCAAAACACTTGAGTGAGACTGAGACAACCAAGTCTGTAACATAGACTCTCAACATTATGGCACCCCCTTGTGGATGACATACACACTAACACGCAGATGCCTTAAATAGTGTTGCTTGATTTATAAACTGGGAAAAGATATTCAGCAGTTTGGAGCATTAAAAGTCCTTAAATGGTGGATTTAATATAGCTCTTAAAAACCCACTCTCACAAAGAGAGGACTCAGATGACGCTCAAAATGCTGATTTAGCAAAACTAATGAATTCTTCTTTAATGATCCGCCATGGCGCCCTCAGGCGAGTTCTTACATCACCAGCACCTCGTGTTTTTTGTTGTCCATTAGTCTGAGAAGACTTTATATGTATGTGTGCGCATGGAGAGAGGGGAATTCCTGCTCTAAGAACAATCTACGAGATTTTTCCTGCTTCAACAAAAAAATACAAGAGGAAACTCATCCTTCACCGCGAGCCAAGTTTTTTTTTTCACTGTGAGCCGTTTAACCATTTACAGTCCCACTGTCCTAGACTGGGCCTCACTTATACCTCATCCTGAGGACAATGGGACTCAATTTAGATTTGTAGGAGTTACCTTAGATCATAAACCTCATTGTTCGTCTTTAATCAATAAAAATACATGGATTAAAAGTATTGGATTTGACTCTAGAGTCAGCTAATTGTGACTGATGGAGCTGAGGAAGGGCTGAGAGGTTTAAAGTTTATATACTTGTGAATTTACACAGTCATTCAGTGGATCGACACGGCTGTAGCACCTGGATGAGCCGAGTATGACGCAGCAAATTCATCCAGTTCAACTCTGGAAACAGTCAAATACTTTTGTACAATCCTCATTGTTCTCCAGTCTGTGTTTCATCATTCACAGTCTTAACCCCGGTGTAATATTACAGGGAAACAAAGAAATGAAGTGAATCATCAGGAACTGAAATAAACCACAGGGTCAAAGGTCATACCGACACGATGTTACTAAGGATTACATTTTACATCACGTGAGATTAAGGCAGGTTTGAAGCAAATATTGCACCACAGTTATAATAAGGGAGTCTTATGAGAGAAACATCTTTGATGAGGAAACAGGTGAAAGTTAATCTGACAGTAAAAGTGACGACATTATTGACTGAAACTCCTTAAACACCAACTTTGACTCGTCGTCTGTGTCTGAGTTTGATGAAGCCGAGGACAGAAAAGTCCATTTTTAACCGTCATGTCATGGCGGTCTTTGACAGCAGCAGCTTCCTCTGAACCAAAAATCCATAATCTATAATAATTTGACAGAAATATTTGCATATCTGAAGCTCTCAAACTCCTCCAGGTCCTCTCAGTTGATCATTCCCACAGACAGTCCTCTTCTTCTTCTCTCATCACCGATTTTATAAAGTTGTAAAGTCATTATCCCAGATTTATTTTTTCAGCCTACAGCTAAAAGACACTCAGGAAATCTTTGACTCCAATTTTAATCAACATTTAGAGCTTTTTCTTTTCTTTTATTGTTTTAATTATTAATTAATACGAAAGATAAATACGAGCAAAACGAGAGCGAGAGAGAATTTCCCACACATAGAGTTTATATTAGTGTCATAGTTGGTTATCATTCATCGTCTGTAACAGAAGCTGCTGTAAAGCTGTAAAAATGTTGTAAACTGTTATAAAATGCATGATAATAAATCCTGATCATGTAAACTATGAGGTTAAAGTAGACTGTGGGTAAACGTTCCCACTGGGTTTTTGTGTTTTTTGATTCATCTGTGGTCATAGTTTGGGTTAAACACCATTACTATTTTAACAGTTAATAACTTTACTGGATAATTATTAAAGATATCTTTCATTTAAATCCAAAATTAGTAAAAATGAGAGTTTCAGATTTATCAACAATGCCAGTGCTTCAAGTACAAATGACGCCTCTTTTTCCATGAACATTTACTGGTTTTAGATTTTCAGAAATTCCCCATCTGCAGTAAAATTTAAAGATATCTGTTTAAGATTTTCCCCTGAGGAGAAATGTCCATGTCAGATCTCTACAATCGGATTACTTCATAATCTAAATCTCTCATATCAAATCTTTAAAGTTCATGCTGTGTGTGTGTATGTAATTCAGTTTGGAAAATCCAAAACTGAGGTCTCTGTGATGAAGATTATCTAACAGTGAATTATTCATAAGAGCTATAAGGAAACTTAATATTGAACCAACTGGAGAAAAACAGTTAAAGGACCAGTCTTGGGAAAAGGATCAAGAGTCTAAATCTAAAGTGTTTTTGGTAAACTGACTGCAGGTGGGACAGACCAGGATAAACATGGGTTAGTTTTATATTCACGTCCTGATGGCTGTCATAGACATGTTTGACCTCCACAGTAAGGTGCTGCTTTGGTGAGTTTATTTATAATCCCCCCTCTAAACCCAGCTCAGTCTCAGCAGGTGACGGTCTAACATGAGTTTGGTTCTGTTCGAGGGTTCTGCCTGTTGAAGGAACTTCCTCCTCTCCACTGTAACTTCCTGCATGCTGGAACCATAGACTGTATCTAGAATAGACGCAGTCTGCCTGAGTGAATACACTCTGAGAACAGCGCCCTCTGGTGACGGGCTGCAGTATCGGTCATAAACCCCGCCTCTTTATGGAGCTGTGGACAAACTTTATAAATGAATGTCACAGAATATAAATGTTTCTCCCCCCTGGTTGTGATGTTGACATGTAGTTACTGTCAGACTGGTTTGTGCTCAAGTCCTCTTTTTTCTGTACAGCTCCATTTTTAAAAGTTATAAGGGGGTTCATGTTTTCTATGATTGACACCTGATACAGCCAATGGGAGGACAGAGATTGAGTAGATCACCTGGGGGACTCTCGGCTAAATCCGTATACAGGCGGGAGGCGGAACCAAGTTGTCTATAGTAAATACAGTCTATCGCTGCAGCATGTTAAACCCATGTGGTTGAAGATGGGATGGGAGCGGATCTTAACAGTGAAGAGTCTTAAGATAACACTTATTGTGAATTGCCACTATTTAAATACAGATTGTTTGATCGATTGATTGATTATTTAAATTGATTAGTGCTTCTTGTGACTCTATGCAGGTTTTATTAGTCCAGGATTATCTACTCTCAGGAAGATCATGATGATTCAAACACTGATTTGTACCCCAGTAGTAGGACTTTGGACAAGATCTATGTGGGAAAAATAACGCAAAAATACTGGTATGACTGACATATGCTTTTTTTTTTAACCTTCTAAATCGTCTTTAATGCTTTTTACCTCCTGTACTGTTTGTTATGTAACTGTATTTTATTTTATTTTACTTTATTTTATGATGTATGGCAGTGTGTTAAATGTCTGTGCTGAGTGAAGTGCAGAGTATGAACATGTCTAGATGACTCCTGCTGGTTTTTAGTTTTCATTTTCTCATAAATTTGGTGATATCAGTTTAGTGAGTTCAACAGAAAATAGTAAAATTGTAGAAAAACATTAGAAATGAATGGACAGTACAATTAAAGTGCTTTTTAAAACTGTATTTGGGTCAAAAAGAAAACCGTCATCGAAACTGGAGGAAGGAGAAAACATGTCCCCACGTATAAAACCACTGTGCAGGGATGACAGTGCGTTTGACTTTCTTCTCTGTCACGGTGAGTTGACAGTATTTTGTAATTACGCTCTCTTGTGAACACTTCCTTTGCTCTCTGCCTTATTGAAAAGCATGACGGACTCCTCTGAACAGGGACAGTCGCTGCATAAATGTTCCATTAAAATATTCATGTTTTATTTTCACACCATTACATCTGCTGATATCATGTCAACATCTCTTTGGACAGTTTGTTCCCGTGTTACCTCCGTTATTACATTAATATCACACAGTGTGCCTGGCTGGGAGCCCATAACATGTCTTTAGGGATTAAGTGAGATGATACAGCGCTCATGCTGATGCTGTGAGCGAGGTGTCGAGGGAGCCATGAAAGAGCGAATAATTAACTCAGGGGCCAACCAAATAAGTCATATTCTGATCAATTATTCAGTGTTTGTGGGCCTTTGAATGTGCCCCCATGCTCATGTTACAGGAAGCACAATAGCGTCTCATTGAAACATTAGCATTTTATAGCCGTCCCTTTTATTATGCCCAGCCATTTTCCATGTGGAGACTCAGCGTGGGTCCAGAGCTTCTGCAGCATCGTATGTGATATTATGGAAACAGCTTAGGGGTGATGAATTATAGTGAGACATGAAGGCAATAACAAATGAAACAGGAGAGTCATTCAATGAAAATTATAAAAACAGAAACTAATAACATCCATGTTATAGTTGAGTAAATGAGCATTCACGCTGTGAGCCTAATGAATATTAAACATTAAAAGGTACATGCAAGGTCAGTATGTGTAGGGTAAATGCACATTAGTCTTTATTAAGTCTTAATAAGTTATTGTTTGTTTTTGTGGTGTGTACTTTAAGTTTTACCTGTTTCAGGGTTTATTAGAAGAATAGATATTGCATGCACCAAAATATCTCTAATGCAGGGGTGTGACTTATGCAGAGGAGGAAAGGAGGCCATAATGTTTCTGTGCACACAGACTCACCAGTGAATATCAATTTTTACCCTTTTATTTACTCATCTTTTAAATTTCACATTCCTATTGTCTGGTAAGGTATCACAGGGATGTTTTATTTCTGTGTAAAATATTTCTATTTCTATACAAAACTCTACTGTAACAGTAGAGAAGCAATTATCTTCCACTCTTAAAGGTACGGTGTATTATATTTAGCAGCATTTAGCAGAACAGACTTGGTAGTAGGCGAATAAAATAATTTAGAAGTATGGTTAAATTAGCGCACAATCCCCTGAATATAAAAATCATTTTAATTTGAAATGAACTCTTAGTATCCCACAAGTGCAGGTAGAGGACACCATCTTGTATCGCCATGTTTCTACCATATGACAAATGAAGTCTCACACATGTATCACAGGAGTTTCTCATCAACGAAGGACAGTTGAGTTTTAATCAAGTAGCTGTACATTAGATAAATGTCCAAAATTACAGTCTGAATAAATTAAAAAAGTTGCAGAAAAATATTTCAAGTCAGTGATTTTTTTTTTACAGTGTGAAGCTCTGCATAGGTTAACTTGCATTTTTTGCCTTTGTTAGTGAAATATTAGTGAACTCATGAAATTTGTGACAACCTCCATAGGTGGACATTTCTTAAATGGACGTCATGTGTTCTGAAAAGGCAGAAACTACAGCACTGATTGGAGACAAAACAAGTGAGAGAAGTTAGATTCTATAAACTGAAAGTAAATCCAAGGCTGTACCAAAACAGGTGGGACCTGACTGATAAAATCTCATTTTAATTATGGAGAGACTTAAAAACTCATGAGAGGGGGAGCAGAATTAGATCCAACAAGACTTAAAAAATGACATGATGATAGCTTTGAACATTTTTGATTCATCCAGAAACCATGTTTTTCTTTTACATGAGACTTGTTTTTGTATAATCTGGCAGAATTCTCAGTATAATCAGACAAAGGTGACAGTCTTGTAAATCACAGGTGTCAGTGCTGTTATAATCTTTTAATGTCTTGTTCACACACTGTGGAGAGATAGCGTCATGTCATTTGTCCCAACTGTGTATCTCCTGCCAGGACCAGTGCGACAGTGCGTTGGCTGTTCATTCACTCTCAGCTGGTAATGTTTCAGACTTTTGCATGTGTGTTTTGTGTACTCATGTTGTTTCTGTATTCCCAGCAGCATCTTCCTCACGGTGGGGACTGTTTGCCCACGTTGGCCGCTGTAAAAACTGTCTTAATGTAAATCCCCCCAAAGTAGGTCAAGGAAACAGATCAAAGATAAAGAGAGTTTAAAAAGAAAAAAGAAAAAGTTGGAGAAGGACGGCTAAGACGCCTGGGACACTAATGCTTTTTACGGGTGCTGAACCTGACCTTTGACCTTCCTTTGGGACACAAGAAAGGGGGATTTGATAGGAGGCACTAAATTATAACAGACCTCTTCGGTCTTCTAATGCTAACTGCAGGACTGCCAAGTTTCAGAAAATGACAAGAGTGAGACTTAAGCGTTATGATGACCTGATCAACTTACCCCGTGTATGGGGTAAATTGACCATAGGAGCGGGGTAAGTTGAGCCATATCCCTACTCACCTTCTCTCTCCCTAAATAACAGTCGCTTCTTCACATTCAGGTGTATTTTTTGGTGTAAAAATCACATTTTGCTGATTTTTTGTACCTTTAGTTTTGAGTCTACAAAGTCGAGACTCAAAACTAAAATCTCCTCGACTTTGGAACGACCTGCCAGAGGAGATAAGGCGAACAGAGACAGATGCTTCTTTTAAGTCAAGTTTAAAAACTCACTTTTACAAACTCGCTTTTATGTGATGCCGTCTTTTCTCTTTTTTCCCTTTTTTCTTTCATCTTTAATCTCTTTTACCTGTTTTATCTTATTTCGACTTACTATCCTTTTAGCTTTTGTTTTACTTAAAATCTTTTCTTATTTTACCTTTTAGGCCCTTTATTGATTTTATTGTTTTTTTCCTGTTCATTTTATTTTTCCATTGTATCATTAATATTACCATCATTATTATTTTATGATCATTATTAATATCGTCTTTTATGTTGTAGGGTTCTTGTAATGTCTGGGTTTCTTATGAAAAATGAAATTGGCCTTTAATTTGGAGGTTTTTAACTGAGCTTTTGTTTTTATTTGTTTTTATTTTCATGTGCTGATGTTCTGTGCTTTGCAAACTTCTGTTTTTAAAAGTGCTATAAAAATAAAGTTATTATTATTATTATTACTTTCTCAGTTACCCCTGAACTACTATGACGACTTTATTAGTCCTCCAAGCTAAAATGGTGGACTTTTAGGTTTTTGACCTCATGTTGTAGCTCATAGATACCACAACTGATGCATAAAACGATTTAAAATGATCTTTTTTGTTCTGAACACAATTCTAATCAAACTGATGACAGACTAAATTCACTTTACAGAGTGAAAAATGTTTTTTTTTGTAAATAAATGTCTAACCCCTTCACCCATGTGCTTCGAACCTTCACTGACTCCATGAATTTATGACCATCTCCTAAATATTTGGTCACATGATCAATTTCTTTGACCGTTTACAAGCAACAACTTACTCAACTTACCCTTTGGCTCATCTGACCCCAGTCTCCCCTATAAAATAAACATTTTAAATCTGTAAACTTCCGTTAACTTCAACACAGCACGAGCGTTAATCCTCTGTCACCATGGAGATAAGGACAGCGGTCGCCACTTGACAGGCGCGTGGAGCAGAGGACAAGAAGGGGCGGGGTGGGGGGGAGTGGGGAGGGTTCTGTTGATTGGCAGCAGAAGAGGCGGGGTCCCAGCTCATACTCTGCTCTCATTGGCCGATATGGAGTCACGTTACCAGTTTGGAATGCAAATGAAAAGAGTTGGTTGGTCCCGCCCCTGCTGCTCTGCTCTTTAGCTGCTGCTGCTCTGTCGGATCCATGCAGAACCACGGTCCAGAAATGGTGTAGAAGAACCGGGAAAACAGCGAGAAAGAGGAGCGAGGCTGCGGGATAATCACGAAGAAGGTGAGGCGGTGTTGTCCCGGTTCTCTCTTTTGGCGGGCGGTGTTAACGGCTGGCACGAGCGCCTCTGTTTGTGTGTATCGGAACGCGCGAGGTTAAACGGTCGCAGTAGCTAACGCTTTTTTCTTCCCGGGGCCCCGACACAGCAGCAGTATCTGTGTTTTCAGAGGGATTTCTAACGTTGTCGTTAGTTTCACGGTGAAGTTTGAGTCCGCAGGGCCTCGTTTGATTCGGGGAAAACAGATGTGCCATCACGGATAACAACAACAAGAGTAGAGCTAACGTTAGCTGGTGTTGTAACGGAATTCAGTGTCAGTTATCATGAAGAAATCAGCTCTAAATGTTATAGAGACTGTTATTATTCTCTTCAGAGCAGAAACTGCATCCATTTTAACTCGTGTGTTCTTCTCTAACCTAACCAGCTCTGGTTAAAGTTATCCAGGTGCTCCTCTCAGAGAACTTGGCTCCCTCAGGTCCTGACCTCCTCCTGCTCCTCCTCCTCAGAGAAAGAGGAGTTCCTTATTTTGACAGTGAGGAGGAGGATGGCCCCTCTGCTCCTTCAGGAGGGTTGACTTGGCCCTACAGTGACCCAGATCCCTGTAAAGTCAAACCTCAGTGTTGGTGGAGCTCCACTTTGTTTCATCTGCTTGGATAGAGACAGTGTCATGGATTACACAGATAGCAGCTTATTTTTAACTCTATGTTTGAGGTTTTATTCAGTGAAAATCACACAGAGTACAGTTATTTATATGCTATGAAATACACATATCAATCAACACAGTTCAACTCTGATTTACTCTTCAGCCATCTCTTAAATCGCGTAAAATTAATTTAGGGTCAAACACACCGTAACACCGAGTTAGACCCCCCCTCCAGAGATGAATGTTGCCGACCGCTTGCTTCTCTAGTTATACCAACTTTAGTAACGACCGCAGGATAGCAATACAGAGAGCCATGCGCTCAACCAAAACGCCACTCTATAGCCACAAATAATGCTCAGAACAGCACCTAACTTCATCAACAGGACATATAGGGTCACAGACATAGTACTAGACACCAAACATCTTTTTAACTTTGACTCATTTCTTTAGCAAAGAGACTAAACACAACTCACCTACTCTCTTCCAGCAGATGCTTGTTCGTAGCGAGACCTCAGGCCAGTCCATTACGGACTACAGCGGGGTGCCGCAGCTCAAGGAAGAACATTTATGATCATTTCTTTATCATTTCCTTGAAGTAATAATCACCATATTAATCATTTTACAGACGCGGTAGTTCTTCTGTCTTAGCGTCTCGGTCTGATTGTATTTCCATGAAGAAATGATCATAAATGAAACTCAGTTAGGATCTATGATGTCGACTGATCTTGTAGATACTCTGACTGCCTCGTCTGAGAGCCTGTAAAGAGGATCCGGGGCTGTGGTCTGCTGCTAAAGCATCTGAAAACTGATCTGATAAAAATCTCAAACAAGCTTTCAGATCTGAGTAGGCTGTTTCTTTGTACAGGATTTTTTGTCTGTTATTTTCAGGGCCTGGTTGTGTAGCGATGAAAGGTTTTTGGTTCTTGAATCCTCATTAGGGACCGGCATCTGGAGCAAAAACCAGTTCATGGAGTAGTCAGCCTCCCTCCCCTTCAGCAGGGGGCCTCACTCTTTGGGTATAGTTGCTGGTTTTACTCGGTCAAATTAACATTCAGCTTCAGTTATTTACAAATGTTTTACTCTCTGAATTTTTGGATGGGTGGAAAAGTCTCTGCCATCGTCTGCTCTTCCTTATCTTACAGAACCACAGCGGTTTGACCAGCATTCAGGCTTTCTGCTGATATTATGTCATTGACTCTGTGGTAGTTGTACTGCATTACAACTGGACCCCAGATGGGATCAGAGCTGCATGAACTATATTGTTTTTGTAATTTATAAATCATCAACTTTGGAAAAGCCAGAGTGATTCCTCATTTTTAGTCCTTACAGTCATACAACATGTAAAAGGGAAGGAAGTCAAAGGATACATGAATATTTTGGTTGATATACTGTAATACCTAATGAAGGTAAAACAATCAGGTTATCAAGTTTAAATATTTTTTTTTAAAGTTGTGCTGTGTTTAAGTTTGTCTACAGTACAGGTCCAAAAAGGAGTAGATGATCAAAAGGAGACAACAGAGGGGCCCCGAAGAGATAAAATAAACATCAGGAACAAACGATAGAGAAACTTGTGCACACTGAAAGATGAACAGGTCAGACTAAAGTGAAATTAAACCAGTCGGTCGGTACTTGGCGAACGTTTCTCCAGACTGAAATCTCAGGTTTCCTTCAGGTGACTTTCTTCTTGTTCAGACTCTCCTGTAGTTAAATCTGGTGTGTTCAGTTCTGTAGTCTTAGAGAGAAACAGGCTGGTGTGGTTACTTCTCCATCACAATCATTCTTTCCTGTTATTGATTTTATTTATTGATAGACACTTTTTTCAGGGTCTCTCAGCTGTTTTTTTAGTTTGTTTGCTGTGAAGGATATCAGATAAAGTCTGTTTGGAGGGAAGAAGTCGGTTCTTTTCCTGATGATATGTTGAAGAGTCAGTTTTGAGTTTTTGGCCTCTGTCACTCAGAGGTGGTCCTCCCCCCAGCTCTCTCTCACTGAATGAGACTCTAATTGAAGTCATTTTGTGCTTATCGAACATGTATGTCCTGCAGCCATATTGAGAGTTTCCTATTCTTCTTTAATGTGCAGTATTATTAACCCTTCTTTAAACGAGATCCCTGCCCTTTTCTTCAGGCCTGCAGTTGTTGCCTGTGGTTCGGCTCTCCTCCTCATTATCTGTTTGCTTCCTTCTTAAAAGGGTCAGATCATGGCCGGTTATTTGCTGGTTCCTGGAATAAAAACCAGCCTCAGGCTTACTAGAGAGCCTCAGATATTTGACTCCAGGCGGCAGGGTTAATTAGGGGATGCTTGCTTTAACCAATTAATAGCATGGCAGGCAATTATAATAAAATATAGCGCCCCCTTTAAACCTGAGATCACACAGCCTGGGAAATTTTCTCCTGCATCTATTATCTCAGCTGACACCTGCTCTGATGCCTGGCATTCAATCAAATTAATTGTTTAGTGTTATGAAATATCTATTTGTTTATTTCACAGGCGGAGTTAGCGCCACATATCACAGTGATGTTTTGAATACATTAACATAGAAGGTGACTGAGGAGCTGCATTTGTCAGAAAACGTCTGAGGCATTATCTGCAGAATAGCTCAGCTGGATCTTCAGATCTTTTTGTCTTTTTGTGCAGAAACAACATACCTGCGAGTATTTTTCTTTGGCAGGATAAAAACCAGATGTGTTCTCATGTAAGAGCCAGCTCTAGACCCATCTACAGCAGACATTTCTGCTCATAGTCTCAGTAAATAATGTTTAAATTCTGATTTTAGGATTAGAATGAGAAAATATTTGTAATTCCAAATGCAAATGAGTCAACAAAAGCCAGACTGACATGGAAAACATCAGTTTCTACCTGCACAGTGATCAAAACAGCTCTGAGGTTGAATAGAGCAGAATTGTCTGTGTTGGAAAATCACCTGCTGACAGTCAGCGTGACACAGAGGAGCTTTTCAGAGATCCACCTGCTCGAAAGATCCGACAACAAAGATGTGTTTTTGTGATATTTTGCTTAAACAAACGTTGTATTTTCCTCCCAAAGTGAAGTAATCTCTGACAATATTTATTAGATCATCTTGAAACTGTTGTTTGTTGTCAGTTTACCTGCAAACTGGAATTTTAGTCAGCTGTAAAAAACAAGATTTAAAGTCTCTTAATGGAAACCTGCGTGAGTCATAGACATTTTATGGAAATGATAAGAGTTAGAATAAAAAAGACTTTTTACTTCTGAGGACTTTTTTTTTTTATGTGGCTGTAGGGTTGAGTGACCAGGAAGGGTCAAAGACCGTTTGACCCACTGACAGCTTCTGTATGGATTTAGTTGAACATGCTGATTGGTTTATCGAGTAGACCTTTGCATCTTCTTTGATTCTCATCTTTGTCGTTTTCTTTCGCTTCATCCGGGTCCGGATCACGGGGGCAACACCTCTAACGGGAGGCATCCAGAAGGCGTCCTAACCAGATGCCTGAGCCACCTCAGCTGACTCCTCTCGACGTGGAGGAGCAGCGGTTCTACTCTGAGCGCCTCCCGAGTGTCCGAGCTCCTTACCCTATCTCTAAGGCTGAGCCCGGACACCCTGAGGAGGAAACCCATTTCAGCCGCTTGTATCTGCGATCTTGTTCTTTCGGTCATTACCCAAAGTTCATGACCATAGGTGAGGATCGGCACGTAGATCGATCGGTGAATCGAGAACTGCCCCTACAAGAGCTGAAGGTCTACTTTGATTCTTTTCTGTTTTTTTACATTTCAGTTTTCGATCAGCTCGGTGATATAAAGGTCAGAGCAAATGATCACACTGGAAAAAAAAACACCTCATCTTTACTGTCATTATGTTCTCATGATGGCCTCATGCTGTTGGCAGTTTGGAGGCAATGCACCTTTAAGGTCAATCAATAAACTGACCTCATGACACGCTGTAAGTGAAAATCTATAGTTAGTATAACAAGGAAGAAATACACAACAAAGTACACAACAACACAATAATGAAAAAGAAAAATAGGGACAAATGGGTGATTATAACAGATATAAATGAAATTAAACTATGAAAATTTGAACTAAATAAAAGAACAATAACTAATGTGTCAGTTTTTAAAATTTGTCATTCATAGAAATTTAGCAGAGGCGTTGATCCTTGCAGACATCCTAAACAGTCCCCCTCTTCTTCTTCTTCTTCTTCTTCTTCTTCGAAGTTCTGAGTCACTCGTGACCCCGAAGCTCGTCTCGTGTCCTTGAATGAACTTCTGATGTCTGTCTGCTGGCTCTGATAGAAAACCAAAACACTCGGTTGTACTACAGCTCTACACTTTGTCGGTTTTTACCTGACCTATTTATTTTTTTCATCTTTGTGTGATTGACGCCTGAGAGCGATTCCTCTGAGACGACTTTGATTGAAAGTCTGGATTGAAGCCAGAATCTAATCTGCAAACCTCGCCAGAACAATTTAAGAGAGGTATTTATAGATCAGAGGGAGAATCTCTCGTTTATCTGTCTGACTGCTGCCCACTCTCTCTCTCTCTACTGTCCTGTCTGCTCCTCATGTGTTTATTTTCCGTGTTATTAACAGTCCCAGTGATCAGGAGCAGCGGTCTCGTACGGTAGTGTTCACCTCCGAGGCTTCAGGGCCCGGCTAAATCTAGCTTCACAGAAAAAGACTCCGGCTTACAGGGGAGGGTCAAGTGAAAGTGTTGTGTATCTGCGCAGCGTGAGTCTATGTGTTCTGGAACGGTTCACACACACACGCTCAGCACACTTAACCTGGAGAGCAGCCAGAGAGTCTTTGTGCGGGTCTACTCAGCTGTGGTGAGCAGGATCGGCCTGAATCGGATGTCTCTATTACACAGACCCCAGCAATCTGGCCTCTGGATCAGAGTCTATCTCTGTCTTACATACTCCAACAAAAGCACTGACCTGTTTGCTCTGTTTGGACAAGACTCATCAACCATCATTGTCCTCAGGGGATGACCCCCACACCACAGAGGAGGAGCAAAGGATGCTGGGACTGACTCTCACAGTCTAGGCTCATAGCAGGTCAGATCAGGCCTCGTCATCCATCAGGAATTAACCAGAAGGAGGCTGACGACGTCTTCTGTAAATGTCAAAATGGGCGTTCTGTTTAAACTGCCTTAGCCTGCTGCTTACTCTGCAAACTCTTTAACGACCTTCCTCCTCCTCCTACTCCTCCACCTCCTCCACCCAGTCCTTTTTTTAACAGTATAACAGCCTTGTATGTGTTATTATGATCGAAGCCTGCTTTGTTCTGGACCCTGGGGGTCTATGCTGCTGCTCTCCCTGCCTCAGGCTTTGGCATTTCTCATATCCAATCAAATCTGCTTTATTAATATATCACATTTTAAATACATTCAAGTTTATCAAAGAGCTGCACAGTAAAATATAAAGAGCAAACGCTGCAGAAAACATGAGAGAGGAATAAATAAAAGCATAAAAGAAATAAAATTGATAAAAGGACCATAAAAGTACAGAGATCACACAACTCTAATACTGAACTAAAAGCCAAGGAATAAAAATGAGTTGTAAGACGTGATTTAAAGTTGGAAAGCTTGGGGGATGTTTTAATCTTGATTCGTTCCACAATTTGGGAGCCAGCTGAGAAAGCTCGGTCACCAGGGGTTTCAGGAGTTGGAGCTGATCAGCTGACAGGGAACGTGGGGGGGTATAAACATTTAAGAGATCAGAGATGTACTGTGGTTCTGATCTGTTTAAAGATTTAAAAACAAATGGTAACATTTTAAAATTAATTCTAAAATTAAAGCGAAGCCAATGGAGGGACACCAGAATAGGTTTACCTGTTAAAATATGTGGATGTAAAAGGTTTCCCTCAGAACAAAGTCATACTCCTGTTATTTAACTTAATGCATGCAAAGAATTGACTCCCCCTGATTTAAACTGCATTAAAGAGGTATCATGGACTCAGCTGGTAATAATGTTTACAACATAAATGAGTCAGCAGCTAGATAACAGAAACTGTCGTTTAAGTATCAGTATGTACTTAATATTTGTTCACCCATCAAACTGCTTTTTGATATCGCAATATTGAACTTTGTGATCACACATAAACATTTTTCTCTTTTCTATATAATCAACATAAGAGATTATTTATTTATTTATTTGTACTTTTGTTTGTTTGTTTGTTTGTCATAGGAAAGTAAACCTTAAGTCTTTATTAATAGTAATAGAAAAAAAAACTAATGTTAATTTTTACCTCTTTATACATGCATATAAATCACTCCACATTGATGTATCTGTCTGTAAATATCCAAATACTGTGCAGCCCTAAATTTCAGACTATAAACAGAATAATCATCAGTCACAGTAGTTACCTTAGGCATCAACAATAGTCCCTTATCAGTGTAGTTTTTTCATTCAACTGTGCGCCAACAAAATAAAATGATTTAATGTTTTTGAAACCCTTAACCTTTGAGCTCCTCACAGTAGGTCTAAAACTGCCTGTAGGGGTCAGCTAATACTGTAATTTTCAGGGACTGATACCAATACCCTTAAATTACTACTATCACTAATACTATTAAATTAGTAATATTTTTTACTTTAATAAATTAATTCTATCATCCATCTGTGAAATTATTGTCCAATATTGATGGGCAGCGTATTGCCAAATTTCCCCCTGATAATCAGTCGACCCCCGACTCTCCAGTCCTTCACATGTCTGTCAGTTTAGCACCTTTAACTGCACAGCTCACCTCTTCTTCTTCTGCATGCTGCATATAAATAGTTGTATTATTCAGATTCATACGTTGGACTAATAGAAGTCTCCTCGCCTATAAAGAGAGGATGGCTGATCTTCCACTTAGCCCACCTTAAAAACGACCAGCCTGAACGCTCTGTGGTGTCCATAAAGTTTGATGAGTCTGGTAGACAGATGTTCATCTCTCCTGAGTGAATGTAAATGTTCTCAACAAACACTAATTGAAACCAGGCTGACAAAAAACAACCCTAATGAATACATGGAGACCCTCAGAGGGAAAAGGGGGTTTCCTGTTAGAAATGGTGGTGCTGTTTTATCTGTGGACTAAAGTTATTTCTGCATAATTTGATTTAAAGCCTCAATTGACATTTTTAAAAGAAATGTTTTCATGGAGAACTTTTCAGAGGATCAGGATGATGGTGTTTTGTTTTAGCAGAAAGATTCATACGGAGTAAAGTTCATTTTTCTGAGTTTGTCAGGAATTCGTCTTCTTTGTTTTTGTTGATAATCGCCGTTTTGAACAGAAGGCGGGTCTACTGACCAGCCTGGACTCCACTGAGACCCCTCTCTGTTTGTTGAAGGATATCACAGCAGTTTAAAGGTCCAGACCCTGAAGATGCTCCGGCTCATCATCAAACTAAGCCCCCCCCCCATTCCTGTTCCTCCTTATTTTGACCCCCATCTGCTGCACACCGCTCTGTTAGCCAAATACGACGACACTCAAGGCCTGCTGTGCACCGCCAGCTAATCTATATGCTAATGAGAAGATAATAATCAATGAGGTTCATGCATGGTTGGCCCCAATCAATACCACATCCCAGCGCCAAATGATTCAATTGGCTACATTTCATCCAGGCAGACGTTTGGGTGGCGTGTTAACGTGGCGGGGTGGACCATCAGTATGTTATTATCCTCTGGTTATATCTGCTCTGTCCCACAGAAACCATTAAAGAGGGTCTGGGTTCGACTGTACAGCTATGAGAGGATCATCATCTAAGGCTGCGTGATATTGAAAAAAATAACACTGCAGTTTTTTTCAACCCTGTGATATTAAAAAATCGAGGAATTTTCAGCAGATGATCTGAATCTGACTTTCTGCTGAAATCTTGAGGACAGTTAATCTGCTCTGATCTTCCCTCTTTTAGTGAATGTTAGTAGAATGAGACTCTGAGACTGTCTGTCTCAGAGATATTTTTAGTTTTTATTGTTCTGGGACGTTATTGTGGAAACAGATGAACACAGAACTCGTGTTTTAGTCGACATCATCCTTCGTGTAACAGAAATAATTCCAGATAACTGACGTTGCTTTTCTTTTTGGCACCAAGTCTTCATCTTCGATGGTTTTCTTTTGTTCGTTTCTCATTTTGCAACCGGTGTTGTGCCGAGAAACGCATGTTCGCCGAGAATAGCATCCACCTCGCAGAAACGCACCGCTTATGGTAGAGTGGTCCACGGTAATGTACAATTTAAAACCATAGACTGTATCTAGAATAGACGCGGTCTGCCTCAAGAACAGCGCCCTCTGGTGACGGGCTGCAGTATAGGTCATAAACCCCGCCTCCTTATGGAGCTGTGGACAAACTTTATAAATGAATGACACAGAATATAAATGTTTCTCCCCCCTGGTTGTGATGTTGACATGTAGTCTTAGGTTGGTTCTTGATCATCAAACAGTGAGCGTGGTCTAGACCTGCTCTTGTTCCTTGAAAAACGTCTTGAGATGACGACTGTTGTGAATTGGCGCTATATAAATAAAATTTGATTGATTGATTGATTGATTGATTGATTGATTGATTGATTAATAGTTACTGTCAGACTGGTTTGTGCTCAAGTCCTCTTTTTTCTGTACAGCTCCATTTTTAAAAGTTATTAGGGGGTTCATGTTTTCTATGATTGACACCTGATACAGCCTATGGGAGGACAGAGATTGAGTAGATCACCGGGGGATACGCTGTTTGAGCCGAGCGTCATCACAGCGACTCTCCCGCCGAATGCGAACAACGCTACTGTGCAATGTTGGTTTCAGGAAATGAAGAAAAATCGCTCCTTTCTGATTTTGATTGACAGCTGGCAGTGACTACCGCGCACACGTATATCGCCATGACAATGCTCAAACGATATATCGTGCAGCCCTATCATCATCTTCTTGAATTTCTGTTGTTTTGGATTTGATTTCCATACCTGCTGATGGGACGCTCTCCTGAATCTTCATCCTTTTTAGGTTGTGATTTGTTTGTGTGGGATATAACGGCGGAGTTTTGGCAGCATTAGTGTGAATTACATGAGAGAATTGGACTTTAAGTACCTCACATAGAGACCAATTACAGAGTAATGGGGATCATCTTCTTCTTCTTTACTCTCCTTATCCTCAATGACAGTCTTTTCCTCTAAATGGACAATGATTACCACCTTGCTGGTTGGATAATGGGTTAGTCAGGACAGAAGTCACCGCTCCTCCTGTCCTTTCACTGATGCTATGATTCAAAACCGGCTCTCCCAGAGGCGCAGTGGAGAAGATGGAGAATAAATGATGCTTCCTCCGGTATGAATGATGAAATGATGTGGACCTGCAGTTTTAAAGACCTGAATTGGAAACAGAGCCTTCAGCTTCACTCTTAAGATAACTAAATATATATATTATATTTAACTAAATGTATGTTGTGTTATTTCTGAGCTGTCATTTTAAAGGACTAGTCCAAAAAAACAACAACCTTAGTGTAGGAGGATCCATGCATCTTTAAAACATTCAGGCAGCAGGAGAGGGGGGGAGGGGAGACACGGTGTAAAATCATTACCATCATCTTCATTAGGGAGGATCCTGTCGGCCAATCAGCATGCTGCTCTGCACGGGGATTCCATAGGCACCCCGTTGGCTGTCGCTAGGATACCACATAATCAGGAGGCAGGCCGCGGCCTGGTTGGTGGAGTGGGGTGTTGATACTGGGACATCGAGCTCGCTGTGAGTTGGGGGTAGACCGGAGGGGGCTGAGGGGGTTTTGGATACGGCACAGGAACACGCTTGCACACGCTCAGTCATCATTCAGCCAGGCGGCCAGTCAGTCAGTCAGGAAGCAGCCAGACAAAGAGGAGCAACATCCTGCAGAAGGAGCGCACACTCCCGGGGGATGGGGCATCATACCCCTGCATCGCGCTGGGGGCGCAGGAGGAGGTAGGAGCATCAGGGTTTGGGGGCTTTGTCTCAGCAGCAGAGTTCCCCCTCTACACACACACACTTACACACACATAAACACACACATAAAAACACACATTTCTGCCTTTTAGAGCCGTTCTCACATAGAGATGGATCTGTGCAGCTGACTCGTGGTGTTTTTAATGTGGGTCATCAGTCTGAAGGATGGACACTGATGGAGGGGGGGGGTTGTCCTGCACTTCCTCTCTGTAGAGACAGCCAGTCTGTCTGACGGTCTTTTAACAGCTCTCATCCTCATCATCTTCATCATCCTGCAGGCGATGCAAATCCTCAACGCTCAAATCCTCACTAACTCTTTTTGCGGTCTTGTAACGGCAGCCTAAGAGGATCAATATGTCTTCTGTTGTGATGGTGAAAAGTGCTGAGATCATGTGGTTACGGCGTTGACGGGCTCTCTGTTGTTGTGATGGTGAAAAAGTGCTGAAATCATGTGGTCATGGCGGTGACGGGCTCCTCTGATGGGCTCTCAGACACTCTGGCTTCACCGCTCATCATCATCAGCAGCAGCACTCGCCAAAAACCGGGCTGAGAGCTCGGCTGTTGGTGTGGAGGAGGCAGAGGGGTTAAGGAGGACCGGAGTGTGTGTGTGTGTGTGTGTGTGGTGGGGTGGGGGGTGCTCTCTGATGGATGTCTGACTCCTCTACGAAGGACAGGGACTGAAGGCATCATTACCAGAGGGGATTCCCTCCCCTCTCCTCCTCCTCCTCCTCCCCCTCCTCCTCTCATGAGGAGACGATGGGGAGCAGACTGTGGGATGTAGGCTAATGACTGAAGAGGGCAGACCGGCTTTGGCAGCTTCAGGGCTTTGTTTACAACCAGGAGGCATCTCTGCTGGATCTGGTTCAGGACCCTGTGAGATCCAGTTTTAATATGGACCCGGTTCTGTTCAAATTTCCTGTTTTATTTCCTTTTTGGCTGAAATTTTAGTGTCATGGTGTTGGAGTCCATTAGATTAGCATGTTTGATAAATAAGAATTTACTAAATATTAAACAGATATCTGTGAATTAGAAGGAAAACGACCCCCCTGTTTTTTTTCTCTTTCTAATTAAAACATTTAAATATCAAACTGCTTTAAATGAAGCTTTTTAATCACAGAATTCTCAGTTTTTCTCTGTAAATTTACCCAAACGTTGATTTCTGAGCTCCCTGGGAAACAGCCGATCAGTTTTCTGGTTATTAAAAATTCATGGATGAAGAGGGAAGGAGACAAATGTTCAGGAAAGTCTGGTGTTGTCCTGGAAACTTCTGGACAGACTTTCTCAGTTTAATATCAGAGTTAATCCAGAGCAGGAGACGCTGCCGTCACATTAGAGATGGTTTCAGACTCTGGCTGATGTTTATGGAAGGTAGAAGTGAGAAAAGGCCGGACGCTGTAAACACGCCAACATCACACAGAAACACCTGCAGGCTTTACTTCACTGAAGATAACATCTGAAGTGATCTGGAATTAAAACTAGAGCAGAAATATGTGAACCTTTATAAATATACAACAGTAGTTCGTAGGGCTGTCCCAATAATGTTTTTTCACCTCCGATATGATACCGATATTGCAGCCTTAAATATCGGCCAATACCGATATCGATCCGATATCAGCACTCCACGGGTGATCTACTTTCATGACTTATTTTGTAGTGTGGAATTTTAGAGAAGGCTGCATCAAGTGATTTTACACAGAGAACAATAGTCAGCGACAGTAGTTTGGGAAAACTGACCCAAAACAACTAGAAGAATAAATAGAAATAAATTAGGAGGCTTTGAATAAAAGATAATAGAATGTAAACAAACTAAACGAATAACTCTGATAACAAGAGCAGAAAACAGTCAGTCAACTAAACTCCTGACTAAAGAATAACGAGGAAGAGGAGGAAATCGATGAAGAACTGCAGCATGGAGACGGCAGCATCACTTCTTCTTCTTCTTCTCTAATAACTTCCATCACACCCTCTTCTCCTCTGATTCGTTTAAAGCCCTCCACTCGCTCTCTCGACCTTCAAACCTCCCCTCCCTCTAACACACACACCTCTAACCTCAAGGCGAGAAATTCCATCCTCCCCGTTTTGGCCTCTCTTTTCAGCTCTGTTACATCAGCTGTCATGCTGTTTGAAGCCACACACACACACACACACACACACACACACACACACACACACACACACACACACACTAATCCCCCCCCACCACCACTAACATCTGAAGTTCCTGATTAAGCTTTGCTCTTTTCCTTTTCCTCGACAACACTTCCTCATGAATTTAGTTTTCTTGGCCATCTTCTTTCTCTCAGCGTATAAAAGATCCTCCTCTCCTCCCTTCCTCCTCTCCTCTCATCCTCTCCTCTCATCCTCCTCTCCTCTCATCCTCCCCTCCTCCTCTCCTCTCCTCTCCTCTCCTCCTCCTCCTTCTCAGTTTCATCTGAACCTCCTCCGTCTGTGTTAATGGAGAGCAGGAGCTCCAGGGGACGGAGGTTTTAAAGAGGTTTTTATTGGAGGAGCCTAAATCATGAACATGGAGGAGCCTCCACCTTCATGATCACGGTGAACAGTATAGAAATATATCATGTAGAAGTCTGTGATATTGGTTCTCTATAAAACTTACATAAGGAGGATTTTATGAGGAAGGATACGGAGCCTGTAAACGTGTTTCTTTATCGATATTTAGGAGGTTTTATTCAACTTTGTGCTGTTTGAGGAATTGAAAGGATATTAAGAGCAGACGTCCTTGTTAGATTCGGTCGAATATGTGTTTGTTTGTTTGTTTATGTGAGACGTTCCAGTGTGTAGGATGTTATTTAGGGAGTGTACTAACGTTAGTCAGCCTCCTGTCTTTTCTTCGTTTTCAGTGGGTTTATAATCTTCCTGAAAAGCTGTTTTGTGTTCGTCTCTTATTCACTTTGTTCTTCCATCCCTCAGTTTTTTTCAGACAGTGATAAACAGTTTTTTTTTGTATTTGGTCTCAGAGAGAAAGATTTTGGATCATTCTTCTTCTGCATTTAAAATATTTCTGCTTTGAAGTTTTGCATTAAAACAAGAAGATTTAAAACGTTCGTTTCTCAGTTTTAGAGGCTCGTGTCCCACAGCAAATTCATGTGAAGCAGAACTTTATTGAGCTAAAGTATGAAAGTGTGAATTTGACTGAATTTCTGTTTTTGTTTCTGTAACTGCGGTTACTCTGTATGAAGCCGTCAGACGACTGACTATATATATAAAAAAAAAAGGTTTCAAAATAGGATAAAATCAATCGACTTTAATAAACCTTTTAATAAATTGGTGATACACTTCTATGACATACATCAGCAATAACAACCACTGTCTATTTTCTATAAACAGTTTTTTTTTTCTTAGTCTTTGTTTAAAAATAATTATTTACTATTCAGTTAAAAAATCTGTCAGCTGATGGATCCACTGAGTTTTAAGAAATTACAGTAAAGGTGTAAAAACTTCAGGGAAAATTTTTATTTAATTATCCACAAAAGAACATTTCAGTGAGAAGACTCTACCACTGAGGTGCAGTTCTCATGATCCTCTAAATATTCACTGATTTAAATAATTAAACTGAGTCTAAGTTCTGTTTACATCCACCTCCTGCTCTGTAACTGTCTGATCTTTAGACAGTATTTATCAGATTCAAAGACACCCAAACAACAACAACTGTGGTAAAACACTCTGTTTGATCGTCTGTCAAAGTCTGAGTCATGTTGATGTTGACCTGAAGGCAGAAACTGTCTCCACTTCACTTTTTAAAAGCAGCAGAACAAGAGGGTTCATTTCTGTGAACATGAACCTTTTAACAGTCCAGTCGATGCTTTCACAGGAGGGGAGAGTACTTTCAGAGATCTGAACACCATCAGAGCGTGTCAGGGTCTGCAGGTTATCAGAGAGAGGAGCAGAGAGCGAGAAGAGATCATCTTTAACATCCATCTCAGAAGGAAGTCTTCTGAAGATAAAGACAGAGGTCTGAAAATAAGTCAGGATGACCCGCCCAGGTCTGACCGGTGTGTGTGTGTGTGGTGGTTACACTTTGAATATATGTGTGTGTGCTGTTTTCTCATTTGACTCTGCAGGCGTGGGTTCAGCTGTTTCTCTGCTTTCTCAGAGTCCTGGTCTTTCCTCAGTTTTGGGTTCAAAGAGGAGAAACAGTTTGGAGGAGGGATTCTCATGCACTCTTCCTCTTTTCCCTCCTCAGGCACAGGAGAGCCATTCAGAAGAGCCGGGGGTCAAAGGTGAGAAGAGCAGAGGGCACCATGGAGAGTGAGCCGGGGGCCCCTGCAGGGACCACCACCACCACCAACCCCACCACCGCCTCCACCTCCTCCTCTTCTCCTCCGAGCACCACAGCTGCAAGCAGTAGTACTACCTCCAACACTACTTCTACTACTACCACTACTACTTCTACCACTTCTGCAGCTGGCAGTAACAGCAGCAGTATTAGTAGTAGTGGTAACACTAGCAGTAGTTCCAGTAGTACTACTACAGCAGGCAGACAGGCAGCAGTGCCTCAGATCTCCGTTTACAGCGGGATACCTGACCGACAGACAGTCCAGGTGGGTTTAGTTTTCACTTCTGAGCTGCTCCTGAATCTATACCACATTATTCTCTCTAAACAAGTAACTAAACGCCTCGTTTATTTACTTTTAATGAAGAAATCATGTAATATGATAATAATAAATAAAATGTATTGTTATTAAAGGACATAATTTTCTCATTCAAAGTAAATAAACGAGGTATTTATCCTTCATTACGATACAGAAATGAGACAAAGTCAAATCATTTCTGAGGAAGGGTCCAAGTTGAAGGAATGCTTTCTGTGTTTAGTGCTCTTGACCTTTGACCCCAGCGTTAAGTCTCCACACAGGCTTACCCTCACCCTCAATGAGGTCCCTGACACTTGAGCGCTGAAGCTTTGACAGCGGGGTTTTTGGTCCTTTTCTTGTTCTCGGCCCGCTGACAGTTAAAAGGCAAACTCTGTTATTACCGAGACAAGCAGAGAGGTGGATCTACAGACCCTTTTCAGAAAATTAGAATATCAGTTTTTATTTGTTTTCATAATTCAACTCAAAAAGTCAAACTTCCATTGATTATAGATTCAGGGCCCACACCTTGAACGATTTCAAGTATTTATTTGTTAATTTTTACATAATTTGGGCTTCCAGCTCATAAACCCCACAGAAACAGGACTTTAAAAAATTAGAATTAGAATTAAAATTAGAAATTAGAATACTGTGAAGAAACCTGCCCAAATTTTGCAGGGCATGAATGTAGGGCTGAAACGATTCCTCGATTACCTCGATTACAAATAAGATCTCGTTTCTAAGCTCATATCGTCACAGTTTCGCACTGATTCTTTTAAAGGTGACACAACATGCTTCTGTCACCACGGTAGAAGGCGGAGTTAGCACCGTTTAGGTTTTAGGGAGCGGAAAAAATAAACAATGAGAGGGGCTTTTCTTACAGTGTTGCCAACCTGGCGACTTCGAGCGACTTTTACAGCAGCCACTAGTAACTTTCCTCACTGAGGAGTCGGCAACATTGTTTTCTTCTGCAGAGCTCCAGTCGCTCATTAGCGATTCACCTCTGAGTCGTGGGCGGAGTCAGCGCTGCTCTGCACACTCCTCCTCACTGTAGCTTGTAGCTTTACATTGCTGGTTTCGTAGCAGAAGCAGGTAACATGGAAGCTATTCAGCTCTCGGACACTAACGTCTTTAAGGACATGATGAAAGTTAATATCATAATTAACTTTCTTACGAACATTGCAGTCTGCTAACACACACGCTTGTTCCTCGATTGTCCTCTTTTTCTCCGAGTCTGGCCTTCACTGTGGGGCTGTAGGAGATCTAACTTTATGTGAGTCTGCCGTTTGGGTCAGTTACTCGAGTAATCGATAGAATATTCAGTAGAATACTCGATTACTGAAATATTCGATAGCTGCAGCTCTACATGAATGTTTTAAACTGAGCGTCACACGAATCATCTACTAAACTTAAAGCACCTGCACAGGTTTCTCCAGGTGTCTTTAAATTACTTCAGTTTGGTTCAATGTGGAGAAGACTGCTGTCCTTAAAACTGGTCAGAAGACCATCACTGATCCCCTCCTCAGAACGGGTCAGCCTCAAAGGTTCATAGCTGAGGAGGCTGACTGTTCACAGACTGCTGTGTTCAAACATATTCATGGAAAGTTTAGAGGAAGGGAAAAATGTGAGAGGAGAAGATGCAGCAGCAGAAGAGATGATCGTGGGCGAGTCGAGGATCTATCAGAGATCCAGAAAGAGTGGAATGAGGGGGGAGTCATAGCTTCAACAAAACCACCACATTCATCCGGGAGACGGACTACAACTGTCGGGTTCATCAGGTCAAACCACTTCAGACCCTGAGCCAACGTAGGAAACGTCTCAACTGGGCCAAGGAGAAGAAGAGCTGGACTGTTGGTCAGCGGTTCAAGGTCCTCTTCTCTGATGGAAGTTAAGTTTGGGAATCAAGGTCCAAGGGTTTGGAGGAAGACGGATGAGGAACAGAACCAAAGCTGCTTAAGGTCCAGTGTGAAATATCCACAGTCAGTCATGATTTGGGGTGAGGGCTGTCTGGGCTCCCCTCCTGAAGCTGCTGCCCCACGACCCGGACCCGCATAAGCGTAAGAAAACGATGACGACGATGTTTTAAATGGAGTAAATATTAAATTCAGATGAGACCTCCTGGTCCTGAGTGATTTATAGACTTTAGAGAGAAGATAAGAAGACCTCTGAGACTTCCTGTGTTCATGGTTATATTCATGAGCTGATGTGAAAAGGAAATGGACAAAGATTGAGAAGATGATAACCAGGACAAAGACGTAAACAGCTGTTTTTATTCTGGGGATGGATATTTGAAGGGCGGTGAGTGACAGTACGGTCTGAGCCAAGATGAGTGTTTGTGTTTGGAGTCGGTGATTCCAACGACTATCGAAGACACGTCATCATATCGACTTCCTGTGGTTATTCTGGTTTGTTGAAGGGGTTCCTGTCAGATCAGGGTTTCCTTTGAGACATCTGTTTATGAAGAGGTCGAGGTTAATCTGTGGCTTTAATTCTCTGTTTTTGTTTTTACCCAAATATGAAAATAGATTCCATCTCCTCTGGTGCGTGCTTCAGTTCACCCGCTCTGCCGCCTCTGTCTGTGTTTGCAGGTGTTTCAGCAGGCGTTACACAGACAGCCCAACACAGCAGCACAGTACCTGCAGCAGATGTACGCGGCCCAGCAGCAGCATCTGATGTTACAAACTGCAGCCCTGCAGCAGCAGCACAGCCTCAGCAACGCTCAGCTGCAGAGCCTGGTCAGCAGACGGTCATCTGTGTGAAAATCATTCTCAGAGTGTGAAGATAAAACCGAGAGGAAACACTAAACTTCTCTCTCTCTCTCTCGCCCGCCCGTCTGTCCTGTTTCAGGCCAGTATCGCAGCTGGAAGGCAAAGCTCCTCTCAGAACGGCACTTCATCTCAGCAGACAGGATCGACTCAGGCTACGGTCAGTGCAGTTTTTGACCTCTGTTTTTAAGTGACCCTCAGGTTTACGTTTCCTTTGTTTTTGAGATTATCATCCAACTGAGATTATCGAAGCACCAAGACGACTCTGAGGAACCGAGGAGTCTGCTCTCTGCTGCTTCTTCAATACGTCACACTCAGTTTGGAGTGATGGTATGACAGAGATCTTCCTCCTCCTCCTCATCCTCCTGTTGACGCTCTCTCTCCGCAGATCAACCTGACCACGTCTCCAGCAGCAGCTCAGCTGATCAGCCGAGCTCAGAGTATCAGTTCCACCCCCACCAGTATTTCCCAGCAGGCCGTTCTGCTGGGCAGCCCGTCCAGCTCCACGCTCACAGCCAGCCAGGCACAGATGTACCTGCGTGCACAGATGGTGAGACTGCACACACACACACACACACACACACACACACACACACACACACACACACACACACACACACACAGAGCACAGCCACCGGCACGTTTACATGAGTGTGCATATTTGCATACACACACACATAAATCAGTGCGCTGTGTTGTGTTGTGTTTTTTTCTCTGAACACTAATTGTGTGTTTTCAGATTAGTGCACGTACAGTGTGCACATGCTCCCTCTCTCTCTCTCCGCCTGCGGTGACTGGTGTTCTCTGTTAGAGAGGAGCTGATCAGGATAATCTGTTTCACCCTGCAGGGCTCACACACACACACACACACACACACACACACACACACACACACACACACACACACACACACACACACACACACACTTGAATTCCTTGAATGTTCATGAATTCTCAGAAAACGTTTCCTGGAGGTCGGAGTTTTGATTCTGCAGCTCTGGGTCCAGTTCTTGATAAAAACACTCACAGAGTCTTGGTGGAGTTATTTTAGTCCAGGCGGTTGTTGGTTAACTTGTCAGTTTTTATCTCCGTTCAGACGGACAGCTGGCACACACACACACACACACACACTGACTGTTCTTCCCACCTCATTATGACCAAGTACAAAGCTTTTTCAGATTCGTGTCATTCTCCTGACAGACTGGAAAACCACATCTGTCAGTTCAGATTGTCATGGCGCTTAAAACTGGTGTTCCCTCCTGGCAACAAATCAGTGCATGTACTGAGTAATGAAGGTGGAGTGTGAGGAACTGGAGCAGGACAGACCTGGAGTAGACATGGTGTCTGTTTGAACCTGGAGAAGAGAAGATGAACCCTTTACACCTCTGGGTTTCTGCAGTAGAACAAAACAGCTGATCCAGTATCATATATGGATTTGTGATTTTGAGGGAATGGAGTAGACCCACAATTTCCATCGAATACAGCTACAAAAAGGGTGTATCCGCTGATCGCAGCTGATCGTAACCAAAACTCATTGTCTGGATGGACCCAGATGTTGCTTCTAAACCTTGAGATATTGTCTAAAACTGAGGATGCAGCATCTATGATTTCCAGTTCTAAGTCGAAACATCCCTAGTAAGTCCAGCTTTGCTTTCCAAAAGAGTGTCACCCCAAATTTCCCCCTTCATCCTGAACATCTACTAAAAGGTCATATCCTCCGATCGTAGCTGATCATAACCAAGTTAACGTGTCAATTTCCACCGGCTGCTTTGCGAGTGAGCGCACTGTAACGGCGGGTCGGGGACAGGTCACAGGGGCTGCACCTGCAGTGAGACTCAACAAAAACATCCATGGCACATGTAGAGAGAGGTGGAGGGATGTTCGGTCTGGACTCCAACGAACTTTAGATGCTCCGTTTGGAAATTCTTCTGAATTTGGGGAGACACAGTAGAATAAAGAAGTGCTGAGCAGAGCTACTTGGCCTTCATGACTTCTGCTGTTTCGCCTACAGGAGGGACGATCAGGGGAACATTTCCATCAAGAATATGACTGCCAGGTTTTACTGAATATTCCTGTTTCCTCACACTGTACCTTAAAACTGAGGATACCATCGAGTACCAAGATCCAAGACCAAGATCAAACAAGGATAAAGTACCATAAAATAAAAAGAGATAATTCCTCATTTTATTCTTGTTAAAATAAGAAAAAAAGGAAAATGAGAAAACATGATGTGAGATTAAAATAAAGATGTGAGATAGAAACACGGGTGAGTAAGTGTTTCAGATGGATCATGTTCCCTTTGTCTGTGTGTGTGTGTGTGTGTGTGTGTGTGTGGTGTTCTCTCCAGGCCCAGCAGAGTAACCTGGTCCAGGTGGCCCGGAGTCTGGGTCGGGCGGTTCCTCTTTCTCCACAACTCATTTTCACTCCAACGGCCACAGTGACAGCTGTCCAATCAGAGAGCTCCACGCAGGCCTCATCACAGGTGAGTGCACGGCGACATCTTTTCACCACTAAAGGTGAACACCCATTCTAGAGAGCATATATCTACAATCTGAGATAAGTTTAGAGTAAGATCATGGAGACTTAAACTACATCAGAGAATATTAGAGACATCTTAAACTCACCCTGATCAGGTATTGATTAAAGGATTTATAGGTTTTCTGAGGAAATTATCCTTAAAATAAAAAGAAAATAATCATGTCTTTATTTATAATGTGATTAACTGGTCCATGGATCAGTTTGGATTATAATCTCTCCTCATTCTGTCCTTTTTAAAGAATCAGGTCCAGAATCTGGCCATCCGTGGCCAGCAGGGGGCGACCACCGCCTCCTCTCAGACTCAGACCCTGCAGGCTCTGAGTCTGAAGCAGAGTCCTGTCCCCATTCAGCCCGCATCACTGGTCAAGAACCCGAGCCAGGGCGCACAGGCCTCTACAGGAGGGAAGAGCGGCTCCTCAGACTCCTCATCTGAGGGGGCGAAGAAGGGGGACGCCGCAGCGGTCCCCGAAGTGCGAGCCATCAACATGAGCCGCAACGTCACGGCTGTCAGCGCTCAGCCTCTGATCGCTCCAGGTAAGCGGAGCCTGAACAGTCTGGATCAGTGCCGAAATGTTAAACATGAAACCGATCCAAAGAAGCACAGAGACGAGCGATCTCAGACAGAAGCTGTAAAATAGATCAAAAGTAAAAAGATGAGTTTACTTCCACAAACCTGCCTTCTCCAGTGTGAGCGTTTTAATATTTTTAATATTCTTATTGAACATGAAGCGTCACATTTTTATCAAACAGTGCATTTTTCTTTTCATTAACACTCAAACAAACACAAAGTCCAACATAATCACAGCACAGTCCTGCATTAACAAGTCGAGTATCAGACTGTTGAAACCTTACACACACACATACATACATACATACATACATACACACACACACATACATACATACATATCACACACAATGATAGAAGCAATACAGATGACAGAGTCTCCTCAGTCCATTAACCATCTTGTCCTGGTTTCATCCAGAATAAACTTCATATCCTTGTCCCCCCACACTATCAAAAAAAGGAGTCCATACAGGATAGAACTGTCCAACTGTCCCTCTGGACCAATATGTCAAATATTCCATAGGAACTAAATCAAATAGGACCTTATGCCAGTCAGAAACAGTTGGTGGTTTATGTGAAATCCATTTCAATCGTTCACTTTTACATGCAGCATATGTGAACACGCTAAACAGTATATTAAGCTTTGTGATAATTTTGATCCAAAAGTCTTAAATATGAAAACATGAACATATTGAATGTCTAAAACTGCCAACCTCCTTTTTGACATTTGATACAAACAGACTTTTCAGGGTCCATTCAGCTCAGAAGTCCAGAGCAGCTGGGATTAGACTGGTTTACGTCTGACAGTCCACACTGGTTAGACTGGTCTGTGTGTTTAATGTAAACACTAACGTAAACACTGAAGCCTCTGCGCTCCATGGGGGGTTTATTTTATTTTTGGGGGCCAAATTAAAGTCCTCCCAGTGTCAGCTCGCTCTTTAGTCGATAAGAGATGTCTGTTTTAATCCTTGACACAGACACAGGGCTTCAGGCAGCTGTCACACACACACACACACACACACACACACACACACACACACACACACACACACACACACACACACACACACACACACAGTAGGAATGTGATCTGTGTGTTTTTTCAGTAAGATAAGAAAAGAAAAGAGTTAACACCGAACCCTCCTAATAGCTTTGTGTGAGTTTGGCGTGTCAGGGCCTGCATCATAAACCCATTCAGTCAGTGAAGGGGTGAAACCAGCCGTGTAACAGTCAGTCAGTCAGACAGTCAGTCAGTCAGACAGTCAGACAGACAGACACACAGACAGACACACAGACGGCGTGTTGGTCCGTGTCTGGAACACGCGAGCTGTGAAAGTCTCGCTGCCACGCTCGAGTCCTCCTGAACCACTTGATTGTGTCGTTGAAAGTCAGCAGCTGTTTCCTCTTCCTCTTTAGACTGAGTGGTTGTGAAGATGCCAGCAGAACCAGCTGATTAGATCCAATTAGGCCCAGTTTGAGGAGGAGGAGGAGCATTAACATATCCTTCTCCTCACACTGTGCTTAACTGTTTATTTTCAGATATATACGTGTGTGTGTGTGTGTGTGTGTGTGTGTGTGTGTGTGTGTGTGTGTGTGTGTGTGTGTGTGTGTTTGTGTGTGTGTGTCTGGTAAAAGGGGGGGGATTATTTGAGCGTGTCGGTGCACAACTGTGTCTTGCTTTGTTGTTGTAATGGATTCACATAAAATGAAAGGGAGGATAGAAGCTGAAAATCTGGCTGCATGCTGTCTGAGGAACAAAAAATTTACATTGGTTGCCATAGCAGCAGGCCATTAGGGACAGGTGTGCACATGAGATGCTGTGGAGTTAAAACACTGTGAATGGAGGAGGAGGAGGAGGAGGAGGAGGAGGCGAGGCTGCCTGATGGGATTCAGATCGGGTTAAAAGCCGGGGTTGAACCTGGCGGTGCTGGTGGATCAATTTACACTTTGATTTTCTAACAAATTTTGAGGGAGAACTTTTAAAAAGGATGTTAATCATCCTGTTATTTTAATATCAGGAACAAACCGGTTATTTCCTCTCAGAAAACCACAGATAATCGCTGATGGTTGACCGAGGGTGTTCCTGCTTTATTCTTTATTTTACAACCTTCGCTCGAACTACAGCTAAAATGAAAGTGCCCTGTGTGTGATCACTGTGTTGTTTAAATGGTAGAAAATTACCACCCCTTTATTATCAGTAATAAATACTGATTAACATGGAGAAGCAGCACTTAACCACTACATGACATTTCTTTTGCACTGACAGCCTGTCCTCTGCTCACACTTAGTGGTTTAATGTAGGGCTGGGCGATAAGGGAAAAAGTTTATCACTGTACATTTTACTCATATCCATCGATATCGATCAATATCAGGATATAAAAATGAAATCTAACAGTGTTTATTGGTCTCATGTCTTTTCCAACACAATAATCTCCTGCATCTGTGAGGTCTTTGTGTCTGTTTGACGTTTTGTCGTAAGGCGTCGCTCTAGAGAAAGCCGACTGAATGGTCGTCTGTTTCGGCTCCTCGCTCCTCTCGGGGTTTGTAACCTTTTGCGTTGCGCGTGCTCTGCGGCGTGGCGCTGCTTCAGGTGGTGAAAAAGATTTGAGGTATTCCCCGACTTTGTGAGAACATGTACTCGACATAATTTACAGTCCACATTACTCTGCTTCATGTCCGACCTCCAAAAACCAAAATACCTCCACACCACCGACGTGACAAAACATGTCAGAATGACGACTATCCAAAAGCATATTGACCATGTTTTATATTGATATTGAGGGAAATTAATTTTTTTATATATATGTTGTTATTGTTCTATCGCTCAGCCCTAGTTTAATGCTAACCGTAGTCCATGTTATCCACATAAACAGTCTAGATAATGAAAGATCCTCTCACTCACAAGTCTCACTTCCTGGTTTCCTCGCCTCTAATTTTAATGTCTGATAAGATAAATATCTGAACGTCTAAAAGAATATTTATACCTTTAAAAGTACACGGACAAATAAAGAGCAAATATTAACTCGTGGATCAGTTTGATGTTGGGGGGAAAATGTCACGATGTGTATCAGATTATTTCAGACCTGATGGTGGATCATCCCTCTGTTACTGCGGACATTACAGACACTTTAAAAATCATTTTACCGGGAACAAATATGAGACCGTCTGTTTTTTCACAGAGAGCGTTTGTCATCGCCTCCTCTTGGCAGGAAAGAGCCCGGACCTCACTTTAAAAACCTCAGCAGGGAACCCCCAAAAGTGGATTTAATGAGCAGATCTGAACATGAAGTCTGTTTTTTTATTCTATATTTAGCCGCAGACTAAAGTATCAACTGCCAAATCCAAACGACTGTGAACACAGAGAAGCTTGGAGAGGAAAGAAACTGTCATAAAAACACAGATTTTCACTTTATGCAGAAATATTAAGCTTGATGATAATTTACCTAAATGTATTTTCCTGTCTGTTAAAGTCCGACTTTAAAACGGCTGCTGAACTCTTTATATGACTGAGTGTAACAGCTGATATATGAAGGTGAAACTAATCAGTCTAAAGTGGATTTATTCACTCGGTCTCTGAGTTTGTTTGGAAGTGGGTTTGTAAGAGATAAGTGTGTTAGCTAACGGGGATTCTGGTCGGCTCGTCTCTTTGGTTAAGAAACTACAATCAGGGTTAGCTCGAGAACTCAGACCCAACCACAAACCTCAGTGTAAGAGGAAAAGCAGGACTCAGAATGCTGAAAGAGAAAACGGAGAAACTTCTGCACTAACTGGAAAGATCCACGTTACCTGGTCCTTCAGGTGTGTCATCTGTGAGTTTGTACTAATGAGTCAAGAATGATTGTGACTCTGTAATATCAGCACTTATCTGAATCAGAGGATACTAGCAGCTTACATGTGGCTGCAGGTCGGATCACTCATCATCTAAAGAGCTCTGTGGTCATGAACGAAATTTAAAGAGATTAAAATCAGAAAACCAAAAAAGCTGAATGGAAGAATTCTGCTCTCACTGTTTTTGTGATTACGTAACAGACATCTAGTGTTTAGATATCATCCACCTACTACTGATGAGTGCCTCATATATCCTCACTTTAAAAAAAACACCCACTACTCCTTTAAGGAGCTTGTTTTTGGTTTGCTGCTGTTGTTTTAATTTGGAATGTGTTTTGTGAACATCAGCCAAAGCAGCAGCAGCCTGTAAGAATGTGGAAACTCTGGGATTTTCCAGAACTTTCTGCTATAAACTCATCAGGAACGTATACTGTCATCCGTCTCGGGACACTGCACACCAACACACAGATAGTACAAGAACTGAACACTAATGTACAGCTTCTATAGAGTGGAGGCCATCTCTGAAGATTGTGTGACTGCATGTGTTTACACATGTGTGGGGGTGTGAGGGCCTGACTCATTCCAGTCCTTAATCCCGAGACCTTGAGGGGGAATAGTATTTCGATGAATTCCCTTGTCTTCTTTTTCTTCCAAGACTTCTCTCTGTTCCTCATTAGAGGCTTGAGAAAGTTGTCAGGATTCAGGGTGAGGGCCGGTCCTATCCGGTGTCCTCTGAGTCAGAAATCCCCCTCCTTCAGTCAGACCGGGTCTGGGAATCTCTTACTGAGACTTTATGATTGAGCCTGATTTTTTAAGAGCTACTGTTTGAACAAGAAACAAATCTATCCCTGTATTTATAACGGTTAAAAATCTGTATTAAAGGAGACTTTGGTTTGATTACTGTTCATCTGTTTAAGAGCAGCTTCAGTGAGTTTGTGTTGAATTGTAGTTTTAATGTCAGTTCGACCTGAATTTGCTTCAAAGTCACGTTTGTGCACTCAGTAAACTCATCAGAGGAACTTTTTTATATATTTGTAATCGTCATAATCACTTCATTTCTATATCATATTTAAAAACAAGGATTTAATTTATCTGTCATTTAAAAGAAGGGTTAGTAAAAGTGCTTTGACAGATAAGAACACCATGTAAACACAAAACAGACCCAAACAACACCATCTAAAAACTATAATAACACAAACATCATAAGAACTCACACGACACAAGGTCAACAGTTTGGATTTCCTCTCCAGAACCACATTTGAAGCTCGGGTCACTTAGTGGACCAGACGGGGTAGAAATGGAACAGAGTATTTATGAGGATGTATAAATCAGTGTGTGATCCCTTAGTTATTAGAAAATAAGTCTTTGGTTCAACTTAACTTAGACTGAGCACTTGATAACTAAATCCAAAAAAGTGTCTCCCTCTCCATCTTGCATTGCAGTTATTGTAAGGCAGCACAAAACAAACACACCGAGTTAGACACCCCCCCTCCAGAGATGAATGTTGTCGACCGCTTTCTTCTCTAGTTATACCAACTTTAGTAACGACCGCAGGATAGTAATACAGAGAGCCACGCCCTCAACCAAAACGCCACTCTATAGCCACAGATAATGCTCAGAACAGCACCTAACTTCATCAACAGGACATATAGGGTCACAGACATAGTACTAGCTGCCAACATTAGCCGGAATATCCCTTTAACAGCCAAACCTGTTTTTGTACTCTGTGAGTGGTCGTCCAAAAAACTCTGATTGGAGAGAATGAAGAAGACAGAACGAGATTTTGATGGTAGAAACTAGATGAATGTCCAACCAGTCCTTTAAACAACAGTCCGGGAGCCCGAAATGTTTCTGCCTCACTTTTGGGGATCTAAATCACGTCGTCCATGTTTTTATACAGTCTATGAACCAGTCCAGCCGACCATCTTTGAAAATCTGAGAAAAAACTTTGAACAGTTCTCAAAGATGGACTGAAACAGGACAAACAGAGTCTGGATCAGCACACTTTGGTTCTTCTGGGTTCTTCCAGTTTGTCGTTGTCATTCGTTCACTCTGTCTGCTGTGTCTTTATAGTTTATTCTAATCTGTGGTTACAGATACAGGTTCCTCTGGTGGTGCCATTGTGCAGTATTGTGTTGTTGTAAAAAATAATCAATAGATCACCATCACATTTGGATCACAGATTTATATTCCCTTCAGGATGAATTTAAGAGATGACTAAACGTTTTCCCATTTACCACCATTACCAGCTTGAATTTTTAATTTGTCTAACATTAAAAATAATGACTCAGCACCCAGCTCTGTTATTTTGTCAAGACTATTTATCATCGATCCAAAACCTGTTTCTGATCTTGTTTTTTTATACAAACTCTAAGACCAAGACTAAAGATTTACTTTCCAAACAGTTTGAGTAATGATATTATTACTGTCGGCATTTTCACCAGTTCGTGGTCAAAAAGAAAAAGTCCTGTGAAAGTATACTTTGAGATTTCTGCACCTAAAGCGTCTCCTCATGTTTTGTTTTTCGCCACCTTGAGGCGTCGCCACTGAACCGATGGATGTTATTATCCCCTGAAGTGTCAGTTAAAATTGCTTTTCGAGCGTGACCAATTTTACTGCCTAACATCTTATCCTATTATTATGCTGCCGGCCATCTCCACCCATCCACGTCTGACATCCGCCCTCCTCTGAACATCGTTAATGTGAAATGAACTCCCTCCGCACCATAGCTTATCAAATTTTGTCTCGCCACGTGGAAAAGAAAAGAGTTTTGAAGCAGCTCCTGTAGCATGAAAGGAGCTAATGACATGCAAACCCCGCTGCTGGATAGAAACATGTATATATATATTCCACAGCAGGGTACAGACTGCGGTTAGTGCCTCACAGGGAAACTTTGAAACCAGATGGAGCCTATCCCACACAAAACATCATGAAAAGAAGAGGGGGCGGATGAGGAAGGTGGGGGCGAGGGGGATGTGAGACAAATGCGGATGTACTTGGCTGCCTGCCATACTCAGAGATAGGGGGGGGGGGGGTTATTACTACCAGCAAACACACCTCCATGTTCACACAGCTCAGAGTACAGCGGTGCAGGAGTGAGTCTTTTATGGTTTCAGTTTAAAGACTGAGTCAATTAGCTGTTATTGTTTCCTGGCAGAGCTGGTCGACATCAGAGGGGCTCAGACCCGCTGACTCAACACCCACTCCAAGAAAACCGTCACGGACAGTCGGCTCCGCGTGTCGGCTCCTGAGGCGGCTCTAATATTAGCCCGGCCCCGGGCTCCTTCCTCTGAACACTCACACATGCTTCCACAATACAAGATTGATGTGCTGTGTCTCGGGCTTCAGGGCAGGTTATGAGCTCAGGATGTCTTTTTAGCCGCAGCAGCAGCAGCAGCAGCGGCCCTGACAGGTGGAGACAGGCCGCTCTGAAAACAGTTTGTGAGTAATGGCCGGACCAGAGCGACAACGGCTTCTCAACAAGCCCTTAATATTACATCCTGTCAACAAGGCGTGCTCAGGAGGAGAGACGGCCATAAAACAAGCTCCTTTATTTAATCACAGACATGCATCAGACATCTGAAACAGAGTTATGGTGAAGATGTCGGACAAGCCGCAGAAACTTCTAAATGGCCTTTTTAAAAGTCAGCTGAGGAAACTTTGGAAGTTCATCACATTCAATATGTGATGTGTAATTAATTCAACAATTCTTAGTCTTCAGTTTTAATTGATTACTGGACTCTAACTGAGATACGTGAGGGCAACGTATTTATCAGCGGAAGACAAGTTTATTTGTGTAGCACCGTTCATACACGACAATTCAAAGAGCTTTAAAGATGCGAGGAAAGAATAAAGAATTAAAACGATTTAAAATCAAAAAAACGATTTAAAATCAAAAAGACAAACAGAAATGTTTTTGTCTGGTCGGTGTTTGCTCTGATTATTTAGTTTCCCAGAGAAACGAAATAAGTCACAAAAGGAAAATTAGATAAGATATGATATAAATTAAAACATGATAAACTTTATGGTGAACTGGTCAAAGTTGTCTTTAATTCAGGTGCTGTAGTTTCATACCTGCCTCCACAGTACAACTCCGGAAAGAAACCGTACGAGTAGTTTAATGTTGTTGTTGTTATACTACGTTTCCTTAACCATCAGCTAGTTTACATTTATTCAGATTTAGACTTTTTATATGACGCAGCTGTGGTTGGCATGAAGTTATCACGACTTCTCTGATGATTGGTTTTTAGATTTCTCTTTATTTTGTTTCTTTGGAGTCAAACAGAATTGAGACGGCAGAGCTCACAGACATCGTTCTGTCTCTGTTCGGCTGAAACATCATGACGGTTCTTTGCCGTGTTCTTGAACATATCTGTCTGTATCATTAATCCGGTTCTGAATGGATCCAAACACAGTTAAGCTGCAACATTATGACCACTTAGGGATGAAGTGAATAACATCAGTAACCTCTTTACTGTTGCTGTTATGTACATATATTTATAACTGTTATGAGGTGGGATATATCAGACAGCAGGTGAACACTATGTTTTATAAGTTAAAGTGGTAGAAGTCTGAAAACTGGACCAGAGTGAAGGAGAAGTCGGTGCTGGTTCTGACAGACAGGTCACAGAAAAGCACTCAGTTTGGACTGTATGATGTTACAGAACCACAGAGTGACTGTTGTGGTCCTGAACTGAGAACATGAGGAAGCTCATTATAAAGGTAAAGGTGTTTCAGATGATTGTCTGTTTTAGCTGGAAGATTGTCAAAGGTAATTATTAACTCTCCAAGTGTGCAGCATAGACGACATGCAGGACTCTAAATCATCAAAATCAAAATTATACCTTAAATGATTTAAGAAAACGAGCGTTAAACACTGATCTGTAACCGTCTTCTTTCAAAATAAAAGCTGAAATAAAATACTTTAGAGTCTTTTATTTTGAGGCTCGTTGTCGTTGTCAGTAGTCGCTGAATTTAAAACACAACAGAAGTCTCCGTGGTTTTTGAGCGGAGCAGTTATCTGAATTCATCATGTCTGTCGTTGTCGTTCCAGCGTACACGCAGATTCAGCCTCACTCCCTGGTCCAGCAGCACAAGCAGCAGCAGCAGCAGTTTGTGGTCCATCAGAGTCCAGCCTCCCAGAGGGCCGCGGGGCAGCTGCTGCAGACGGCCTCCATTCAACCCTCTCAGCACCCCGTCCCTGTGCTGCCCAAACCCGCTCCAAACCAGCCCTCCACACCCAGCCAGCAGGCCACCATTTTCCACTCCACAATCAGCCCCCACGCGCTCCACTCCTCCCTCAATCACGCCAAAGCTCAGCCCGTACAGCTTACCGCCATCAACCTGCAAATACAGCCGACGGTGAGTGCCATCGAACACGCAACAACAAAACACACACGACCAAACAGCTGATTCAGAGACAAATATAGTGGTGACAGGGGGGTCGAACTGGGGCGGCTGAAGTCAAAGTCAAAACGGGTCAACCTGTTTTATTTAAGACGGTCCTGAACCAAGTCCTTCAGGAGAACTGAGCATGCCCAGAAACAGTCAGGTGGATCCCCTGCCTCAGAATTGAACGATGTTTTTACCTCGATGCTGCTGAGATCTACAAATTAGTGCATTTGACTGTTTTACTGTTACATTAAAGTTTGAGTTTAACAAAGAAGTTCAGCTCTGATACTGATCTATCCTTCTTAAATCTATATTTAGTCTAATGTGAGGGTCCAGAGAGGGTCAAAAATGCCCGATGTTCTTGTCACAGTCTTTCCCTGACAGCAGTTTGAACCTTCAGCAGGTTAAAAAAAAAACAGTTTGTTTGTGTAAAAGCAGGTAATGAACCGCCTGTTTTATCACGTCGGCGACGGTGTTTACTTTCAGTTTTGACAAACTGAATCATGTTTGGACAGGTATCGTCGTTTTTACCTGGAGGGCCTCAGAAAGCTGCTGGGAGAAAACATGTGTTTGTGTTTCAAATGCAAATCACATTCATTCACGCACACTGGAGATCCCCGGACTTTTCTCCCCGAGCTTTCAGGAACGTCACTTTCGTAGTTTGGAGTGAAACGTCTCGACCACAAATTCAGGCTCGTCTCGAGGATGAGGTTTTATAAGCTCGGTGATCCCCTGACTGTCTCTTGTGCCTGAAAACTTTATGAAATTCCCATCAGCCTCGGCACCTTGTGTTCAGTGGTGCTAAAGTGGGATTGAGTAGATGGACACGAGTGATCTGTGACCCGGAGGTTCATCCTCTGTCCTCAGTTTGTTCCCAAATGGGACACGTCTTCCCCTCTTGTGTCACACACTGATTTTTTTTTTGTTTTTCACAAACTTTTTCTTTTTGGTGGAAACAAGAAAAATAAAACCTGCTGTTCCACCAAAAACACCCACTGAATTAATTCCCACTGACACACGATAAAAAAAAACAAAAAAAAACAGGAATCCTCTGAGTTTGCGATTCTCGGTGTCATGTTTTCCCTCTGGTGTGATATTTTCCGAGCCTGATGGTTTTCAGTTTTTCAGTCACTGACGTTTACAGTTCTCGATCTGTTCTCTCAACACTGTTTCTAAAATGTCCCCCCCCTACACACACACACACACACTCACACACACACACTCACACACACTCTCACACACTTTTCGTTCCTCATGGCAGGCCTCAAGAATGGTCCAAGACTGTAAAGATAAGCCGACATCACTGGTGGTCAGAGAGACGTGTCAGACCCCGGCCGCTCCGCAGCAACAACAACAACAACAACAACAACAACAACAACAACAACACAACAGCAACAGCAACAACCTGCAACTTCACCGTCACTGCCCAGCAAACCTGTGGAGCAGCAGAAGGTCGATCCTGGAGCTCCTGCTGTTCAGCCACAAGGTAACGACGCAGCAGCACGGTTTTCCTATCTATGTTCTTACTTTCTATACACGTCTGAAGAAACACTCACCTGAAAAAATCGTCTAAAACTTTTACTGTCACTCGTAAAATAAGACGTTAAATCCGCTCTGTCTGACTCACGCCGTCTCCATCAGGGGAGGAGAAATCGATGCTAATGTGAGGAGGTTGTTGTAATTCAGAGCGTGTTGTGTTTGCAGCAGCAGCAGGTTTAGTCTCACTCCTCTTTGTCTCCTAATTGCTTTATTGTTGTCGTCTGTGTTTCCCTGCACTCTGGCCAAAAAGTTCACCTGATACCCGCACCTCTAACACTAAAACACACAATCGTACGAGAGCCCCAAACATCAGCGCAAAACTACTCCAAACAGAGGGATGAATTAGGGAGTGGCTGCTGGAATATGACCTGACACTTGATGGGCTTTTATTTTTTAATGTTTGTTTTTTTTGTAATAGTATATTTGAGACTTTTTGTCCAACATCCACAGAAAGGTTTAATGTAACCTGAAACAACACCAGAGAAAAACTCTGGTCTTATAGTTTTAGCATGACAGGAAGTGAACATGTTTCATTTATTTTATCATATGAGGGTTGCAAACTAGTAAACCAAACAAAAATCTATGTGTTAAAAAAAGATCCATCGTCATTATTCCAGAAGAAAAATGAGGATATGATTTTTGTCTTTTTTTTAAATGAACTTTACATTCAAAGTCCCTGAAATCATAATAATGAGACTCGAGTTTTTGAGATCTAATTGTTTCATCAGCTGACAAAAACCACATCCTTTAAATTTACTACAGCAGGTTCAGGCTGTCAGTCAGTCTCTGTCAGTCCACCTTTTTTTCTGACAGTTTTCAGATTTGGGAAACCTTTCATCATTTTATTTAACTCGACTGAAAATAGATCCCAGGAAAAAGACCCTCGGTGAACCCACATGGACCACTTACTCTAAAAAGGCTCAGTGCCTCATCGTTCTGTTTCTGCAACATCTGCACACTTCACAAATCAATGTTGGCTACATCGCTGGCTCACCGCCATGATGTTAGCAGTGGCCGCCGTTGCCAAGTGTTCGCTGATTGGTTTATGAGGTTTGAAGGAAAGTTTGCAACAGAGCAGAACCAAAGTTGGACTCTTATGAGAGCAGAATGGATATCAATGTTTTACTGTATCCCTGTGAACTTTATAGAGGATTTCTACCAACATTACTCTCACACCGGACACTTCTCCTTGAATGGACTGAGTGATTAATGAAGTCCCCCCCCTCAGTAGAACAAACAACGGAATGAGAGTAAAACAGAAAAATGTGTGCTTGAGTTGGAGGTAATTAAAGTGACATTCCGGCGTTAAGTTAATTTATAGCCAAAAACACCGTAACACTGAGTTAGACCCCCCCCTCCAGAGATGAATGTTGTCGACCGCTTTCTTCTCTAGTTATACCAACTTTAGTAACGACCGCAGGATAGAAATACAGAGAGGTCTGAGGAGACATAAACAAACCTCAACCAAAACGCCGCTCTATAGCGGAGACCTCAGGCCAGTCCATTACAGACTACAGCGGGGTGCCGCAGCTCAAGGAAGAACATTTATGACTCTGTTGACTGTTCTCTCTCTCTCAACATACAGAAGTGAAAAAGGTTAACACTGGTGCTGATTGACGTGTGTTCGCTGACGCGTGCATGGGTGCTCTTAAAACAAATGTCCAAAATGGGAAAACTGTGTTAAAAAATGGTATTTATTACATCAAATCCAAATGAAATCAATACTGTTTTCCACCACGCCACCCACGCCACGGTCAAAGAAAAATGTCCTCTTCCCCGGTCAGCGACACCTTTCTTTGTTTTCCTCCCTACATGTAACTGTGAGCTCCCCTGGTGTGACCTTCCCTCACAACAAAAGTTACCAAAATAAACAATAAAACAACTAAAACAAGTAAACATCAAAACAAATACTTCATCTGGCTCTGACAAAAATCATTTCTTTATCATTTCCTTGAAGTAATAATCTCCATATTAATCATTTTTACTGCAGACATGGTCGTTCTTCTGCCTTAGCGTCTCGGTCTGTTGAATTGAATTTTAGGGGTAAATAAAGTTCTTCTTCTCTTTTATGAAAACAGTTGTGTTGTGTTTTGACGGAGTGCTGCAGGCTCGTTGGTTTGACTGAATTTCTGCTGACTCAGGTTGAGTTGCTTTGCGGCGTCCTAAGTGTGTAATAATAAGATCGCTCTGACTCGGGGTTGAATCTGTGCTGCTGGTCTATTCTCTCTCTTTTAGAGGTCTTATGTGTGTCTTTGCAGCCGTCAGGCTGAACACTGGCTGTCACTCAGAGTGTGCTGTCTGTCTGTCTGTCTGTCAGTGGATCTGACTCCTGTCTGTCCTCTTCTCATGGAAACATCCTTTATTCTTTAAATGAAGCTCAACTGGACCGGTGCCGTTAGTTGATGTTCAGGATACTCACAGTTGTTAGTTGACATCTTGACTTCTTGGTTTGAGAAAATCTTTCCTCCATTAGGAAACGTCTGAGACATGCTTGTTTAATTAACGGTGATGACAGCGACTTGGAAAAAACAGTGTTTGTAAATTCTGTTGTGTTTTTACCAGCTCCTCTTTGATTGGTCGTATATTAATAACACTTTTTAATTAGGCTGAAAGGGGTTAACGCAGTTCTCTGACGAGTGTTTGGACTCTGAGGCACTAAATGATTTTGGTTTTATTTTATAAATGTTGACATGGATCCGTTTCCATGGTGATTTCTCCGTCATGGTTGGAAATAGTTCTAATGTTGTGTTTCTTGTAAAACGAAACGGTCTGTAAACCACAGATTGGCGTTCGTGGACAGTGTGTTGTTGGGTGTGATGTGGAGTAGAGGTGAACCGCTCAGCAGGAAAATATTTCTGTCATCCAAAGACTACAGGAGCTGATGAGGGTCCAGATACTTTAGGAACATTAAACATTAAAGAAAGAGGTTTAAGAGGGAAAGACGAGTCTTAGTGTCACATGTTGGTTTTTTTATGCTCAGAGTTACCAGATACAAAGATAACGTGAGCGGAGTTTATGAAGCAGAAACAGAGGTGGTTTGCACATTAATCGCACATTGATAATAGCTCGCTGCGTGCAGACAGACTGCAGCCTACAAGTATAATAAAGACATTTTGGCCGTTTCCTGTGGGTGTTTGATTTTAGCATTTGCTTGTTCTTAGACTGACTTCAGAAAACAACAGAAAACAGCAAACCCGTCAGCGCGTTGACCTGCTACGTATCATGAGAGTCAGTAAAAGACATTAGCAAGAGGCTCATAGGAAGTGCATTGATGATTAAAACACTTTTACTGCTCCGTAGCTACTGTGTTTTTTTTTTTTTTTGGATGATTGAAAAGTTTCGTGTTTTTTTGACATCCTGTCTTCATGGGTCGAGGTTTTGTTTACTGCCTAGCAACACTATTGAGTCCCCCAAGTAAGTCCAGCTGTCCAGCTACGATCGGCGGCAGCTCCGGATGCGTTGTAAATTGGGGGTAAAGCAGAAGATCAATTGTTTTAACTACATTTAAACGTACTGTGTGTCCTCTAAGTTGCTCACTTTTTTAAGGTAGGAAAAGACACTTTGCTTCACTTTGCTCAAACATTCCTCCTTTGAAGGGTGTTAAAGGGGGCACCCGGACCCCAGCCCTGGAATGTCTTGTTCCGGCCCTGCTGCTGAAAACCGCTGTCGTGGAAGTTTTTCCCTTCCGTTGCTGCTGGTGAATAATGAAATAGAGACTTCTGCCGGCCGACAAGGTTTTATTTTCTTTGCAAAGAAAAGGTCGATCTGGATCCGAGCGGGTGGATCAGGAAAGACCCCGAATCTAGGGGAATACAGAATATTTATACTTTTAGGACCGCCTCCCAGAGGGCAAGGAATGGGGCTTAGGTGTTGGCACCTTTTGTTGTCTGTGGGGACTGTTACTTCACCCCCCTGGGGTGGTGGTGACACCTGAAGCATCCTGCAGGATGTTGTCTGTTGATGTCTAGACATGCTGATTAACTGATATGTTGATTGGAAAGTCTGTTGTGAGGGGCACTTCAAGCAATTCTTAATAGAGACATTAAAATTACAATTACACCGCGCTCTGCTGTTTTCTCATCTTAGCGATCCGGCCTCACTTCTCTCTGCAGCAGGTTCAAGTCTTCGGTGTGTAAATAGAAGTTAGTTTCGATTCAGAGCCTTGGCTCGTGTGAACATGCAGCTGCAGGCTGGTGTGTGGGAGTGCAGAGGGGGGCGGACCCTCGGTGAAAAAGCTCTCTGCAGCTTTAAGAAGCCGAGCTCAGTGTGGAGCAGCAGCTTCAGCAGCAGGTCCTCCTGTGATCGTGGGTGTCTGTGTCTGTCTGTGGGATTAATTCAGCGAGGAAAACGAGCATGTTTTCTGTGTGAACACGGAGAGAGTCGACGCGGTAAGAGACTTTTTCATCACGGAGGGTTTGAGGAGGATAAAGACTCTGTGGATCTGAGTGAAAGTGGACTTTTCTGTGATGAGGGAAGTAAACACAGGAGGGATTTACGGTTTGTTATTGACAGTCAGTGTGTCAGTAGGTCACTATAAATGTAAGTCTATCATTAAACTGAGTCAGTCTGTAAAATATGAGGATTTAACTCCGTACTGACTTTACATTTAAAGCTGTAATGTGATATTTCTGATGTAAAAATACAACTAAATAAGCATGCAGAGCTGAGTACCTGACAGGTGAGGGTTACAATCTGTCATAATATATAATCAAGAAAACAATGTTGAATTATCATAAACAAGAATTTAATTAAAAGCTGCTTCCAGTGTGTTTTACAGTTACGACACCTTTATAATATTAAATATAAAGAAACAGTCTGTAATTGACTTCTGTGTTTTCTCGCTGTTACTTATGTAACTGTCTACACCACTGCTGTGTTTCTTACTCAAAGTAGTTATTGATTTCTTTATTGATTCTTTATAGCTGTCATTTATTTTTTGTATAATCTACAAAACCAGAAAAACACCAATAACTGATCAATGATCCTTTAGTGTAAACCGTTACGTTCTGTAATTAAAACAGCTAAAAAAAGACTTTATAGTCATTTGACCATCACATTAGAAAGTGTGGGATTAAACTGGATCGCATTATTTTAGATTATTATTCTTTAAGTTTATTTTTAGGCTTCAGTGCGTTTATTCAGAGAGGACAGGACGATCGAGAGAGAGAGAGAGAGAGGTGCTGCAGGTTTGACTCGAACCTCGGCTCCACGCCTCACAGACTAAAGCCTCAGGACATTTAACCGCCGGGCGAAACCGTCGCCTCATATGTAGATATTTTTAAACTAAATATTGATCAGTTGAAATGTAACTAATCTGTGAGTGATCGTTGTTTTGACGGCTTTAAAGAGACGTCATTACTTTGAGGATAACTCAAGATAACTTAAAGGTGCAGTCTCCTTTTTTAGAGGAACTGACTCGGGAAAATTAAACACAAGATTCTAACTTTTAGTTCAGCTGGAAGAAAAAAAAAACTGAGTCGAAGTTGAAGAAGTTGACTAATAGATATGACTGTTCCTGTCTCTATAAACTGGACCTTTAACACTTGATTAAACCTGCTAACTTTTTACACTAATAGACAAGTTATTGGAATCAATTTAAAGCGTTTGAATAATAAAAACATTTTTTAATCTTTTTAAAGTTAATCAAATAGAAGGAGGAGTTGTTAGCATAAAAACAAAGATATTTAATGCAAAAATAAAGACTTTTAATGATGAAAATGTAAATAAGGGGTGACGGCATCGTTGTCTGAATATCTTTAATACAAAATGAGCTTCTTGATGTCCAGTTGAACAATTCTCTTCATCCTCAGACTCACAGAAAACTCATGACGACAAAATCAAAACAGATATCTGTGTTTTCACTCAGACTGATCCAGCCCTCCTGTACATGAACTCAGCCGTGTTGTATTCACTGTTTTGTCAGGAGGGGGCTCAGCCAAAAGGCCAAGCGCTGCACCTGGGACCCCGCCTCCAGCCATGACCTCGGGGAACGAGAGCGAGGCGCCCACCGTGACGGGCAGCACGCCGCAGAACGGAGAGAACAAACCGCCCCAGGCCATCGTCAAGCCGCAGGTCCTCACCCACGTCATCGAAGGCTTCGTCATCCAGGAGGGAGCCGAGCCGTTCCCCGTGTGTGTAAGTTCCCCACTATCTGAGAGAGACGACAAACGACACGGCGCTCTCTCTCCTGTGAACACGCCTGCAGGGAGCTGTCAGCAGGAAAACACAGAGAGCTCCTGTTACTACAAGCTGAGACGGCGTGCAGCTCCTGTTTGATTCAGTCATTAATTAGAGCGAGGAAGAGTGTGGAGCTGGAGGAGGAGGAGGAGGAGGAGGAGGAGGAGGAGGACACGTGGATGAAGGTGTGAGAGGAAGGAGAGGCACAGACACACAGACTTAACCCTGAACTCTGTCATCACCTCTAAACTTGAGGATCTCTTCACTCACATGTTGATCTGTGCTCCTTTGGTCATGTCTGTAAAATGACTTTAATTTGACAAACCTTTAATCGTGACGACAAAGATCAGACACGCTTGTTTGTTGGTATTTTAGGTGTGTAATCGCTGCCTCCTACTGGACACTCGGTGCAAATGCACAGCATGCTCTGTTATAATGAGTGGAAGTCTGTTATCGACTATTTCCTTTATCATTGTCAGTTTTTCAGATTATTATCAATTTAAGTGTTTTTTTTTTTTGTGGCAGCAGCTTTTTAAAACATTTAAGAATTTTAATAACACCAAACAGAGAGAGAGAGAGGACGTCTTTACATTTTAAAGGAAGTGAAGTTTTGCTTCTTTAAATGACAAAAGTTTAACATCCTGTCCCTCTCACGTTTTTTATTTTATTTCACCTCTTTGTTTGTTTTTATATCCTACTGAGAGCTTTTTTGTTTTCCTCAGTTTTCATTAAATCCTCCTCTTTCTTTTTTAAACCAGGTGGAGCGTCTGCCCATCCTCATCGACAGTCCGAAGAAGCTCGATCATCAGCTCTCCTCAGACCCCGACAAAACGCCGGTCAGCAACGCAGCGAACAGCGACTCGGAGCCGGAGGACATGAACCAGCCGGGTGAGACTGAAAACATCAGTTTGATAAAGACCCTGTGACGACGCGCTCTTAGTGGGAAACTTGTTATCATATATTATAATGATTGTGGTGTTGTAAGTCATAAAAACCTCATTTTGGTCGTTTCAGAGCTCCTTGATTGATAAGCAGACCCTCAGACTAAAGACGAGACCCGATCTGAAGTTCAGAACCACACTGGACAGAACTTTAGCTAACCTCTGGAGACCACTAACATTAACATTCATCCTGTTCATCCTTTACATTCACACTGATGCTCAACAATTATAGATACAACAGAGTTAACTGATTAACATCTGAACCCGGTCTGAGACTCTGAAATCCTGAGGGCCGTTTTGAGAAGGGCCCCCAGATCCTGAGGTTTACATAAAAGCTGATATCTGGGCCTCTGTAGCAGGTAGAAACAAAATTCACAAAGTATTTGAGAGCTCAGACATGTCGCTTTCAAGAGAACTCTCTTTTATTTTTCTGAACCTTCATCAGATTATTGAAAACCTTGAACAAACAAACTCAAATGAAATAAAGCGTCTGAATAAATGAAAGTAAAGGCTCCTCACTGGAGAATAACAAACTGTTTACTTTCAGTAAAACATGATAAAGTGTCCGTCTGTACAAATGTAAATATAAAGAATAAAGTGTTAAAGGGTAAACAGCTGCCCCGGTATAGAGCCAGAAAGTTTAAGTGTTTATAACCTGATGTGTTTGTGGAGTGATCGTCTGTCTGTCGTCTGGATATCTAACCTTTGGGTTTGTTTGTGTTCGTCCACACAGAGAAAGAACCAGAACCAAAGCTGACGTGTGAATACTGCGGCTGGGTCGACTTCGCCTACACCTTCAAAGGGTCCAAAAGGTTCTGCTCCATGGTTTGTGCGAAAAGGTAAGAGGCCTTCAGAGGAACACTTCCTCTTTAAGAATGATGAGACGTCAGAAAAACCCGATCTCTGACGGGGGTCCTCTCTCTGACAGGTACAACGTGGGCTGTACCAAGAGGATCGGTCTGTTCCACCCGGAGAAGAGTAAAACCACCAACCGCTGGAGGAGGAGACCTCAGGGCCGGCCCAGTCTGGAGGCCAAGAAGCAGGTACACACACACACACACACACACACACTCATTAAAACTTCCTCATCGACGCTCTCCCTCAATCAGATTCTGCTTCTGCTGCACATTTATTCGCGCACTTTTTCACGCCCGGTGCGTTTTAATGAAGTCTGGCGCGGTTTGTGTGCGCGGACGATTGTCTCCCTCTGTCTTTGAAAGGGTCATTAAACGCTCGATGATCTCTGTCGACGTTTATGGGTGACCAGCAGGAACGGAGGAGCATTAGTAGAGATTTTCTGCCTCCTGCTCGACTTATAGAGACATCAAAAACTGCGGGATCAGATTATTTTACTGATCCATCAGCAGACGTGGACTCAGGACCTCTGCTGATTGTTGCTGCTGAGACTTTGGAGAGTGTAAGAACGCAGGGGAGTTTCAAATGAATGTCACATGAGTTAAAGAAAAGAAAAGATATCAATAATCTGTAGATTTGGCTCCTCTGATGACCATCTCAGGAGCAGGTCACACTGCTGTTAGTCTGTCTCTCTAGATCCAAACAGAACCAGAACCCAGTGTTGTAGTTCTCGAGATCAGTCTTGGTCTTGGTCTCGATTTTTTGAGGGTCTTGGTGTCGTCTCGGAATCGAAGGCATTTCCACTCGGTCTTGTCTCGGTCTCAGTCCTCTCTGGTCTCGGTTGATGCGGTCTTGACTACAACACTTCCAGAACCTGTAAGTCTTACCCCGAATTTCCACTGTGCTCGGAACGGCTCCAATCCCGAACGGTGGCGATTTCCGCCGTCCGCCAATTCCTACCAGATCCGTTTGTGAGGCGAATTTCGTGTCAAATTACAGACAGCAGGAATCATGAGAACTCACAAGAACCTGCAGATTCACGTTCAATCACACGATAACGAGTTGTCTCTCTAAAGACAGACACATAGACATATAAGCAGTAGATTGTGTCCTTCCAGAGGAGGAAATCTACTTCTAGACTTCTAGAATCAGCATCTCCTCATCCATGGTGTCATCAGGGTGAAATGACGTCTAAAAACCTTTCACTTGTTCGTCTCCGCCCGTTTGCATGGTGTGAAATACGATCCTCCTGAAACACGGAGTGTTTTATTGATCTCAGTTAAAATCAAAATAATCAGGAAATAAAGACAGATTTGTTTTTTCTTTACTCTCTCTCTCTCTCTCTCTCTCTCTCTCTCTCTCTCTCTTTCTCGATTTCGTGTCAGTCGACCACCGTTACTCTCTTCCTTATCCTTTAGGTATGGCAGTAGATCTGTAGATTTCAAAAGAGTTTAACATTTACATAAAAACAAGAGAAATTTGATTTTTTTTTAATGATGTTGTTCAGAAAAGTCTGAAAGTGTCTCTTCATGCAGAGATCATCTTTTAAACTGATTCACATGTTTGAAAGGCGGTCAGGGGTTCGACAGCAGGGATACTAACGTGTTCAGGTTCCTCATGTTGTCAAAACTAAGCAGATAAAACTCTAAATCACTAAATTAGGAGGTTTCTTAGACGACTTGAGGAGATTTATGGAGGCACATTTGTCTTTAGATCTTCGTCTATAAAAACCGAGGTGAGGGTGTGAAGGTTCTGATCCGGTCTGATCTGGTTTTTAGAGTTTCTTTCTGGTCCTTAAAGGAGGAGAATCTCGGCTGAATCTGTTTTCTGTTTTACTCCAAAAGTGTCGAGTCATGGTTTTGCCTGGAGGGTCTGATCCTGAGCCTCCAGTGGGGGGTGCTTTAGCTTCATGTTGGGCTCAGGTGGTGGGTTTGATAATCTGGGGGGTTCAGTACCTGACAAAGTTTGGATCCAATAATCCCTGCAGGTGTGTGATGTTGTTCAGAATAAATCTGATTTATTTCCTCTTTAATCGGCGCCGCTCCGAACGTTTCCTGATTCTCCTGATGACCCGTTTCTTTCCTAAAACGCTCTGATCTGGTTTTCGTCCTCAGAAGCTGTCCCCGTCCCCGCAGCAGACCCAGGCCGGATCCGTGTCCTCGCCTCACCTCTCTCAGCCCAGCCAGGAGGAGTCCAGCCCGTGTTCGGACATGTCCAGCTACGAGGAGCCGCCGTCCCCCCTGTCTGCAGCCAGCTCAGGACCACCGGCTCCCGCTCCGGTCCCTGCTCAGGTCCCGGTCCACCGGCACCCCAGCAGAGCCTCGGACCAGGAGGTTCTGAGTGGGAGAGACGAGCCTTCACCCTGTCAGCGCTTCGTACCCAACGACCCCGCCAGGTGGAACGTGGAGGACGTCTACGAGTTCATCCGCTCGCTGCCAGGTCAGTGAAGTGAACCGATTATTATCTAAAAACCAGAACCAGGAGGTGAGGGATCAGGGATCGACGAGTCCACCAGTCTGTGTTTTCATCCTAGACTGCAGTTTGTTCTCCTCAGATTCAATCAGTCAGTCTGTTTCCATAACAACCGAGAAAACCGAATTATCGCCTTATTCCGATTAAGACCGGACAACTGAAGTTCACGTAAACACTTTAGACGGACTATAATCCGAGTTTGAGGACTCTGATCGGAGTCTTTGTGATTCATCCTCTTCTTTCTTTTTTATAGATCTATCAAATTAGTCACAGCTACATTTATCTTCAAAAACAGCAGGAGGGAGGGAGGGAGGGAGGGAGGGAGGGAGAGAGAGAGGAGAGAGAGAGAGAGAGGGAGAGAGAGAGAGAGAGAGAGAGAGAGAGAGAGAGAGAGAGAGAGAGAGAGAGAGAGAGAGAGAGGGAGAGAGAGAGAGAGAGAGAGAGGGAGAGAGAGAGAGGGAGGGGGAGAGAGGGAGGGAGAGAGAGAGAGAGAGAGAGAGAGAGGGAGAAAGAGAGAGCGAGAGAGAGAGATGGAGGGAGGGAGAGAGAGGGATGGAGGGAGGGAGAGGGAGGGAGGGAGAGATAGAGAGAGAGGGAGAGAGAGAGAGAGGGAGAGAGAGAGAGAGAGGGAGAGAGAGAGAGAGAGAGAGAGAGAGAGAGAGAGAGAGAGAGAGAGAGAGAGAGAGAGGGAGAGAGAGGGAGGGGGAGAGAGGGAGGGAGAGAGAGAGAGAGAGAGAGGGAGAGAGAGAGAGGAACAAACAGAAACAGCAGCAGATAACACAGACTGGTGTCTCCTGTGCCGATGATTAAAAAAGTGATTTATGTGTAATTATTATTATTATAGTTAGGAGAGGAAGGAGAGGAAAGAGAGGAGAGGAGATGAGAGGAGAGGAGAGGAGAGGAAAGAGATGAGATGAGAGGAGAGGAAAGAGAGGAGAGGAGATCTCCTGCAGTCATCAGTGAAGCTCCTCCTAACCTCAGTCCTCAGTCTGTTAAACTTCCTTCTCCTGATCCTGATCAGTCTGTCCTCCTTCTCAGTTATAAACACACTTGAATAATTGGAAGTTCTGTGTCAGTCAGTCTCTTATAAGACAACACAACCATCACACAACCATCACACAACCTTCACACGACCACATCCATTCAGACAGGAACACATCCGTTCTTCAGTGAGTTCAGCACAGGTGTGGGATGTTACCTGTTGTCAATTTCTGGCATCAGAAAAAAAAGATGAGCTGAGAGAACATCTGCGCTCTGAGTCCTGTCGTCTCCGCGACTAACTGCTGCGTCTTCTTCTTCTTCTTCTGCTGTTTTTTTTTTTTGTTGGGGGGGGGGGGGGGGCAGGCTGTCAGGAGATCGCGGAGGAGTTTCGCTCTCAGGAGATTGACGGACAGGCTCTGCTGCTGCTGAAGGAGGACCACCTCATGAGCACCATGAACATTAAACTGGGACCTGCGCTCAAAATCTTCGCACGGATCAACATGCTCAAAGACTCCTAGCAGGAAGTGTGTGTGTGTGTGTGTGTGTGTGTGTGTGTGAGAGAGGACAGCAGAGTATAAAACTTTGGCACAGGGCTGACGATGCGTCACGGCGGCACTGACAGCACAGAGTGACGGCGGCACTATGACCTCACTTCCTCCCCGCTGCTGGACCGCTTCATTGACCTGCATCTGTGTTAAAATCACAGAGTGGGCGCCGAGCTGTGTCTGAGCGCGCTCAGCGGTGAATCAGTTCTCTTCTAGTCAGGAACTAAACAGACGACAGGCTGAACACAGCTGCGCCGTTTTCCAGCGTGATCGCCGATTCAGACGAGAGAATATCTCTGATTCACACCAGCTGCAAACACACAAGATCAGACAAAAACACGACAGAGCTGCACTGCAGAGGCTGAGTTTTAATAAACGTGGAGAAAAAAACTGATTTACTACAAGGTAGGATTTTGTGGTACAGAGCCTTTAAAAGTCTCCACTCCTTATTCCATTACTGTAAAAACTCTGAAACATATAATTGTATGAATTTCTGTTTATCAAGATACATTTTTTCACTCCAAATATCTGTTCAAAATAGGAAACAAGATGTTTTACTGGTAGGATGCTCGACTGAGAGCCTGATTTCCAACCTCAATCACTTCAGTGACGTTAACACTTCAGCCTCTTTCAGACACGATTTCTCTACATTTTCCCGATAATTTCAGAACATCTCGATATCGAACAAGAAGCTTTTACACATGAACCTCACAGCAGTGTGTCGTCGATGTCAGGCGCACTTTTACAGCCTAAAATATTCTGATAAGTTAAAAATGCAGTAAGGGACCGCGTCCACTGATGGTGATTCTTTAAAAAAAGCTGACAGGGTTGATCGAGCACATACATCGCCAAACTGAATTTAGTTCAGAAAATCAGTCCGACCGGCCCAAAGAACTCTGTCGGTGGGAACAGGCCCTAAGAGAATTAAACTGAACGAGAAAGAGTAAAATTAGAAGACAGAAAAACTGAAACTGTCCTCATCTCCTGTGTCTGAACATGCAGAACCGAACAATGTCTGCGAATGTTCAGGAGTGCAGCGCTCGTGTTAAAGATACTTTCACATTCAGATCAGAGCGGTCAGACTTCTGTTAGATCACACAGACAGGATCAGGACATGCACAGCCAGGTGTTTCTCCCACATAGACTTTATTATTTGTTCATTTTAGGTGATTATTTAGATGTTACATGTAAAGAAAGGAAGCAAAAGATTGAGACAAATTAGGGAGAGAGATGGGAGAACAAATGCACCAAAGAAACTGCAGATTTTCTCTTTTGCAAAGTAAATCTGAGTCCAAACAGCAGCATTTGCCCTCAGACATGCCGTGTTTCGAACGTATTTAGCATATAAAGATCTGATCATAATGCAGACAGGAACTCCGATAACCGCAGTAATTACTAACACAGGAGATAGATGCAGAAGTCTTCTATCAACGCCACCATCCCGATAACAGGAAGGAGATTCAGATTTCATGATAAGAGCAGGTGCAAACCGGGTCTTTGGACAAACTCTGACAGGAGTGGAGAAAATAAAAGCGACCCTCTCTGTTGAGCAGTTTGAGGGTGGGGTCATACTGCAGCGCCGCCGCCGTGACTGAATTAAGGCATCAAAACAGCAGAGAAATCGGAGTTCAGGAGTCTTAATATAATGCTATTAAAGATGTTTCTGTACAGTTTTGTTGGTGTGTGAATGGACGATAAGGAGCTGTGTGTGTGTGTGTGTGTGTGTGTGTCTGGGAACAAAAGCGAGCTTCATTAATTTGCTCATTTTCATTCAGTTGATGCTCCTTTTGCCTTTTTCTCACAATAAGACTCTCACAGCCTCAGAATACAAAAAAGAAAAAAGGTCGGCGCGGCTTCTTCGCCGACATTGATTTCTCTTTCATGAGAAACTCTCCTGCAGATTTCAACAGCTTACAAACGCTTTTCTGGAGCCGCCTTTTCAAAAACAGTTTACTAAATAATGACTTTGGTTTATTGTCGGAGTTTGGTAGGAGGACACTAAGTTCACGGTACAATTCCGCTCTGTTCTCTTCATACAGCTCTGTTTATTTGGCACTTATTTTCCTCTTTATTTGCTTTAATTTCATGGGAGTTAAGATGAGAGAGGCAGCGGTGCAAAGGAGTTTATATGTAAATAGAACAAGTGAGGAAAAAGACTGAAACCAAGTGTGAACTCATTTTTTTTAAGTTATGCTTGTTATTTGAAGAGAAATCTAATGTGGTTTAATATTTTGATATATGCAAATGTATAAATAAGGCCTGGGGTTGTTTTTTTTTTTTTACAGTTTCTTTTTTTTTCTAACTAAAATATGATCATATCTATTTGTGTGTTTGTGGATGTGATGGAAGGTCGACTTTTCTAGATAAGGCTTTGTCAAATATGCTTGTATTTATCAAAAAATGGTTTGTAACACATTTTGCAATTATAAATAATTTGCAATACAGTTCTGCCTGACATCTTTTCTTCATATGTGAATAATATCACCACATTTTGAGATACATGAGTTTATACCAGACGGTTGTTTTATTTATTGACTTTTTCACTGTAGATTATCACTCATAACAGTCCAGGACCCAAAGAGTCCTGATAAGACGAGACATGGACTTTACTGGACCATCTGGAGGTATACTGAGGTACTTGGCACCAGCACGCCACCGTCAGGTCCTTCAGGTTTTTGGCGTTGCAGGGTGTGGCGTCCATTGATCAAGCTTGATTTCGATGGAAAATCTAGAGACCAATCAGCTCTCGAGTGTTTCTCCGGGTCACCTTCCTCCCTCTGCTGCTGACTCTGACACTCTGTCTGTGTTGACACGTCTCTATCAGAGGCAGGATGAACTTCTTCAGGAGTTTCTGCTGTCTGTAGCACTTCTGCTGGATCCTTCACTCCTGCCTGTCCACAAGCAGCACTCTGCCGTCCGTCACCCTGTTGCAGGTTTATTCACAGTAGTTCTACTTTTAGTCGGTACTGACCGCCGCTCAAGAGCTGCAGCAAACTGCCACCACAGTTTGACTCTTCATAAAGTCACTTAGACCCCGGTTCTTGCTCAGTTTTCCTGCTTCCACTTCATTAACTAAGGACAGGATAGTTATCATACTTGCTGCCTAACATATCCTGAGCTCTGACAGCTGCCATCACAGGAGAAACTGGAATGACCTTTAATTCATTATGTGAACATGTGCAAATTATTGAACTTGGAGGCAGGAAAAAACTCACTGTTGAAGAAATGACCGTAAAAGATACAGAACATTTAACACTTAAGGTACTTAAGAATCAGAATCAGAATGCCCTTTATTGTCATGATACTGAAGGTACAACGAGATTGAAAAGCTTCTCCATTTTTCAGTGCAAAAGATACAAAAAAGAAAAAAATAGATTATAGGTACAAACTATATACAAGATAAAATCCTCTAGTGAAGCGTAGACAGCGCAATGAAAATAAAAACTATACACAAGTATTGGAAAGAAGATAAATATTTAGAATATATATATATATATATATATATATATATATATATATATATATATGTAGAGAGAGAGAGAGAGTATTTCTACCATGTACTCTGGTCTGTGTATTTCACTGTAGTTCTTTTTTTACTCGAAGTTCATTAGAAACGTGACATTTCCAGTTTAATACCTAAACAATGGAGGACATGTTCGAACACAGCAGCTGAGGTTTCCAGTCAAACACAGAAGCAGAAACACAGTAAACAGGTGAGCAGAGGTTTCTCTACAAATCTTGTTTTGGTCTGTCAGTCAGAGGGGGCGGGGCGGAGAGGAGCATGCGCAACTGACACGCCCACTGTTTTCATTTGAGAGTGGAACATACCAAATGAAACCGTCGAGTTTTCTCCGATTATCTGTGAAAGTGGAGCACAAACCGGAGATATTCTATGATAATGTTATTTATTTTTTCTATTTGAGATACTCGTTTATTAAAGTAACGCTTTCCTAAACGTTGGAACGACATTAACGTTCGTAATTCTACACCCTCCCCCCCGTTTCTAGATGAGAATGGTTCAGTCCAGGTTCAAACTCAACCGTTAGTGATTTTACTGTGTGTGTGTGTGTGTGTGTGTGTGTGTGTGTGTGTGTGTGTGTGTGTGTGTGTGTGTGTGTGTGTGTGTGTGTGTGTTTCATACATTAACGGTCACCTGAACGGTTCATGTTTAAAAGACTCAGTTGTAAATTGTCGTCGTCGGAGTCTGAATAAAAACCACCGAAACACCGTCAACAGGTAAGTTCAGCACCTGAGAGTTTGTTATTCTCTCTTCAGTTTGATTTAACTGTGTTTTTGATGTAAATTAGTAGTTTTCTCACTTTATCAAACAGTATTTTTTGGCATAATTATCATTTACTCGAGATAAATTTGTATAAAAAGTTTGAAAACAGGTATAAAAAGTGCTAAATTCAGTTAAAACTAATTCTGTGTTATTATTTACAAGTTAATGAAGGACTTCACACTACAGAGTGATAAAAACAACTGTACATTTATGATACAGTATTTTAAAAGGCTTATTTTCTTTATTCTGTTAGTATACAAAATGCAAATTACTTTAACTTAGTCTAACTGAGAGTTTCTCTTATCTTAGTATAAAACATTTATTTTTGCTTATTTTAAACTGAAATGTGTAAGCGTTTTAGTGCCTCAGTATAATCCTAAATAATACAGTGATTAAAGTCTTAAACTGTGTTATTATTACTGCTGCGGAGTTGCATATTGATTAAATCTTTCATTAGTTGTTAGAAAACTTTGCTGCTCTGTGATCTGTCGTCAGATTTGTTTTCATTTGTACGTCCAAAAACCAACAACATACAGTGTTCAGAAAAGCAGATCATCTAAACTGTGAAAAAGCTGAAATCGTCAAACATTTGCTGCTTTGTGTGGAGGAGTGATTCATCAAGAGAGAAGCAGATTCATTATCTGTTAGATGAGAAATTGATTAGTCTGAGGAAAGTCGCTCTTTTGAGTATTTTCTTGAGCTCAGTGCACTAACAAGCAACAAATGAGTGTTTTCATGGTCTACCATCCTGCCGTTGATTGTTCACTGAGTCATTTAAATGTCTAGACTGTTGCTGAAATGCCGAATCAAAGAGACTCGGCCGCTGATGATCCCCCCGCTGACCTCCCCTGTCTGGAAAAACTTGACTCTCCTACGGGTAAGAGGCTTTATGACGGCACTTATTGTTTTCAGGCACGTTCGGGGACCATTAGTAATTGAATTATTACCACGGTGGCGGTTTTAATTATCTGTGGGTGTGTGTGTCCTGTCTGTGGTGTCAGGGAGCCCACCCACCGCCTCATTATCCAGTCTGATGGAGCTGCAGAACTGCGTCTCCAACCTGAGCCTCGCACATGAGATCGTAGTGAACAGAGACTTCAGCTTCAAACCCAGGAGTGCTGCCACAGACAGGCAGGAAAATACACTCCATTACAGGCTGAGTGACCTGTGTTGATCTCATTTCCAAAATTAAATAGAGACTCTGGTCCCTGCGGATCTGCTTTTTTAAACTGTTTTTCTTTGTGTAGCCTGGAGGGCAGAGTCTCACAGATTGTTCATCGAGCATTTTGGGACGGTCTTCAAGAGCAGCTGAACAGCGATCCTCCAAACTACAACCATGCTGTGGTTCTGCTCCAAGAAGTCAAGACTGTGAGTGTGAACTGTATCAGATCAGAGGCATTAGAAAGGAAGGATGAGGGTTTACGTAGACCTCTGTCCCACATCAGTCACACATGTTAAAGAGGTTGGAATAAAAAGTATAATACAGACAGATGGCATAGAAATGTAAAAACATAAACCAAACTAACACATGGTGATGGCTAAAATTGAGATAAGTTGGTAAAAACAAAATGTATAGAAACCAAAATCCTATTCTTAGGAGAGAAAACTTTATTTAATGTTAATACACTGCACTGAAGAACACACCATCACCTCAGCAAAGATTCAAGTCCAGTTTGTGTTCACTCGGTTGTTGGGATGTAACGAAATAAAAATTTCACATCACAAGTATTGTGACCAAAATGATCACGGTTATCAATATTATCACAGTATTGTTGAAATATGTTCAAAATATTCAAAAAGTACTTATACACACCCTGAAATAATTTAACAAAGTTTTATTTTGAAAAAACGATCAAAATTCTGCAAAACTGCCCTCTGCCTTGTTTACAAGTTGTATACTGCGCACCTGTGTCCAAAGGACTGCTGCCCGCAGCTGCTCTTTACAGCACTGAGCAGTATCACTGAGCTTTTCCAGAGTGCGGCGATCAAACACGGTTTTAACGGTAATTAAGATTTGAAACGGTAGTACTAACCGTCAGACATTTTACTGCGGTTTATCACTTTATCAGTAATCGTTACACGCCCACTCAGTTGGCTGAAGTATAACTGAAGTATAAAAGTTACTTAGCTTAGCTAATCTATGAACAGAAATAAAACGACTCTTATCATCTTCTCAGGATAAGTGAACAGGATAGTAAATCTGACCCTTTTTTTATCCATACTATCTGTAAAAGCATCACATATCATTGTTTTAAATGGTTGTGTGCAGAACTTATTGCTCTGTCTCAAATTAGCTCCTTCATCAGAAAGTCGGATCACATCAAGCTGCAGCCACTGCCGATGAAAAACTGCAGTTCCTCAAGTGTCCACTAGGCTACAAAAGACACAGAAACGACATAAATGAAATGTCACTTTATACAGGAGAAATGAACAAACTGGACCAGTAAACTTACACTCTTTTTCTGTTTTTACTGATGTGTGTCTTCAGTATATGAAGAGTCAGTATATACAGAGGTGATGAATGAGTGAATTTATTCATAACTCATTCATTCAATTATATTAAGACTAAGAGTTATGTGTAATCCAGTATGACTGACAACTTTAACTCCGCCTCTTGACTAGTTTCAAGATTAGTGTGAATCTCTGTTACAGTGAAGGTTGTCCCTGAACTTCATGTGACTTCTCATTAAGGAGACTACATCCATGTCACATACCCGCGGTTTCCCAAACACTTGTCCTTGGACCTGTACCAGGCCTTAGGTTGTTTCAAACCAGGCTGTGAAAAACCTCTAAGTTTGAGCAGTTCTTGATATTGATAAAGATCACACAGACCTTGGAGGACAAACAGACACTTACTGTTAAACTACGATAACAGCAGCCTCACAGTCTTTTTTCTCTCAGATGCTTCAGTCCCTGCTGCTGCCTGGTCACATCAGACTAAGATCTCAGCTGGATGAGGTCCTGGACATGGATTTGATCCGGCAGGAGGTGGATCATGGAGCTTTGGATCTCCCCAGACTGTCCGGATACATCATCAACACCATGGCCTCCCTTTGTGCACCTGTACGTGACCCTGAGGTTCGAGCACTGAGGGATCTGAAGGACCCTGTGGAGCTCCTGAGGTGAGGGACGGGTTAAAGCTTGAGTCCTCTTAATATAGATAATTAAGTAAAGGCAGGTTAATTAACACAGGGATAGAGATCTATAGCTAATTATTTTCTAAGTGAAACACAGGAGATGCTCTAAATGTTGTTGTGAAGCTCCGTTACTGAAAAGACGCTGTATGAAGTTTACTGAGAACTTGTTTGAGTTCATTATACAACTCACAACCACCAGTTTCTCTACAGGATAATAACCTGAAAATGATCCAAAAACCTGGAGATGTGTTTCAAACACTCCGCCCCTGCCGAGCTGTGGGAGTATTTTAGGAGTCATCAAACTGTGCATCTGAGCTCAGCAGAAACAGCCTTCCTCTGACTCATCTGTATCCGCTCCTTCCTCCATTATAAATAACGATTTCTTACATTTAAAAAACAGACATTTACAAAACTTGGCTGCACTGGTAATAAATACTTTGGAGTAATTATCCGGAGAGTGAATGCTGTGACACTTTTGGAACAGAGTCTAATTAAATGCTGTCATTTCTGTGAATAGTGTGTGAAAACAACACTTTTGGAGGGGAAATACCTCAATTATTTAACTTCATTTCTATGATGAGGGTGAGTGTAGAATTTCTAATGAAGCTCAGGTAGCTGCTCACACCATGGCTGTCACTTCAGTGAAACTAAACCCATTCTCCATTTTCTGTACTGACCTTGATTTAAATCTTATACAATTTAGCAAATTTTAGACAAATTCTAAACTTTTTAAATGGATGCATCTATTTGAAGTGTGACTACTTTGTCCACAGGGGGCGCCAAAATAAACATTCCTCTCAGGAGCTTTAAAACACAGAGTGAAAAATGCAAAGGTCTTCACTCCTATAATTTGCACATTTTGCTGTGCCGCTATGTATATGAAATAAAGTGACTCGCAAGAGCACCCTACAGTATATATATATATATATATATATATATATATATATATATATATATATATATAATGACTCGCAAGCGCACCCTACAGTTTTCATGCTTGGGGAGTTTTTTCACACTAAAAAAATGAAATTTTTATCACGGTATACTTTTTTTAAGAACCTATACTGTGTCATTTGTTTCAAATGAAAATGTAAAATTTTTATTATATTTTATTATGACATTTTTTAACATTCTATACTGTCATTTGTATCAAACTAAAATTTTAAATTTTTATCATAGTAATCTATGTTCTTTTTATCATACTATACTATGACATTTTAACATACTTCAATTTGTCATTTGCTTTATTTGAACATTTAAATGTTTTATCGTACCACCCTTTGACATTTTTTTATACCATAGTGTGAAATTTTTATGTTACTATTCTATGATAAAATGTTTTCATATTTTACTATGACAATTTTTTTTCATATAATACCATGTCATATGTTTGATACCATCATTTAATTTTTTTTATCATACTATACTATGACATTTTGTTTATACTAAAATTTAATTTTTTTTATTATCGTTTACAATGACATTTTTTTCAAACTTAAATTTTGAAATTTTAATCATAGTAAACTACAATATTTTTTATCAAATTATACTCTTATTTGTTTCATACTTAAATTTAAAACTTTTATCATAGTTATTTATGACATTTTTACCATACTACACTTTGTCTTTTGTTTTATATAAAAATCTAAAATTTTTATCTTAAATTTTTTTAATGCAACTGTGTGTTTTAAAGAAGTTGGTAGAGAGACACCAACACACAAAAAAGCTGCGTAACACCACTAAACAACATCCCCTCACTGTGAAGAGGTTAATTTACAACAGGTTAGTCACATGTTAAAAACAAACAAAACTCCATAAATTAGACTAGAAAATATGCGATCATATGGACGACACAAACTAAAGTATTATATTTCATTAATGAATGTGTCGTAACATAAAATCTTCAGGTTACTTTCAGCAGGTCAGAATGTTGAACCACCACATCTCCTGGAAAAGTCGACCTCTTCAACTCGGAGGTCGGAAGAGCAGAAGTTGAATCACAGATAATAGAGAGCAGATTTTTTGGTTCAGATGCTTTTAACCTGTTTCAGTCAGAAGGGCTCAGCTTAAATATCACTTCGCCTCTGACAAGGTTGGGTCTGGTTTAGTTCATCAAGCTCCTGGTTCCAGATCAAAACAAAGATGGCAGCTGACTGAGTCCCTGAAAACAAGAATAAATGTAGTCGACATGATCGTTTCTCCTTCAGACGATATCAGAGATTCTCTCGTGTTCATTTTCACTGAAACATGACTGCAGACTGTGAAATAAAGCAGGTCAGATTTGGTGATCAGAGGTGGTTTATGAGACACATCAGACTTCAGGAGAAGCATGTCAGTGTGTCTGAAGATACTTTTTGTATATTTGTGTGTTTAATAAACTTAAAATAAACAAATGATTTAGGAATAACTCGAACCCTGCACCCCTGCCTCCTTCCAGAGAGATCTTCCGTGTCCTGGGCCTGATGAAGACCGACATGGTCAACTTCACCATCCAGAGCCTGAGGCCTCACCTCCTGCAGCAGGCCGTGCAGTACGAGAGGACCAAGTTCCAGCAGATCCTGGACCAGCATCCAGGTGAGGAGGGGTGATGGATGGGGAAGGTGACTTCCTGGCAGTAAAATTGATGGCCGTGGCGTATTTCTCTTTCTAATTAAAGAGATTTTGACCCTTGAGGTTGTAAAACACTAACCTGCCATTTTTCAGCGTCCCGTAGATTAGGTAAAGAGCTGGACGTGATTCTGTCTGAGTGCCGCTGGCAGAGTGACAGGAGCCTCACTGCTGACACAGTTATGTTAGTCTGGTGCTTCATATCCCAGAGTTCATTTTATCCCTGAAAATAAAGATTCTTACAGATTTAATTATCCAGTAAATCTATTAAAAGCTTTTTTTCTGTCTTTAAAGAATGAAGCAAATGTGCTGCAAACACAATTTAACTGGACCCACTCTCCATCCAGTCAAACAGACTCTCATATTTCTGTCAAATTAAACAAGAAAACTCAGAACGTGCGTCTCTAAATATTTATACTCACGTTCCTAATGTGTACCTGTTGTAACTACCTTCACATTGATGTGTTTTAATATTTTCCTCCAGCCTCTCTGGACTGGACCAGCGCCTGGCTGGAGGCGGCTGCGTCAGAGGAGGCTCAGTCTGACTCTCCCAGTCCTGACAGCAGAGGTCCTGTCAGCCCCACTGCTGTCCTCAACCGGGCGTACATGCGTCTGCTTCACTGGGACCCGCAAGACCAGAAATACCCCGAGGTCAGAAATTATGTCACACTGCACTCTGCCTGTCTTTTTTTTTTAATCTAAGTGATATTTTATTGATTATCGGGGATTTTCAGCCTCCCGTCTCTCCTCCTCACCCCCGCCGCCGCCGCATGTTGAAGCATGTGACACCACATTAGAGCTCATGTGGCGTTGTAGATCAGCAGCTCCCATCTGACGCAACCACGCAGACCTGTCAGTTCAGATCAAGATCCCCTTCATCAACCTCATCCATCCTGGATTCAAAAACCCTGTTACTGAACAGCATTAATAATAATAATGACATGAATATAATAATAATTTTACATTCACATCTACAGCAGGAAGACAACAGCGATGTTTTTAGACGATATGACTGTCAGTGTTCTGCTGATGTGGCCCAGTGTCTGTTTTACTGAAGTCACCAAACAAACCAAAGATTTCAAACATTCACTGTTTTTATTAAGACTGACATTTAAAGGGCTGAAAACCATCATTTGTTTTCTCACTTTATAATTTTTGGTACAGATGATGCAAAGATCTCATGAAAATGATGTCTTAACGCTCTGAAACCCAAACTCTGTTCACCATCTTAACTAAGAGATAAAGCAGAAGCTGAAAACAACATAATCCATGAATTTATTTCAACAGCAGGATGTAGTTTGTTATCTAGTGACTGTAAAAGCGAATGTTCGGCGATTTAAATCAATAATCTTTTATTCTACTTTAAGTTCGTAATTCTTTATGTCTTTAGAAATCAGCTGCAGCTGTTTCATATCGGACTTTAACCAGTTATTCCAAGTATTCAATATTCATCATCTTTAGTTAATCATTTCTCAACTATCGGAGTTATTTACCAGTTTAAGGATAAATCCATATATAAAAGATTATTTTACTAATTTAATCATAACTTTTAACACTCGGGTCTCTGGAAGAAGGTCAAACTTCTGTAAATAAGTCAGACTTTGAGTTATCTCAACTCTTTATCAACTTTACATTATTTTAAACTTTAAACAATTCTAACTTTTTATTTATCACAGAAACATTTATTTCAGCATTTTCATTTTTTACGCTGACCGTCATGTTTGAGTCTTTTTAACACATCAGTGAACTCTGACTGACTCATGTAGGGACGTTTTCTGTTTAAATATATTAGTAATCAAACCATCTTTAACTAGTTTTATGATTTATTCACCTGTTAACCATCAATTTAAAACATTAGATTATCCTACATTTAGCTATCCCAGCCTCTTATTTTTACTTACAGCTCACAGCTTTAGCGCAGAGTTCATCACTTTTGGTCGACTGTCTCAACACTGGACTTTTTTAAAGCGTTATCTTTAACTTTTAACGAACTGTTTAACTGTTTTATGAGCGAACAGCTTCTTTAAGCCGTTGTGCGTCCACACTTACTGACTTCCTGTCAGCTAAAATGGCGAGTTTTCTCATCGCTCTAGATGACCTGTCTTCATTTGCTCGATATCAAACATCAAACCTTTTCCTCCCAATCTCTGAGGTCGAGTTGACCCCGATACTTCCTCTCCACCTCCTCGCACTGACGCCGTTAAAATCCCCGTGACTGACCACGTGACGTTTGACCCTGACCCGTTTTCCTCACACAGACGGCCCTGATGGACCGAGCCCGCCTGGACGCTCTGGGACAGCAGCTGGAGATGTTGGTCCTGGAGGCGTCGGTGCTGCTCCTGACCGGCGCTCAGTGCGGCGGTTCCGTTTTCTCCCTGCAGGGGTTTGTAGGTAAACTCAGGCACGCCATCGCTGCCCTGCTGGAGGGCAGTCACAGCAGGTAAGAGAGGGATTTGGTGATGCATGTTCTGGCTGTCATGGGGAACAGGTATTGTATGAGAAGGAAACCGATGGAGGTGACAGCAGCCAACTAGCTTGTCAAAACTGATGCGGCTAACCTCATTCTATCTGTTTGAGCGAGCGCCCGTCATGATCAGGAGAGGAATGTGGAGCAGCAGCTCTGATACTCCGAGTCTGTTCTCACTCAGGACCAAGCAGCAATAAAGAGAACACGGCCGTTCCTAACTTAATCACCTTTATTAAAATGTCATTTCATTTAATCTCACCTCTTCGGGGACCCGGATGTTATTAAAACGCTTATTTATTGGCTGCTGCTAATCCCTTTACCCGAGAGAACTTCTAAATGGATATCTCCAGACCCCCCTGACCTGATACTCATCCACTGAAGCTCATTTATCTGACGCCGGTTTCTGGTGCTGCAGGGAAACCGACCTAAAGGCTGCACTGCTGGGGATCGGGGATGTCGTCGTGCAGCAGGTGACCGACGCTGTGAGCAGCCAGGGGGGAGGAGCGCCGCCTCAGGAGGACCTGGATCTGCTGAGAGGGCAAATATCGGAGCTGTGGAAGGACAACCACGCTGTGCGCACACTCATAGGTCAGGCTGAAAGGACGGGATCACCATTCAATGAAAGAAAGACGCATGTCTGGTTATCTTTGAGTGTCTGTGTTGGATGGATATTTGTTCTTGTCGAGTTTTTATTTCTGTCAGTTTCTAGTTTTTGGATTTTCTTGATCAGAAAATAAGAAACAAACAAACGTGACGACCTCAGGTTTCCTTTTTTTGAGGATTTTTGAGAGAAAAAATCTCCGAAATTCAAATCCAGACTAAAACAGAACCAGAATATTGTTTATTATCCCCTTAACCAGGTTAAATACTTGATTCTGATTGGCCGAAACCCCTAGACTGTGATTAATTCTGAGCAGCAACACAACGAACAACCACATCTTCTTACATGGATGAGATGACAGGAGTCTGATGTTTCCAGAAGCATCTGTAGATCAGGAGGATGAGAGGAGGACCTTTAAAAACAGGAGGGAGAATAAAGACGAAAACCTCCACGATCCATACTGAGCTCGTTGTTCCGTATTTTCTCCGTAGAGCAGCGTCGGGTATCTCATCCAGGATCATCGTATTTGGAGCGTAGTGAAACGACACGCTCACAGCAGGTGGTTTTTCCTCTCTGTGGTCGATCTCCTGATAATTCTGATAAAATTCAGTGACTGTTGATCCTCGACTGTCTGTGAAAAAGCTGTAAGTGATTTTACAGTTTGTGTTTTTGCAGGTTTACTCGTGTTTAATAAAGTAAACTCTGTTCCTTTCTGGTCCACATGGATCAGGGACCGACCATCAGATTGTTCTGTTACTGATAAATCCAGAACCAGGAAGGATTTCTCATCTACACCGACTGATACACAGTCAGGAGTTCACATATGGGGTTTTATTTTGAAATACCGGATGACATGCGCGGTTTTCCTGCTTGACTTCCTGTCTAAAACGATCTTCTCTGTAAAAATCGACTCGCCGCGTATCTTTAGCAGAGCTGCTCTCATACGACGCTGCGACGGAGCTGATACTCGTCCTGTTCTGCTGCTTTGATTAGAATAAAAACCTGTTTGATACGAGACGCCGCTGTCGTTACGCTCCAGATACGCTGATCCTGGATGTTTTAGCCTAAAGATGTTCAAACATGTTTGTATCTTAAACTTCTTTAAAGGTCTGTGTTTTCTCTGATGTAAGACTCTTCGATCTTTACGGTTGTGTATCTTTAGTTTTGTCATGTTTGTATATTTGAGTTCATTTGTAAACACTGAAGTCTCAGTCAGCTGTTGCAGTCTGTCCTATAATCATGTGACTGAAGTTGTTATCCTGCTGCTGCAGCAGAGAGCTGACTTCTTACTTTCTCTCCTTTTCTTCATCCTCCCCCTCATCCCTCTTTGCATCTCTCTCTCCTCCTCCTCCTCCTCCTCCTCCTGCTCCTCCTCTCGATCAAACAGGAGAGAGGGTACAGGGCTTCCTCCAGGCCATGCTGCAGGGCGGCCCCGCTAAAAGGAGTCCAGAGCTGCCCGCCCCCCTCAGGCTGGTAAGTGCTGAGCTCGCCGAGCTGGGGACGGCCTTTGGGCGAATCGTCCACTTCAACCGGACCGTCTTTGGTCCCTTCTACGCCCCCGTCCTCAGGAAACTGCTGTTCCCGCCAGGAGAGGCCGAGAACGCAGAGGACTCGCGCTAGACTGAGGGTAACCCGGGCGACCGCCCAGGAAGTCGACATAAGCTGCCATTAGGCGAAGATTTGGAGCGAACAGAAGCTACACAGTGTAAATAGAGCGAGTGGGAGAAAAACATTGATAGTCTGCAGAAAAAAGCAGCATCTTATTATATTTTTTCAGTTATTCAACAAAAATGTAAATGAGCCCAGGAGGCAGATGCTGAGTCAGAATCGAATTAATGCATCTCGAGCATTTTAGAGGAAAAAAACCCGACAGTCTGAACGAAACAAAGGAGGAATCATTTTATACGTGGAAGAGGAAGAGTTCAGATGGTGTTCATGAGAAAACTCGGACAGATGACGGGTTTTTATCATGTCTCTGAGTTTCCTGGAAAAAAGTGTTTGACGGTTTTAAAACACACTCAGGAAAAAAACACACAGAACACCAAAGATTGTGCTGACAGGCTGTAAATAGTGTTTGTAGTTGTTTTCTCTCATTATCGAGTTTTATCAGAGGTGATTGTGTCGAGTTTACCAAAGATATGTGTCTGAATTCTTCTGGTTTTTTACACTTTTGATTCTAAACCAAAGTATCATCAGGGTCGCCCCTGCAGTGGAGGGTGATGCGCTCAACATCCAACAATTAAAGACGAAGCGAATGAGAAAGAAAAAAAAAGCAAGCAGTCACCGTTCAGCTCCTCGAAGTTTTGAAGCACAAGACAGCAGGCCAGGTGGATCACAGAAGCAGAGCGCCTCAAAGCTTAGTCTGCAGGATGTAGTGGATGTGGTCATAATCATTTTATAAAGTTAAACTTCAACACAAGGAGCGAAACTGACGTCATACAACCTGGAGAAAACGGCACATCACAGGTCAAAGATGCAGACGGCGGACGGAGATAATAAATATGGAGGGATGAAAAGCTGTGAGGTCAAATTTAACATTTTCAGCACATCCAACTTCCTTTACAGCGAGAATATGAAACACTACATCATGCAGAAAGCTGAGGAGGAGGAGAAGGTTTGACTCCATCATGAAGAACTAACGGTATGTTTGAGACAGACTCAGTGGTTTGGGTTCGATCACTTCTCTGAGCTGAACGGGTGAACGGAGCTGCAGGAGTCACAGAGTTAAACATCGTCTCAGAAACGCTCTCCTCCGTTATTATTTCACCAACATCCTCCCACATTTATCTCTTTTATTCTTTAGAAAGTTCCCCAGAAAACTCCGGCGTTGATTTATGATCCTCAGACTAAACTGCAGTATTTTTGTTAAATTGATGAATTCCAGGTCCGACAAACACGCGAGTCTGTTCCTGATTATTAAAACGAGAACGAGAGAAAATTCAAGGACAACAAATGATTCAATACTGTGGAGGAAGTGGAGCTGTGATGGTCGGTAAACAGGCTCATATTTAACGGTCATTATTAAACCGACTCGACCTTAAACACTTGTGTAAACCCTCATGGCTCCTCCTTCCTGCTCGTGTCAATAAGGATCTGACTCAAACTCTCTAATCACTGACGGTCCTGCAGGAGAAAAAGCCCCGAGAGTTTTTCACAGTTTGATCGACCCTAAAAACGCTCCAGATCCTGATCTGTTCGGACACGCCCCCCTCTCCTCTCTCTCTGCCCTCTGCTTTGGTCAAACGGAGTCAAACTGAAGACCCCTGACACCCCGATCACCACGAGTCCTCTCTGTGGAGTTTGACACTCGGCCGTTTATTCAGGAGGGTTTCTGTTTGAGCGTGAAGGAAGTTCAGATGTTATCCAGTGTTACTGTGTTTTAGTTCCTGTATCCTGTTCTGAGAGGATTTCTGGTCCTCTGATTGGTCGGTGAATGAGACTCAAACCTAAATTAGAGACGTTCTTGTTCAGAGGCTGTTGTCTTTAAAGGACCCGGTCTTGTACTTCATGCAGACTGGACTCTATGGAGACGGTCTGATCCGTGGGGGGTTCTCCGTTTGTGTCCGTGGTCGACCTCGTCATTTCAAAGGCCTCACAAAGCGCCCTACAGGGCCTAGCTAGCTGGCTAACGAACATAGATTCATGAAACAATCATCATCACAAAGATATTTTCAAAATAAAGGTCCTTTCACACCGAGAGCGTTTTTTTTTTTCGTGCAATTATTTTGGACGTCAATATTTCTTTTGAACCCGTATCCTGTCAATACAAGCGTTCACATCAGCGACGTTTTCCCGTCCTGCGATATTGCGGCATTTATTTTTTCGGATCACGGTCAAATTTTCTAAAGTTTCTCATACTGTGTGTCCACTTCTGACCAATCAGATTTCGTGTTGTTGCGACGTCAGATTCAGCGGTATATCCAACATGGCCGACCGGCTGATTGTTTACGTGTCGGAGAACAGAGTGATTTACTGATTTACTGTGCTAAGTAACTTTAGCTCGTAAGCTAACCTGTTCAGATACAACAGACCATCTGTATTTTCACTGTAAACTCAGTCTCAGCTCCATCAGGTCTCGGTTGTTCCCTCACGTTTATGGATTATAGTTTAATGTGTTTATCTGGTTCTGACCCGACTCAGTACATGCTATCATGACAGACAGACATCTCAACACTAGAGTCTGATCAGAACTGAGAAACACTCAGTCTGCTGTTGGCTCAGTCTTCTCACTTCCACCCGGGACGCGTCTTTTTCCCCCAGAAAGTCGTAAAATCGCATCGCGCTCGATGTGTTTAGTCAGGCGCGTCAAAATTCGCCTCTGAATATTTCGTAATTTAGCGTTGTATATTTGCGTCGTTCCCGGTGTGTGAGGACCTTAAGAGTCTTTCTCAGTTTGTTATGTAGAGGGAACTGTTTGATAGTCGGCCATCTTGTTTGACCAGAAAAGTAGGACGAATTGGATCAGCCTTCAAAGTGGGACAGCCCTCGCCGTTCTGCCTTGGAAGGATGCAGCTCCTGAACTGGGACACAGCTGTTGATTCTGGGGCAGCAATTATAAAAAAAAACACGTCTTTATCCTTTTTATGAACTTATAACTGTGTTTTTGAGGATATTTGACTAAAACGTCTTTGACAGGAGCGAGTCTGAACTGTAAATCTGTTTTTAATCACGAAAACAAACGGCGTGTTTAACATCGAGATGACAGAGGAGTTTTATGGGATTGTGATCAGCAGGCGCTCCAGAAAATGGGATGTTTAGCTCTGTGACTTGAATTTAATATAACACCATAATCACTAACTGGGGCGTTTGTTGAGATTAGAAGTTGCACCACCCACTAATCTCCATGGCAGGGGAACCACTGATGGTGTAATTGTACAGTAATTACTCTGCTGTTAAATTTGTCACTTTACATTCAAACCGTCTGTTTTTCTTTCTATTCGATCATATAAAACAAAATCAATGCCGACAACAGACTTGAGAGGGGTTCTTTTGTCATTGTAGTATTTAATTTCATTAATATAATATTGCTTTGAAATTTGAAACAGTATCACATTTTCTTTGACAAACCGTACTCTGTCCACAAACACGGGCAGAGCGTTGTATGCTGGTACAGTTTCTCTTCTTTTTCTATTTTCTCTACATCTCATGACCCTAAATAACCTCCAGCTCCTCTCTCCAATAGACCTGAATCAATAGAAATGCTCAGTAATGGTCTATATCATAAATGGTCTACAGTGCTCTAAACATTACAGTACCTACATGACAGGATCAGAAAGTCACTCAGAGGCCAGGAAATAGTCTGGACCGCTCTCAGGAGTGATACACAGGTCCTGTTTATCCAGGTGAACTGTTGGTCTGTGTGTTGGGAGTCGTATCAGGGTGGGAGTGGGAGTGGGGGTGGGGTTTACAGAGTGAGATCTAAAATGTCAGAGTAGCTCTGCTTTGGCCCTGCACGTTGCATAAGGCTTACCTCTCATTTCCTCTCTCTCTCTCTCTCTTATCTATCTCTCTCCCTCTCTCTTCCGCTGCTCTGCCCACTAACTAACTGAACACACGCAAAACACACTCGCATCGCGGGCTGCTCCCCTTCAACTCACAGCTTGGTATCCGGAAACTTGAACGCTGGGGTGAGCTACACAAGGAAAACACCAATGTTAAAAAAGAGACCGGTACATGCACAGCCATATCATGCCACCAAAACTTGCTGGAAATAGCTGCTGCTCATTAAAGTGTAATGCTTTTACATTATGCATCCATACTAGAGCAGGTTGTCTTGGTGACACACAAAATGGAAGAAGAAGAAGAAGAACATACGTGACAAAATGTTGGAGGGATGAAGGCAAATGGAGACATGAGGGAGGGATGAGGATGAGAGCGCGGTATTTGTGTGTGAGGGAACAGAAGAAGCGGAAATGGCAGGTGAGTGGAGAGAGACGAGACACGGCTACAACAGTACAAACAAAGACTGCTCAGGCCGAGTGCATCAAAGGGGACAAAACACAAAGAAACACTGCCATCATGCATCATCAGTGGAAGCTAACAGTGAACAGTCAGAACAAGGTGGCGAAGACACGGCCACGGTACCGCACACACAGACCAGCTACATCATCTTTTTTTATAACAGTCAGTCTGCAGCCACACAGGAGCTCAATGCCTCCTCTCTCCTGCAGCACACATGAAAAAAAAACACAAGGACAGCGAGCGGACAGTGATGTTAACAGTCCAAACTCCCATGAGGACAGACAAGGAACAAGGCATACAGCACGCACAGCAGGTAGTGCACACAGAGGAGAACCCACAGATTCGTGTCGACTCCACCACGAGCATTTTTGAGTCACAGTGCAGTGAGGGAAATCTTTTTTTTTTTTAATAAAGAAGAAGGGAGACGAAGAAGAAGAAAAGAAATAAAGAGGGTGTCACGTTCTCGGCGTAACAAATCCATTCGTATTAACATGACACCAGAGCAACACTTGGATTGGGCTCGCTGTAATCTGCTGGAATTAAAAACCTGTTACCCTGGGATACCCTCCCATGTAACCATGAGAAGACGATCGTATGTTTGGGAACATGCGCCGAATTGTGCTGCAGCCTCATCGTTAATAAAATCGTGCAGTGGAGGGTTCTGATCGCTAAATCGTGAAATGTGCCTTTAATGTTGTTGTTTTTTTTCTTTGTATGCTTCGTCTCCATTTTTCACCTCTTGTTGTATCATCAGGATCCTTCATGATCCTTTTTTTAGTCACTCTCCCCTGAAGATTTTCAGTCAGACCCGGTCTATCAAAAAGTATCACAAAGTGCACTATCTGCACCGTCGTAAGAAAAGAAAAGAAGGTATTAAAAGGGATAGTGCCGTATTTGAACACAGTGTTTTCTTTTTTTTTCTTTTTTCTTTTTGTTAAATTGACAAGAAGATGCTGTGATTTCTTTTCTCTTTTTTTTGGTTTGCAGTCTCTCATTGCTACCATGAATGCTGAGAGACTGCAGGGCGGGCAGTACAAGGCCAGAGCAAAGACTCTCATCTGGACTAAACTGTACCATCATAAAACCAACGTCCCATCGCAGCCGGTCACAGTCACTTTAAAAACACCCGGACATCAGCGGTGTCGTCTTTTTTTAAGTCTTCTAGAAGCAGGGGGTGGCGTGCAGTTGTCGGGTCGTGATGGGTGCGATATATTCGGGAAGGTGGGGGCTTTAGTTGATTATAGATTATAACCCGAAACGAAGTAAGGCTGTCGTCCTCGCTTACGTGTGAAGTAGTCCTCCTGTGTGTTTGTACCAGGGTTCAGTTCTTGGTCCGTTTGAGTTCAGACATCAGTGATGGATTGGTGACCGATCCATCGTGTTGTAATATGACTACTGTACAAATGCGTAGAAAAGAAAAATAACAGGTTGTTTTGCTGCATGTTGCTGTTTTTTTTATCTTTCATCGGTTAATTGTCCGTCTTGCATCCCATGCTAGCAAAGCAGCCTCCTCATAGTGCCTCACAGTGGTAGATGCCTGGTAAGACAGGACAGGCTAAAGATGGAGAAAGAAAAAAATATATAACTTTCTTCAGGCAAAACAACCAAACAATCAAAGAATTAAGAAAATTAAAAAGTAAAGAGATGATGTTAAAAAACTGAAGTTAGCATGCTTTTAGCTCAAAGGCTGAGAGTCTGATCTGTTTTAGTGTTCAAGAAAGTTCAACATCGTTGGGAAACACACCTACAGCGACGTTAGCTTGGCGACCGAAATTAAGGAAACGGCGAGCTCTGCGTTACTCAAAGGTAGAAGGATCAAACAGACTTCATCTGTTCAGTCTGATCCTCACAGAGAAGAAAAGAGCAGGACCGCTAAACTCAAGAAACTCAAGATTTCTGAGTCAAAATGTTCCTGTCGAGAACGTAGACAGGACATTAAAATAAAACTGTTTAAGCCATCATTTTTAGAGCTCCCTCTACTGGCTGGCTGCAGTATAAGACACAAACCCGGCCTCCGTCATATAAACAGATGAAACACTGATTCAACTATTAAACGAAAACACACATCAGCCAAGTGTTTCCAAACAAACTTTCACTTATAAAAGTTAATATTTTTGCTAATCCAGATTATTTTTTTCCTTATTTTTTAAATCAGTTATTTAATAATAAAAAAACAAGATTCACAGCTCTGACAGAAAATGTAACAAACTCTTATAAACTTCCTGTACTCAGGCACGTCTGAATCTGTCCTGTTGAACCGAAGCGTCCTGAAAGATCCACTCGTCAAATCTACGATAACGATCACAGTTAAAATACGACACAACCGTCTGAATCCTGTGTATTTTCTGTACCTAAAAACTGACTAAAGAACAACACATGACGCTTCAAAGCTCAATTTTTAAAATAATGAAAAACCGAAATATCAAATCTAAAGTGCAAAGACAATTTTAAAATGTTTAAAATAATATTTCATAGAGCAAAGGAAATCACTACATGCCTGCAACACCATCCAAACAGCTGAATTTTACACAAGTCTCAACTTTATCAAGGCAAATAAATAATTATAGTTTTCCATTCAGGGGTGGCCAATCAGATCCCAGGGGGGCCCATGCCATCCCTCGCCCCTCTGGACACACCCCTGCTCATGAGAGCAGTCTTTTTTTAGGACTAATGTCTCCCTATGGTGAGGAAATGAAAACATGGAGTCTTTTTAGTTTACAGTCGATTTTTCCTGATTAATATTTTAAAACATAATCGAGGAACGAAGCAGGAACATCTCTGAGCTGTCGGGCTGGTTTGGATCTGGTCTGACATGAAGTCCAGTTTCTCATGGTGTCCCCGTTTAACTAACAAGATCCGTGATGTAAGAAAGATGCTTTTAAATGGATCTGAATGTTTTTTTTTTAATAACCAGGTCGGCTGTTTGTCTTCTTTTCAATCTGGATGATAGGCTAATACGACAGCTGCACACACAGATACATCATAGAGCAAATTATAAACAATAAATAAAACCTAAAAACACAGAAATGAGTCAGTGAACGTGTGTATTTCCCAATATGTTGAACTTTTCCTCTGAACAGTTAATCTGTTTTATATATATTTTGATATTTCATCAACAGTGCGACCTCTTCGTTTACTCCGTAACATAAACTCAACCCTCCAAGAAATGAAACTCGCTGTGACTTAAATCTGAAAGTCGAGTACAGAGCCAAATAAAAATAAGCATGCTTGTTTTGCCAGCGGAGAATAGATTTGGTTAAAAATAGGTCTGAAAAAAGTAAAGAATAATAAAGATGCAACCTCTGGGAGCTATCTGGGATTTGGAGGCAGATGCATGTTGTCAGGAGGAGGAGGATGAGGAGGAAGAGGCAGTTTGGTTGAGAGAGCAGGGCCACTGTAAAATGACATCAGTCCAGGATCGTCCGGTCCGGGGCTCCGGGGCTCCGGCACGGGCTGTAGCAGCAACAGGCGAGGGAGGCTGCCGGGGGGGTGGCGGGGAGGCACGGGGGGGAGCCGCAGGAGTGTTTGTTATGGCGGGTGGAGAGGTTTGTGTGGGTCACTGGGCAGGGCAAAGGAGGGTGCAGGAGTGGGCAGCCCTGAGGGATGCTATACCATCACAGTGAGAAGGCACGGGGCTTGCATGTTTTTCATGTGTCTGTGTGTCTGTGTGAGAGAGAGGAACCAAGAACCGGATGCAGGGGGGGCAGGGGGGAAGTACGAGGGGGTGCAGAGGGGCGGCTGTGGGGGTCCCGCCTCAGAATATGGTGGTCTCGTACTTGGTGCTGACGGGGCGCCTGTTGGAGTCCCGGTGGTCCAAGAGCCAGGTGGTGCTGCCCAGGGACTGCATGTCTGGGTCCATCTCCAGGGGGTCGATCTGCCGGGGGGGAGGGAGGGAGGAGGGACGAGAGGAGGAGGGCGTGAGACGGGCGGCAGTGGAGGCCATTGCGCCACACTGACAAGTCCTCAGCTCACACACGTGCATGTGGATCAGAGGTACAGTCCGGTGATCGTGATCTAATCACAGACTCACACTCAGGACTCAAATCCACAACATGGAGGATGAGGTCTGACAGTCTGAAGACTGGAGAGCGGCAGGGAGGCAACGCCACAACCCTCAACAACAACAACAACAACAACAACATGTACTACTCTGATTAGTGTGTGTGTGTGTGTGTGTGTGTGTGTCGTCATTATATAAGCAGTCAAAACACACATACTGATGAATTTACTGGAAGCCAGGAATGAATTTTAAATGGCCTGAAAAACCCTCAAGATTTAGGCATCTGAATTTTTTAAACTCCCTGCGTATGGATGACAACTTCGTCTCAACATGTCTTATTAAAGAGATAGTAACACAAAGAAGGAGAGAGAGAGAGAGAGAGAGAGAGAGAGAGACGGAGCTTAAGACCATCCGACAGACAACTTCAACCATCTTGTTTACAAAACCCTCACTGGCACAATTAAGCCAACAGTCCTCCGAGAAGCTTAAATATAGAGAGAGAGGAAGGAAATCACGTCAAGAAAGAAAGAAAGAAAGAAAAGCCTCTCCTCCTCCTCCTCCTCCTCCCTGAATAATACTCTGAACCACAGGAATAAACTCGACTCTAAAATGTGAGATGAGGATGACGGATGAGAAAGTAAAGGGATGAGAAGAAGATTTATGGTTGAAATATTAAGATAAATATGACAAAGTGCGTTACGGCACCCGATCGAGAACAAAAACAGGGAAGTGTGTAAGCCGATGTGTGGTGATTTAACAGGTTGAATAGAGGAAAGGAAAGAGAAGGACCTGGACTCCAGGGCTAACAGAGTGCAACGGGAGGAAGGAAGGGCGGTGGGTAGTACACGTGTGACAGTGACAGCAGCGGCATTCGAGCAGAGGGGCACCCTGGGAAGCAGGAGGACCAAGAAGACAAGAAAGAAGACATGTTAAAAAAAACGAGAGCGAAAAAGAGGGACAGAGCATTTAGCAAACAGATAATACAGCAGAAGAAGAAGAAGAAGAGGAGGACGCTGTCGTCACCCGTCTACAGCTGAAGAAAGCACATTAGTCAAGGTAATTATTCTGCTTCTTATTCTGCTCCTGTAATTGACATTCACTACAACCCTCCCCCAAAGAGCGCCTGTCCAATCACAGCTTAGCAACCGTAACTAGGCACGGCAGGTCTGTCAAGGTTTTGGATTTGTACACATGTTGAGGCGGTGTGCAGAGGCTGGTGTAAGGATGGAGGTTCAGGATCTCCTTTTAGCCTTGAAGACATAAATCACTCTTGTTATTGTCCTCAGTCACACGAGCCGCTAATGTCGCACGCTCTGCTAACTAGGTTACTACTCACTAACGCTGTCTTACTGCGAAGAAGCACATTATTACGTAACAGCTTTAGATGGTTGCAGGTTATAAAAAGACGGGTTCACATAAACTGAGGAGCGACAGTTTCTCACTGTGAGGGAGACAGAAGTGAACTTCAGCAGCTCTGCTTTAAAATGAGTTTCAGAAGTTCAGGAGGATTTTCTGATCCCCGTCACAACGACGAGGAGTGAGGAGTGTCATCTGAAACTGGGATTCAAATAAAATGTTAAAGGGATATTCCAGTGTAAGCGTCAAACACCGTAACACCGAGTTAGACCCCGCCTCCAGAGATGAATGTTGTCGACCGCTTCCTTCTCTAGTTATACCAACTTTAGTAACGACCGCAGGATAGCAATACAGAGAGCCACGCCCCCAACCAAAACGCCACTCTATAGCCACAAATAATGCTCAGAACAGCACCTAACTTCATCAACAGGACATATAGGGTCCCAGTGAGACCTCAGGCCAGTCCATTACAGACTACAGTGGGGTGACGCAGCTCAAGGAAGAACATTTATGATCATTTCTTCATCATTTCCTTGAAGTAATAATCATCATATTAATCATTTTTCAGACGCGGTCGTTCTTCTGTCTTAGCGTCTCGGTCTGATTGTATTTCCATGAAGAAATGATCATAAATGTTCTTCCTTGAGCTGCGGCACCCCGCTGTAGTCTGTAATGGACTGGCCTGAGGTCTCGCTACAAACAAGCGTCTGCTGGAAGAGAGTAGGTGAGTTGTGTTTAGTGTCTTTGCTCAAGAAATGAGTCAAAGTTAAAAAGATGTTTGGTGTCTAGTACTATGTCTGTGACCCTATATGTCCTGTTGATGAAGTTAGGTGCTGTTCTGAACATTATTTGTGGCTATAGAGTGGCGTTTTGGTTGAGGGCGTGTCTCTCTGTATTACTATCCTGCGGTCGTTACTAAAGTTGGTATAACTAGAGAAGCAAGCGGTCGACAACATTCATCTCTGGAGGGGGGGTCTAACTCGGTGTTACGGTGGGTTTGACCCTACATTAATTTTACGCTGGAAAATCCCTTTAAATCTTACACTAATGATCATTATAATTAAAGTACAAAGACTGACTTTAGTCTTCGATCATTTTAGTTTCTTGACAGTGAGCGGCTGCACAACTTCATCATCATCGCTGTAAAATATTGATCACTGTATTAAATCAGTGTTTTCTCCCTCATCATGTAGATGGAGGTCTGTGCCGCTGTCAGCCGACCTCAGATCATAACTTAGTGATGAAGAAACGGCTCCTTGGATGTTTTTCTTGGTAAACTCTGGTGATATGTAGAAACTGTGTGTTATTGTGGCATGCACTCTTTAATATGTTTATTTACTGCACCACTTATTAAAATCACAATAATCAATAATGGTTCTGTTTTTTTCCCCTTTCAGATTTGCTGGTAAAGAGTTGAACTAAGTTTGGTAAAAACATGATTTTGTTGGATTTAAAGTCACAAATTACAAAAGAGATATCGGAAAACTTTTATAATAATATATAATGATTTTTTCTTCTTCTGTTATTTCAATAAATGTAAAAAAAGCTGGACTGAAAGGGTTAATTTAATCCATTAATTTATAAAAATATGTTAAATTACTGCGTTAACTTTTCATGATAAATTCTCTCAGTTAAAATGTCCTGTTACAGTTCAGAGTGTGTTTGTGTGTTTGTGTGTTTGTGTGTCCGCTGACAGTGAACTGGTGCCGTTAACATCTGAGCTCTGTTACTGTGAGTTGTGTGCGGCCGATTTGCTGCTTAAGGCATGCTGGGATACCGGGCAGGACCAAACTAGAGGTGCTGACCTTTGACCTCTTTTCTCCCTCCAAATGTCACAAATCTTCATCATCAGAAAAACAAGTAAATACTGAACTAAAAAGACTCGAGGACCAGACGTGGAAGTCTGTAATTGTGTCTCAGTTTGTGTACAACCATTAGGAATTTAATCATCTATTTAAACAGAAACACAACTTTAATATAAACATAATTTTTGATGGTTTTTAAAGCCTGAATTTGATTAAAAATACTGAAAAGACGACCCATCAACCTGAGCTGAAACTTTGAATCTGTTGGATTGGACATGTCTCCGAAAAGGTTCACTACTCTGTGAGAGACTGCGTAACTTTGATAATAATGTTCCTGAGAGTTAGACTGTGAAGATTTGAGGTTTTCATCGTCTACAGGACACAACATTCGGCTTTGGGCTCCCAGGTGACACGACTCTGTAGTGGAACTCACCGCACACGCTCAAAATCACACCTAAAACCCGGTTCATCAATGTTAGCTAAAAGGGAACCAGATCTAACAACCAGTGAAGGTACCAGATGTGATCGGGCCCAGAACCTGTTTAAGATGTCACACTACGGCAAGTCCACTCAGACAAACTACACTGCGCTCCGTTTAATAAGTCAAACGTGCTCGGTCAAAAGCCCCTCATGGTTTTCTTTATTTCTGTTTGTTCGTTGGAATTCTCTCTCCATATAATACAGAGAATTACAACTGACTAAACTGTCATTTTTAGATGTCTTTAATTGTATATGTGATTATATATATATTTGATATTTTCTACAGGAAAAAGAAAAAAAAATGTACACAGGATCATAAACGTTTATCAATAGATAGTTTTGATTTTATTCCACATTTCCAAAAGAGGCGATAGTCCGACTGTCGTTAGTCAACTTTGATAACTAGATTTTTTTGTAAAATATGTCCAAGAACTACAATCCCATAAAAACCGTCATGAAAACAGCTTCTGTAATATCTGGACCACCCACAATCTTCTACGTCATCCAATCAACTTCCAGCCAATCATATAGCGTGACGTCATCAACAGGCGCCGATCTGGGCGCCCGAACACATCTGGTACCGACACCAGGAACTGAGGTGGAGAGGAAAACTGTGTGGACAAAGCTCCATGAATGAAGAGCCCTAACTGTTAAAACCACATCATATAATACAACAATAACATGGCGTCACAGTCGAGGGGTTCAGGTGCTAAACCGGCCCACCCTGCAGGGGTCCACCTGTCACCCACAGCAACGATACGGAGCACCATGGCATGAAAAATACAACGAAGGAGACCCTGAGCTGTTGAGCAGCTGAAATCCTTTATCAGCCAAGAACGAGTGGAGCGACATTTTATTATAAAATTCATTTAAACGTCTGATTCAGAGTCTTTTTAAACTGTTTTAACTGATTAAAGGATGTGAAGTGTTTGCAAACCATCAAAATCTTTTTTTCATCATTTTACTCGCCGTCCAAGCGTCCACAGCTCGGGCGAATTAGAGAGTCAAATAAAGAAACTAACTGTGGCGTCAACAAATAGACAAACATTCAAACAAATAGCAGCAGATAGGAGTCTCTCTCTCTCTCCCGTCTCTTTTCAAACTTAAACAAGCAGCCGGGCTCATTATGCAGCTCTGTGATTACTCCATATATTATCCTTACAGGCAGGTAGTAAAACAAAGTGATTTGTGTCTCTGCAGAAGCATGTGGTCGAGCGGCGTGCAGCGTGCTCCCGGCCCGGCAGCTCTCTCAGGTGACAGTGATCACTGAGTGCTCATTATATGCAGCCTGAGAGGTCAATGCATCACGGCGTGGCTCAGGGTGTACGAGGACATTTAGGCAACGCACTTAATCAACAGAGAGGAAGCGGCGGACGCTCGAACCGACGGAGCTGAGCCCACAGAAACCTCCCGAAGGAAATCAGATACCTGCCCGCGGACAACAAATAAAAGTCCCCATTCATCATGTCTCGCATACGCAGAAGAAGAAGAAGGAGAAGAAGAAGAAGTCTCCGCTGATTTGAGTGACTCAGAGTCGAGGGGTGGGCGTGACGAAACCCTTATCAAAGTAATGACTCATGGTTTTCAGACACAAACACAGCAGGTCTGCTTCTGAGGGGGTCCTCTGAGGACGGTGGACTTTTGGACTTTACCTCTGTCCTTTAGAGACGTGGGGCTAACACACATGAACGCACACACTCAACAGGTCACTTCACGGGGTTATGAGGGTGGTACTCACTGCTGATCTCCGCATACTATTCCAGGACTGCGGTACAGGTCGGCTGGTTTTGGTCTCGATGACCTCCGAGGTCAGAGAAGTAGGCGGGACGTATTGTCTCGCCCTGGACTGGATCGCCATCTGATAGGCCACTTCAAACGCCTGTCCCAGTGTGAGGATGATCTCGTAGGTCTGTGTCTGAAGACGAGAAGAAGAACAAGTGTGTTGGACGAAGAGAGGACAGACTTGATGATAGAAACAAAAACATTCGTCAAAGTGAAAGTTTAGATTTTGGTTTGATGAAAGATTCACGCTGAGTTCTCATCAACCTTAACCCCGAATTTCCACCGCATTCGGAACGGCTCTGATCCGGAACATATGTGATTTCACCGTCCGTGAGTTCCTATGGGATTTCTTTGTGAGGTGAATTTTGTGGCCGATTACGAACAGCAGGAATCACGAGAACTCACAAGAATGCACAGATTCACATTGAATCGCACCATAACGAGTCGTCTCTCTAAAGACAGACACATAGACATATAAGCAGTAGATTGTGTCCTTCCAGAGGAGGAAATCTACTTCTAGACTTCTAGAATCAGCATCTCCTCATCCATGGTGTCATCGGGGTGAAATGACGTCTAAAAACCTTTCACTTGTTCGTCTCCGCCCGTTTGCATGGTGTGAAATACGATCCTCCTAAAACACAGGGTGTTTTATTTTGAAAAGAAGCCGGATGTTTTATTTTGAAAAGAAGCCGGATGTTTTATTTTGTGTCTGTGCCTGACTTCCTTTCCAGCACGGGTTAATCTGTGCTGAATTTATCCGCCATGCTCCGGCGTCCAGAAAAAATAGAACTCTTGTGATCAGCTGAGGAGTCCGGCGATCCGCAGAGGAACGGAAAGAAGTCGGTGTAAATTGACACGTTAACTTGAATGTTTACGATCAGCTGCGTTTGGAGGATACAGCCTTTTCGTTGTCGTTCAGGATGTGGTGGAAATTGGGGGTTAAACACGTTAAACGTGGAGTAAACAGATCAGCTGTTTCATTCACTAATCACATTAAAAAAGCGCCCGTGTAAACTTGACTGTTTGGTGTCGGCTCTTTTAGTCAGTCTGTGATAACAAAAGCAGAAGTGAATAAATTTTAATGATATCCGACTCTGATTCAGAGCGACTATTATCATACAAAATCACATCACAATAAGCATCACAAAAAGGCAGCTTTTCACATTGTTAGGATAATTACTTGGTGTAATTGTCTGTTGGCTCCCGCTTGAATATCTGGGTTTGACATCACGTTGTGCACACGGAGCCGCTGAGTTTAATAAAAATAAGGAAGGCAGAAAATTGTGTTTGGGCCTGGTTAGACTCTGAAAATGTTTCTCTGCAGTTAAGCGACTCTCCGCAGTGGTTCGTCCCCCAAAGAGAAAAGATTGCCTTTGACCTTTACTGAAGCTCAGACACAAATTACATCATATTCAGAGTCTATATATGGAAATGCCAAGCATAGCAGGAGCAGACCTTCACGAAAATAAAATATTGAAATATTCACCATAAATTCTACATTTGATTTCCAAGACGTCACTACTTAAGAATCTAGAGGACGCAATTACTGCTTTTAACCACAGGGGGCGCCAAAGTCGACACAAACAGAAATTCCCTTACAGGAGCTTTAAACTTCATCCTCTCCACTAATGCAACCAACACATGAGTATAAATGCAGAGAGGGTATTTTACTGCGTCGTGTTATTTAACCCTCTAAGAAGCAAAAAACCACCTCAATTCACAAAGCAAAGCATGCTGGGTAGATAATGAAACATATCAGTGGAGCAGCACAACTTCTTCAGACTTTTCTTCTGTTCGATCAAAGTCGTGGATAAAAAGATTGACGATTATTAAGTCAATGAGTCTGATCGTAGGTGTTAGAAATATATCTTGGTGTTGAGTTCAATGAGCAGAAAAAAAAAACTACACAGCTGCACATAAACTGCACATTGCTGAACACATCCTAAAAACGTATAAACCATTTTCCACAAAAAGAACAGGCTGCATCTTTCTGACTGTTTTCACTGATATTCCAGGTTTGGAGCCTGATGGTTCATATTTCTCGGAGAGTTTGGGTAACTCACCACTTCCACAGTGCTGAAGACGTGACAGAAGTGGTGTCCGCTCTTGAGATCCTTGGTTATATAAGCAAAAGTGCAGAGGTCATCAGGATCCTGAGCGGCACACGAGATGTTCCTGATCTCGTGCTCCGCGACTATAGTCTAGTAAAGAGAGGAAGTGGAGGGGGGGGGGGTGAGTGAGTGCTAACTGGAAGTCGACCGCTAATGGAGGCTAGGAGAGTCAGCAGCCATTGTTTACGTTCAACAGATCGATGCGCACACAAACATCCGTTCCCATTACCTTGGTGGCTGCATCGATGAACTTGACTCCTCTATAGGTGATGGACAGGATGACGACCGGACCCTTCCTGGAGTCTTTTGATTTCTGCAGTCAGGAGATTGCAAAACAACACACAATAGACGGTGTACTATAAACAGAAATATTCATGCGCTCAGACGTGTGCTGACTGGGGAGAGTGGTTTCCAGTTTTGCCTCTCTCACCCTTTTCTTTCCCATGAATTTATTACATTCGGAGAATCGGGGGAGCACTCTCACTTCAAAGTGATAAAAATGAGTTTAAGCTTTGCAGCAACACTTACCCTAATTTTAGCACAGGCATCTTGTGTGGACTCAATCCCTCGTAGATCCCTGATAATCATAGATCCTAGATACTAAACGAATAAAACAACACGGAACAGAGTTAGCTCAACAAAAAGACGAGGAAACAGACTCAAGTTTGGTATTTTGTTTGTCTGGAAGAAGAAAAAGAAGAATCTATATTTACACGTGCCCAGCTATTTTCATAAATGGACATTTCACCCTCTCCATTTACAAAGAAACTGCGTTTACACCATGACGTTTTCAGAAAAGTTTTCGTTTACACTAACCCGTGTAGAGATCATGCCAAACCTGTAGGTGGCAGTGTAGCCGGAAGCTACCCAAATCTCTGTTTTTCTCTGTTTACGTACAAACAGAGTTTTTAAAAATCATCGTTTTCAGGGGCGAATTCTCCGTTTGCGTCTAAACGAAGGGTGCAAACGATGGTTAATGTTAAAAATAACCAGGTACGAATAAACGGGGACTAGAGCTGATGAGGCAGTGAGTCTCCATTAACCCTTCTTTATAATTAACCAAGCTCCATGAGTCCCATCTTTGACCTAATTCAATAAATACTGACATGAACATGAGAAATCCACTCTCTATGATAAACACCGGTGAGAAAAAAACACTCCAAACTACGTACAGTCGCCTCGTATCCGCAGGAGTCCAGGATGAGTTTCTCAGGCTGGTGATGCCACGCTGACACGGTGGCGTAGGTAGCAGAGTGGCTCGGCGGCCGGAGGTTTAATCGAGAGTCTTTGTGCCGTTCGCTGTGTCTGTCCTGAAGAGTGAACACAGACAGAAACACAGACGCCGTCAGAGACGCCACCGCCATGTTTGTGCTTGAGGAAATACTCTGAGTGTACAAACTTTAACCTTTAAGAGAACTGAAACGCCGTCGACAAACGGACTCCATGTTGGTTTCTGAGTCCTGGTGGTGGTGGTGGTGGGGGTGAGGTAAGACTCCTGACTGTTGCACATTAGTGTAAAAGCAGCTGAAGTCTGCATGCTCAGCATTTTAATCCCAGTCTTTTATGATCTGCTCATAAATATTCATGCGGAGGTTCGGGCCTTTAGGTCAAAGTGGGCCACGCTCAGCTCTCTCATAAATCACCTGTCAGAGTAAAATACACTATTGGAAATAATCCACTACGCATTTGGGGAAAATGATGACTATTGATTTTACATTTAATGGATCCTGTGAGTGCAGGCGGGCAACATTTCCCTGATCTGTGGGCGCTGCGCTGTGTTTTCACTTCAGCCTCAGTGAGTCAGAAAGCAGGCCGGCCATCTTGACTGTTTGTGGATGTGTCGTAGGTTGACCTTTAGCAAATGTTCAAATTGGATCACTGAGTTATTCTTGGTTTGGATTCTTCGGAGGAGGAATCCAAGAAATTCAGGGAAGCACAGAAGAAGTCAGTGCTGCTAAAATTCACACAGTTCCCCCGCCAGCCAAGTTACGAAGAACTCAGGGTCAGGATTTTTACCGCTCTCATAAGTTCGGCTCCTACAGTTGAAGTTGATTTTAACAACATCGGTGAAAAGATGTTTAAAGGATTCATCGACATTATCTTTGCTTAGTCAGAACCAGAAATACTTGTGGGTTAAAGAAGCTCTGAGGCAAGTTTGGCCGATTTTTAACGAAGTAAATAAACTTTAAACTTTAACTGTCTCCACACACCAAGTGCGAGTAAAATCATTCGCACGAATGAATTACATGTTAAGTCAATGCAAAGACGCGATGAGACGCTCCTACTACTCTGACGGTGTAAATGACGTGAATTAGGCGTGCGCTGAAAATGTCTGAACTTGAGCGGATATTCACGTCCAACCGTCTGTTGGATTGGCAGGGATTACCGTTAGAATTAGCATAAACGGCTTTGACACGAGAATGAAGCGAGTAAATACTATTCATTCACGCATCTAGATTTATGTGAATTTAGTGAGTAGATGATTTTACTTGTGCTTGGTGTGAGCGCCCCATGAGGAAGCTGCATTTGATAATCCCAACATGATTTATAACGTGTATTAAGAACAGGCATGTGGACCAAAGGCTGCTAGTGTTAGCTCTACTAGTGCTAGCTCTGCTGGTGTTAGCTCTGCTAGTGTTAGCTCCACTAGTGCTAGCTCCGCTGGTGTTAGCTCTGCTAGTGTTAGCTCCACTAGTGCTAGCTCCGCTGGTGTTAGCTCCGCTGGTGTTAGCTCTGCCAGTGTTAGCTCTGCTGGTGTTAGCTCCACTAGTGCTAGCTCTGCTGGTGTTAGCTCTGCTAGTGTTAGCTTTGCTAGTGTTAGCTCTGCTGGTGTTAGCTCTGCTAGTGTTAGCTTTGCTAGTGTTAGCTCTGCTGGTGTTAGCTCTGCTAGTGTTAGCTTTGCTAGTGTTAGCTCTGCTGGTGTTAGCTCTGCTGGTGTTAGCTCTGCTGGTGTTAGCCACATTCCCAAACCAACATGACGTTGTCTACCTGGAGAATATGAGACCCCATGTTCCCAGTTAAATAAAAAGCCGCTCAGTTTTGACCGTTTTTAGTGTTTTCTTGTCTTTGGATTAGTCAGCTGTCTGAGTCCAAATTCTTGTTTCATCATTAAATAATAAAGTAGTTTTGTCAGATTGTTCCTCGTCTGTACAGATAATGGTAACGGCCAGAAGGTGAGCTACCCTGTCAATTTTAAAACAGTGCATTAATGCGATACTGTCTTATTTTAACTTTCTGTGAAATTATATGAATCCAAATAAATGATTTAAGACAAATTTAAACAAATAATGTTCAAGTTATTAAAAAATCTACACATTATTCATGATCTGTGCACATTTTTTATCAGCTAATGTTTATCAGACACTCCTTATTTTTAGGTTCACAGGCTAAATTTGAGAAAGTCAAACATACGTGTGATAAAGTCCGATCACTCCAGCTGGAGCCAGCAACATGAGGGCTGATCTTCTGTTTTCTTACCCCTCACTCACCAGAGTCTTTGACGACAATCCTGCAGTAAATCTTCCTGTCATTGAGGTGATTATGTTCAGCTCTCAGACGTGTTGATTAAACTCTGTGGTCATTATGGAGGCTGTGTCTACCTCCTTCAGCTTTAATAGCAACTGAATGTCAAAGGATTCATGTGAGAAACGCTACAGAAATGTTGGAGTTTTAAAATGGAAAATACTTGTAATACGTTAAATTTTCTGTGGACTGTGTGACAAATTTCGTTGATGAAAAAATTCAGATTTAACCCAATCCTGAAGCCTCAAAATGTGAACAGTTCTTAGTTTTATTCATGAGTTAGACTAACCCTGTTCAAACTTCTCACCCCTTACTCAAAGTTTTCATCACTTTTTAAGACCTTCAGTTTAAGCCTAAATTCTACCTTGAAATTTATTTTAATTGCAGAATGTTAAAGACTATTTAATCCTGCTGATGGTGGAGAAATCTACAACATCTCATTGTTTTGTATCTTGCTGTAAATCCTGATTTCTCCGTTGTCTGATTTAGACTGTGGATGTCTGGGTCGGCCCACTGCGTCTACAAAAATGTGACTACAACTCCTACAGCATGTGACAAACCACCCTGACACATCGGACCGTGTGCAGCCTCCTCCTCCTCCTCTTCCTCGTCTATTATTCAGCCAGTCGCTCACTCAAAGTCTGTTCTTTGGTGTTTTCCCAGAAGAAGATAAAAGAGGAAAGACTCACTACAGAGCGCGGCCGCTCGCAGTATGAACGCAGAGAAACGCTACAGTCCTGGTCGATTCCTCTCCGCCTCCGGTCCGACTCTGTCAGGGGTAGGAGCATATCCATGGAGCGACTGGTGTAGGGGTCCATCTGACTGAGGGGGGATGTGTTCTGGGACAGGAGGTCATGGAACTGAAACACACAGAGGAGTCCACATCAACAAACAGGAGCAGCGGAGATTCATGATTTGACAGCGCCGTCTACATGGCGGTTTTCCCTGATCTACATCCAAGCTTAATCCTCCACAAAGAGCCTCTTCTCTGTTCTTTTAGCCCGCCATAATCTGCCTGGGAAATCAGCCCTGAGTATTTAACTGTTGTGAACATAATGATATTGAAGAATCTCTTTCCAAAATTAGACATCGCTCGCTGATTTTTGCTTTTTTCCCTTTTTTCTCACAAAATGATGTTGGCATGGAAATAAAGGTTCTTATGAAGCCGTGTTTACCTCCTATCTGAAGCAGCTCTGTTTGGACGGTTGTTCAAAAACAAAAATAACAGGCAGTAATCACTGATCTCAATACTGAGAACGACAACAACAGATGGGCACTCAAATTTCAGCTAAAAAAATCTGTGACCTCGAACCTCTCTCTGTCTGTGTCATTAACTCTGAATCATCATGTCCCATTAGAGTCACTAACTCACAGTCTTCTCTGGGAGTCCCTGAGCTCCGTCATGCTGGAGGTCCCTCAGACCTGCCTGATCTCCAGCTGCTTCAACTACGTTCATCAATCTCACCTCTGTCCATCTCTCTTTTTGGCATCTCCCTCTATCTCTCCAAACTCAAAGCATTACTTTGTGCTTTTTTTGGCACAATATAAGTAAAAAATAAAGTTACTGTGAACACCAGTATATTACGACAGCCTAGTATCTGACCTCTGATGATTATTGTTATTTCTGTACAATCTACCTCTGAGCTCCAACATCTCTATGACAGACTAATATGAGTGGTTATTAGGGGTGGGAGAAAAAACCGATACAGCATAGTATCGTGATATTTTGTCCGGTAAGATATTGTATCGTCTCATTAACCAAGTATCGATTTTTCAAATTAAATGTTAATATGAAGTCAAATCTATGATAAAAGGAAAATAAAACCAACTGTTTGTCCAGTGAGGTTGGCGGAGGTGATAGAGCGGGAAAAAGTTAGTACAACAAATGTATATATAAGTGATATCATATCATGGCCCAAGTATTGCGATAAGATCGTGTCATGATATTATCGTATTGTGGCCTACGTATCGTGATAATATCATATCGTGGCACAAGTACTGTGATAATATAGTATCATGATCCAAGTATCTTGATAATATCTTATTGTGATTATATTGTATCATGGCCCAAGTATTGCGATAACATCGTATCCTGATAATATCCTATCCTGGCCCAAGTATCGTGATAATATTGTATCTTGGCCCGAGTATGGTCATAGTATCATTTTGGTATAATATAGTATTGTGGCCCAAGTATCATGATAATATCATTTTGGGACAATATTGTATCATGATAATAGTGTATCGTGATAATGTCGTATTGTGGCCCAAGTATCATTATAAATCGTATTGTGATAATGTTGTATTGTGGCTGAAGTATCGTCATAATATTGTATCGTGGGATAATATCATATAGTGATTATATCGTATTGTGGCCCAAGTATCGTGATAATATTGTATCGTGATAATATCGTATCGTGAGGCCACTGTTGATTCCCACCACGAGTGATTAGCATGTCATACTGTGCTGGTCTAGTCCTACAAACACGGAGATTCTGACTTATTTCATGATGATCTCTTCCTGACTTCTGAACGGCTGAAAAGGTGATAAAATATTGAAGTTTTTTCAAGGTCGCACAACCTACTTCATGACTCATGCTCTTCTGTAAAAGACTCCATTCATGATTTCAGACAAAAGCCGATACAGCAGCGCTGAGCCTCTCCTCGGCTAACTTCGTCTCAGTCAGAAACTTTCATGGTGGTGACGCTCTGAAGTGTTTATTGCAGCAGCAGGATATTGTTTGTTTTCGGGGTTCATCACTCCTCGCAGATAAATTTTACATGAAGAAATCTGAGGAGAGATGAGGTAATATCTTAAACCCCTTAGCTGCTGCCTGCAGGTGGATTCTGGGGAGGTGGTGGGACTGAAAGTATGAGGCCAAGTGTGGGACCACCGAGGTAATGACAGAGCAGAGGGGGAGAGTGGGAATCTAGTCCTGCAGCTTTAATAGACCTCCACAGTTTTCAGGTGATTGTGTCAAATATGAATCAGTGAGTTTTCTGCTAGAACGAGCGTACAGGCTCTGCTTCATGTTGGAGATGTGATGAATATATTTATCCTGTAAAATTATATCTGATTTGGTGGTTTATAGATGTGAAAAATGACAATATTGAGTTTGTCACTCAGAAACAATCAAAACACGCGGTGGTGGTCCACACTCACAAAACTGGGTATGATTACGCCTAGCAGGACAGGCGACTGTGCATGTGCATGGAGGACACACGCCGCGTTCACACTTCCTGAGCGAGCGCAGCTGCAAGTTAAAAACGCAGCAGGAGACCAAAACAAACACCGTCGGCCTTAAAACTGATTTTAGATTTTAATCGTTAGACGAGATTCTCCCTCACTCACTCACTCACTCACTCACTGGAGGAAGTTCAGAATCAGAATTCACTTTATTTTTATGATACTGGAGTTCAATGAGATTGGAGAAACCAGTGTTCAGTAGGTCCTGGCGTGTGTCCTGGTTGTGTTCAGCTTCAAAAAGACAGATGTTCCTCAGAAGATCCTAATCTAAGTAAAGACAGAAACCGATGTGCAGAAAATGAAGAATCTGACAGGACTCAGGAACCAGCTGTCAAAGACCAACAACCTACAACACCAGCAAAACCAAAAACGACCCGGCAAACCTCCACGATTTGATCTCAGCACTTTTTCCTCTTGATTTCAGAGGATTGTATTTATGACCGACTCTGTTCTGTGTTAATAAATAAGATTTTTATTTTTCCTTAAAGCTCCTGTTAGGAGTTTTTTTGACATTCATTAAACAAAGAAGAAATTATACTAATGATGTCCAAAAGAAAAGTGTCAGGGAGGCGGCTCAGTTTTTACGATTTTACGATATGACCATCAAGACTCAAAAAGGGTGAGATAAGGACAGACGACTTTGTCCACAGGGGGCGCCAAAATTGAGACAGAGTTCTAGAAATCGATGTCTTGATGTTTTGTTTTTTTTGACAGTGTTTAGCTCTCCTCATGAACAAAACAAAAGTTATGTGTTTTTTTAATGTAAAGCTCCTATAAGGAACTTTGTCTTAATTTAGCTTTAATTAAAAAAAACACATAACGTCTGTTTTTTTTCGATGGGAAACCAAATATTGTCATTTTTCGTCTCATTAGGACATTGATTTCTGAGAGGACAGCACACCCCGACTCCTCCTCTCCTCTTTACTCGTCCAACACGATTCATGGAAGATGTATGAGTTCCTCGTGTTAGCCGCGTCCTCGCTGAATATAAATGTAGTTTTGAGGTCACCTGACCTAACAGGAGATACGTTTTTTTACACCTCATTTTCAGTCCATTATTCTGCTTTTTCCCCTTTTATATATCCCGGTCAGTTAGCTGTGCAGCTGTCAGCAGACCCCCTTCATTTACAGGAAACAGAAATCAATACTATCCCTTCGATAAGACCGCCTCGTTCAGGAAATGGCCATCTTGTGAATATGATGAATGAACGGCTGATAAAAGAGACCCTATTATAGAGAATGTGCATCAAATAGTAGATGGGCAGCCTTACCATGATTGGAGACAGGCGGGACTTGGATGGGGCCTCTTCATACGGTCTCTCTGCTAAAGAAGCGATGATCCTCTTCCTGTGGCCCAAGGGACCGACTTTAATAACCTGGAGACGACAGCGTGAGGAGGAGGAGGAGACGTTAAAGGATGACAAACCCAGAGACACTGCCACATAAACATGTTTCTGCTGCAGACCCAGCTAATAGAGATCTATCCAAAATACACGGAGGACACAGAGTTGGTGGCATGAACCCCTCTCTGGCAGACTTCCACAAGCAAACAGAAATGACTCTCCTCAATAATTCAGCCTCAATCTGTTTTGCCGTAAGCTTAAAGTGCAGCGCTGTCTCCTTCCCGGGACACTCTATAATTCACAATCCTCTTTTTTTTATTCTTTAACACAGCGCTGAAATAACAGAGCAGCATTTGTGGATTTATGAGGCATAATATGCAAATTACCGTGTAAATCTGAAAGTGTTTTGCATCCGTCAGAGTTTGGATATACAGTATGTTTTTAATTAAAGGGGTTTTCACCTGACGCACCTCCATCCTCGCCATCTCCGTCCCTTTAAACCTTTGACAAACGCCGTATCTGCTTCTGTGGCTCAAACCCTCTGAGGAGGTAGTCGAGGTTAATTTTATGTAGTCCACGCTCATTATCCCAACACTGTATATTTGCATAATTGGCTATTAACATTCATGCTCATCCAGTGAAGGTGGATGTAGAGTGATTAATGTTACATTTGTAATTATGTCGCGAGGACAAAATATTCTATAACAGGCTCATATGCTTCTTTGTGTGAGAGCTTCAATTATTTATTCAGTGAGAGTCAGAGGAGGAAGAGCCGAGCGGTCTGTGCGCTGGGTTTCTGGTGCTGGTTGGACTATTTTCATGTGCAGAATCCCGCTGAGACACAAAGACTGTGGTATAGGAGGAGATTTAAATACTAATAAAGAGCCCTGGGATTATATGGGAATGTAAACCAGCTCATAGATCAAGTTGATGGTTGGTGCTGAAAGACGCTGTAGAGGCTGAAGGAAAATGAAATGGGCAGCGGAAGTTCTGCCAAGATGCTCAGAGGCAGTTCTGCGGTTCTGCACACGGAGAGTAATGTGGCCCGCTCTCACGCCCGGCCCTCTGTCTGCTGGACGCCGTCCCTCTCTCAGTGCTTCAGCTCTACGTTTGGCTGCTGTTTCCCTCCTGCTGCTGCAGCTGTTTCAGATTTCTGCCATTTTAACCACCACTGTCTCCGTGCTTATCGAGGCGTAACACACATGGAAATGCAGCGATAAGTCAGGGATGTATGATCCCAGTAAACACGCTCCGAACTGCTCAGACGCTGGTTATCAGCCATGTTAAAGCCTCTGTTTGGATTGGCCCGCAGCCTGTCATGATATGAACAATGCGAACGTCGACACCATTAGCTACACCGGTCTTGAACTTTCGCCCTTTAACGGTTTATAACAAGCGAGGAGGCAGTAAGCATCGCTAACATGTTGGAAATGTGGCGTTTGGCGAATTATGCGAGTCAGCCTGCACAAATAGTCTAATCTTTACAATGCAGATGAACACTATGAAATGTAAGTCACTGCGATACATTCAAATCCCTGTAACTAAGAGGCTCCAGACCTTTCCACTCCCATCGTCTACGACTGTACAGACGCTCAGCAGCATTGTTTCCTCATCCCCTCATAAAGGCTTAAAAACTGTGACGGTTTAACAGAGCGGTAACTCCAACACACAGAGGTTAGAGTCCTCAAAGTGGACAGGTGGGTTCAGTCCTGGCCCAAGGACCTTCTCCCTAAGCCCCCCCATGTCCTGTCTGTCAAATAAAAGCCCCGCCCCCCTCAGCCTCACTAAAACAATGACCTGGCATGTTCCCCAAATTAACGTTTCTGCTGATCTCACTAGAAAACGAGATTAGGCTTTAATAACCTCAGACAATACCAGCTATTGAGTATTTATATGATCCACCTCCGTTCACTCCACATTAGGATAGATTTGCTGACAACACACATCCTTTAAAACAGTGTCTGCATTAATCTGCATTAATCCATGGTGTGTTTATGCTCACATGGTTTTAATCACGATCCAATTTTGCCAACTTGCACAAAGTACGATGGACATTAACCTGAAATGTTGACATGGATGAGACTTCAGGTACAGGCGGGTCGAAGACATTTTAGCTCAGTCCAAACATGAATCATATTTTGTGACGGTAAACAAAACGAACAGTCGGGGAAAGATCACTCTTCTAAAAGAACAGCTAGATTATCAAGCCAACTTATCAGTCTATTCACTTCTTCAATGTTCAATATGTCACTTCAACATGAATCAATAATTAATGTCTGACACATCCTGCATGAATGTCAAAGAAACATCTGTCCTGTGGTAATCCAACAAGATTTTCAAAAACAGTGAAAGTTAATCTAAATAGAGATAAATTAACTTCAACTATAGAGTAGAATCTATACAGCCTAGATCTGTCACAACAGTTCATCACTTTTCTCTAAAAACATGTTTTTATTCTGCATGAAGTCAGAGTTTAAACACACTTTTCTAAATCACATGATTCTTTAAACTTGTTGTTTTTTTCAGAGTGACCCTGTATTTGTCTTTACCATCTTTGCAGTGCAGACACAGTTAAAACCTGCTGCTCTCTTATATAATGAAGTTCTTCATCCTAACTCTCATCAGAAAACTTTAAAAATGGAGGCCTGGTATTTTCACACTCAGCCGCACAGCTTTACAATGTCATTGATTCACTCGGCGTGACGGTCGTGACGTTTGTAAAGCACAGAACTGCGATGGATGACGTCAGGACGACCATCGCCGATACTAGGATCTCTCTGGATTTGTCGATCATGAATATCCTTCACCATCAAACACTGTCCTGATGATCTACAGTCCTATTGTTTCTTTAAGGGTTTGTAGAGGCTGTTATCACCGTAGCTCTGGTTGCTGGTTCAACTCCTGACCATGGCTATTTGCTGCAAGTCTGGACTCACCGTGTTTCCTGTCTCTCCACAGCTGACCCGAGTACCGACCCAAAAACAGAACTTAAAAATTAATCCCCCATAATGTAAACTCTGACAGACTGACTGATCTCTGCTGTAAGGTGAATAAAAATAATCACTTATATCCACAGAGACAAAAGCAACAGCGTCAAATAAGTTAGAAAATAATAAACCTTGTCTGCTCACAAACAAAGACAGGTCAGCCTCTTAAATCTGAATTATTTTCAGGTAAAAGAGGAAGTCGATCAACGTTATAGATCCAAACCAGTAAAAACACAGAGAGCAGACAGATATATAGATTTTTGTTCCCTTTTCATCATCTTTGAAATCCACACCTGCACAAATATTCACTCACAGGCTTTTCTGTGTCTGATTCTCATGTTTGTTTCTTTATCGTTGTTGCTTTAAAATGAGAAAATTATCATGACATTTTTGGGTTTTTATAAAGAAAGAAACAGGTAGTCTGTTTTCCTGTCGTCAGGCACCATGTTGCTCTTCAATTTAGATTTTATCCACTAAGTATATCCACTTATGACTCAGTGATGTTGTAATTTCATGCTAATGCTTTCATCATGGAGCATTTCTCTGCTGGGCGATGTCAGGATTGCTCTGAAAGTGCTTCTCAACTTCAAACAGGATCCATAAATCTGATTACGGACTCCATTATGTGACACCTGGATCTGAACGTCTCTAAACACGGGTCTGAGAACATTCTGGGTCTTTGGAACAAACTGGTTTCCCAAAACAGACCAAATGACAGAAACAGCTCCTTACATTGACGATCTCCAGCTCCCACAGGTTCTTCACACACTCCAGGGTGCGGTAGCCGCTTGAGAGGAAGTTGGGGAGATATTCATGCAGACCGAGGCCGTCCAGCCAGGAGGCCAGAGATGTGCTGCCGTCACAGCCCAGAGCTTTGACCTGCAGAGGAGGGAGAGACGGCCGTCAGGAGGACCAACGGAGAACTTCGAACAGGAAAAATGTCATATCAACACTTTAACCTTCCTCCTGTGTTAGCTTTCACTACGAACCCCCATGTTAACAGGTCGGTTTTGACTCGGGTCTTAAATCAGCTGTAAATTACACTAACAACAATTCTCTATCATCTAATTTGGTTCTCATCTCATTGATTATAATAGTTTTTGTAGTGGTCCTCACACAGACATCTATACTGAACTGATCTCACATGTCTGGACATGTCCAACGTTCTTTTTTGTGCAGGAAAAACATGAAAAATGAGAATTTCCTAAATCTCACATGATTGGACGAGGATCTGACTGTCAGTGAACTTATGATTTCAGTTTTTACTCTAATTATTAGATATTAATCTAACCGGGTCAACAGCGACTCTAACACGACAAGTGTCATCATTTTAATAAGAGCATTTTATAATTTAGTCTATTTAATATTTTCATTTTTATTATGTTGAAATCGAGGTTCCTGACAAAGTCAAAAAGTATTGATGAAAAAAAGCGAATTTATTTGGTTTTTAAGCGTTTAAAAACAAAAACGGGTCGGTGTGGACATTTACGCAGGAGGAGGGTTAAAGTTTGGTTCTGAATCGAACTTCTCTAACATTTCATTTTAACTTATTTTATTCATCACATTCAGCTGTTTATAATTAAAGACCATAAAGACAGTGTCCTGTGTTTGTGTTTCCTCTTTGTAAATGATCTTAAACTCTTATAAATAAATTCCTTGAATGTGTAAAACTACTTGACAAAATAAAAGACAAACCCTGATTCTGATTCAGGTAAGTGTCACTAATCTAACAGCCTTTGTTAAAACACAGTCGAGTACGTTAGCATCCTGATGTTAGCGTCATAGCTCTTTGAATGACTCCAGCCCCTCGTACCGGACACCAGCACCGCCGTAGTTTCGTCTCTGAACCATTCAGATTTTACAGGCAACAGAAAATTTCATCTTTAAGAGAGTAAGAGGAACATTCATAATTTATTCTTTCCTTTTCAACCACAATCCTCGGGTAAGCCAGTCCCAAACAACTCTCTCTCTCTTCACTGCATTTTGCTTTTAAATTGGACTGCATGACAGGGAATCATTTAGAAAAGCTGCCTGCAATATAATGCAACATGTGGAAGTAAGAAGCAATGTGACAGTTCTATTTACTGCTGAAGACAGTAATTCAACAGAGGAGAGAATCCAGAGTACTCCTCTGAAAAGATGTTTTTTTACTGTATGAACTCGTTCATTTATTTGATCTTTTCACTTCTCCGGAGCAGACAGACATCCAAACATTTAATTCACTTTCTTCTCCTGAGAGAAACAGGAAATTTAAGCTTATTCTCCTGAGATTTCATCACACTGTTATCTTGAAACAACAACACGAGTTTTCCTGGGACGACAAGTTAATCTCATGTGAATCGTCTTTCTCATTATCTCAGGATAGAAAAGCTGTTTTTTTTTTTTACCATGATAACAGATTAATTTATCTGTCTCTAGATAACAGATCTCGTTATCTTGTCAAAATGAGATAAATTTACAACAATCTAGAAAATAAAACCAGAGACCGTTCACGAGAGTCGATATACGAACTGTAATTAATCACACTAATGAGGAACCTTTAGACTATCTTAGATATTTGACTTTAGGGAAACAAACTCTTCTGGATAAAAACGCTCCCTTCTCACCCCTCCTGTTAGTACAGCCACAGTGGTGTTTGTCATATAAGAACTTGAACTGATGGACACTGACTTTCCCTTCGAGGATAAATAAAGTTCTTCTTAAAGTTATACTCATCATTTATCATAGATGCTTTTTGTCCTTAAGAGTTACACACTGTACCTTCGACAGAGGCAAAAACAGCCTTACATCACACTGATGACACTTAGTAATTACTCCTGAGTTTGTCGTTCACACGCATCAAGAAGAAAAATGACCATCAGAGACAGACGCATCGAGGGAGTGAGACTTCATATCCACGGGGATTAAAACAGAGAGGTGACAGAGTTAACAGAGAGCCCCTCAACCATTCAGTCTGTATGAATGAATGAATGTGAACCACCATGGAGGAGTATCATAGAGGTAGAATATCATAGAGGTAGAATATCATAGAGTCACAGAGAGTAATATAGAGTTAGAATAACATAGAGATAAATATAGAGTTAGAATATCATAGAGTCAGAATATCATAGAGTCACAGAGAGTAATATAGAGTTAGAATATCATAGAGTTTGAATTTCATAGAGTCAAAGAGAGTAATATAGAGCTTGAATATCATAGAGAGTCTCATAGAGTTAGAATATTATTGAGAGTAATATAGTTTGAACGCCCAATGGTCGACTGCTCACATGTTTTTGTCTAAGTTCTTATTAGCAGTGATTTATTTTTGTCTCATTAACATGGAAAAGGTAGATAATTCATACTTAACTTCATACTCTTTGTTAAGATAATTAACACTTTAAGTGGATGTTTCATGATTCACTTTCTCCCACGTTAACAAAAGTCTGTCTTCCTCAGCCGTTTATCTCCCTTGTCATTATTTTGATAAACATCCTGGTATTTTGACCTCCTCCTCCTGAGACGCCGTCAGTCACCGCCTCACCGCCGTGCTGAGGTTAAGTTATGATGTTAAGTACCTTGGGCAAGCTGCGTGCCGCATGAAGGATTTTCTTCCTGTGTCCCGGGTCAGTGATCCCCATGTCTCTGAGATCCTGGTCCTCCATCACGTTACTTCCCTGCATGAGCACAAACGCGAGAGGAACACACAAGTAAACACATTCACACACACACACAGACACACACACACAGACACAAACAGACACACAGCCGTACTCAAACAAACAAACACACACGCAGGCAAACAAGTAACCAAGCACGGAGACGACACAGTATGGACACACAATAGTAAACAGGAAATACTTCAGTATCACTGTGTGTTAATCCAGGCCTACAGAGTTACACACATGAGAAACAGCGCCGACACACAACAGGTTAATAAGGACACGGGTCAATAAAAGTATCATGGCATGTACTACGCAGGAACAAGTGCCAACACACTCGCTCTTACAACTCACACCCATGAGCACGCTCAGAATATGCACACAAGCAGAGTGGGAGGACGATGAAGTCAAATGAATTGTTCATGCCAAGAGTAATCAATCTGATCTGGAGCGACTCCGAGGGAACAAAGCCTTCATGAGAGCAGCAGCAGCGGCAGCATCGACAGGGTCTCTGCGCCGCCGCCGCCGCCGCCACCGCCATCCCTGCTGCTGCTGCTGCTGCTGCTGCGTCTGACTGAGGCGAACTCAAGAAACCAGAACTCTGAAACCATTTCTTCATTTTCAGTCCAATGAACAACAACCTCTGTACACTGACAGGAAGACTCTTGTCTGTTTCGTATAAACGCAGCTCCAGGTGCTTTGTCATCTCCTTCCGGTTTGTAAGCAGGAATAAAGATACGAGGAGAAATGTGGAGCTAAGCGTTTTTCCCAGCGGGCTGCTGCAGATTGATTCTTCCCGGCCAAGAATGTTAAAATGTTCTGTAGTCTTTACTCAATCTGCTCTTACTGGATTGGTTTCAGAGCACAATGCAGCAGCGTTCGCTCGCAGTGGGCCTGTATCAGGCTGCAGTCTGGAGATTACTCACTGATGGCGAGAATAAAGGTCAAAATGAGGCAGGGTCTGATGTAAGGGAGGACGGAAATAGACCCTCCACTTTTATTAACACAGTTTGAAGTTTGATGACGCCTCAGGAGACTCGGCAAACTTATTATTTCATGCTGCGTTTGAACCATGTGACAGGAATGTATGGTTGAGTTCTTCTTACATCGCTTATGAGCTCTGCTGGTTTGATTTAACGTGATACGACGTCCAGATGCAGCCGTGGTACGAGTCCTTCATCGCTCTAAACGCACTCGGTTAATGCAACAATGATTTAGAGCTGCTCTGCTGCTCTGCACCGAAGACGAAACGTTCAGAAATAGAAGAAAAATTAAATTTAGTTTGTCTTTAAGGAGCTGGCAGGCGTGAAAATAATCTGGCAAAGACAGAAGACACGGTTAATCTGTGACAGTGTGTACGTTCACGACTACATTTGACTATTTTAGGAAGGAGGAGCTGCAGGATGTTATTTTAATGCAGGTGACCTGTAACATAAGAGATCCAGACATCAGAGCAATCTGAGGTTCAGGTCCAGTTTGATTGATCAGGTCTGAACACGTCTAAAAGGGCAGAGTATCAAACATTCAGAACCCGGGCCTGACGACTCTGACCTTTCCTTTGTTCGGAGCGTCCACGTCCTGGTAAATATCTGCGGGTAATCCGCCTCCTGAAGCTAACGATTTATTCCCCTGATGCATCAATCCGAGACGAAACTCGTTACTTATGAAAGCGAACATCAGGGTGACGAAGGATCAATCATCTCCGTCACCACAGGTCCACACGTCTCGGACAAAAAGGTTTTTCTTTGTTTTTTATTTAAACGTCGTCTTAACCTGCTGCAGCAGGAAATATCATGATAAATATGATAAATACTCTCAGGTTTCAAAGTTAGCGGGCTAATTCTTTAACATCCCTGCTGGTTGATTGTGGCGATTAAGAAGACAAATGTTGCATGTCATTACGCAGAAATGATTGATGTGACAGGAGTTTAGAGAGTCACTCATTAATGACGTTAAATTACCTTTTTTATTGGGGGACTCAAACTCGGGTACAGATTCATCAACGAAGGTTTATGTTATCACCATTAATATAAACACACTGAATATTCATTTGAGCTTCATAAAGATCCGACTGAGTTTCACAAAAGAGGGAGAAAAAATAATTACAGGAGGGAGATTTTTTTAATTTCCATTTTGAGATTAAAGTCGAAATTTCAAGATTAAAATCGAATTTTCAAGATTAAATTCCTTCAAGTTTGTCTTTTTTTTTCTTCTGTAGAGTCGTAGTCTTCGGCACAGTCTTTCAGAGTCTGAAGATTTATGACCACGCAGTTTTTGTTTGCGCTAGAAAAGCAAAGATTTCCTCGTTACTGAATCCAATTCTAAAGTAAAGCTTTATGAACTCTTCTACAGAGGACGTGTTGTCGGGTGACGAGCGAATATGCTCTTGTTTTGTTATCGTTAATCTCAACATTACGACTTTATTCATGAAAATTCGTCTTTATTCATGTTGAATCTTAAGTCATAATTTAAACTTTAATCTCGAAATGTTGATATAATTCACCGAATTTTGACTTTATTCATGTTGACTTTACTCTTGAAATTTTTAATTGATTGACATAATTTGGATTTTTTTTTTTATCTTGAAATTCCGTCTTCAACCTCGAAATTTCGACTTTAATCTCCTTCCTGTGATGATTAATTTTCTCTTCATGTGGCCCTAATCCTCTTTCATAGATTTTAAAGGAAGATAAGTACCATAAAATGACGACAAAAATTAGTTTCTGTTTTTTTTTATAGTACTTTAATAATCCAGAAATTAGTGCTAAAAGAAGGCGGACTGGTCTCTTCTTCCTCACTGGGTTTTAATTCTGTATTTTCAGAAAACTGTAACTTTGATATTCAGTGAATAAACCGTACAGAGTTCTGGTTTGATTAAAAAGCGACCGGCAGAAAAGGTTGGCAAGAAAACGCAGGAACTGGGCGCTGGCGGTGGTTTAATCCCGACGTCACAACTATCAGGGATGTGCTCGGTTGGCGTACGGACATCTGTCGAGCTGACAAGCGCAGATGTTTCTAGAAAGAGCTCCACGGCTGCACAGAAACTGCACACTGCTGAAAGTGTCTTTTTTATCGCGCTGAAACTCGTATCCTGGATCTCCGGGTGAATATTCGACTGTTACCCTGAAGTCTGTCATCAGTGCGCAGTTACTGAGGGTCTTTGGGGGTCCAGGAGCTTTAAAGGTTCTTTGTATTTGATCATTGATTCGGTATAATCCTGACATCCTCTGTCACACGCCTCATCATCCTAATCTGTGCATATATAATAATGAATCATTAAATGAGACGCAGTTATTTTGGCCAGTTTTAGATTTGATCATTTTGAAACCTTAACGCTGAGCTGTGGTAAAAAAAAACAAACAAACAAACAAAGAAAAGTCGCCTGATGTGTTTTTGTACGAGGCTCAACGATTGGTTAACTCTGAGAACGAGCGGCCGCTGTGTGGTCATGGGAAAAAAGAGCGGAATACTGAATCCAGATCAATCAGAGACGCTCGTGTTGGTGAAGTGGCGGTCATGGCGAGGAGAGGGGAGGGAGGATTTCAAAAGACCCCGTTTGAAGGCCAAGTGGTTTTAGGTGGTCTAGAGTGGATAACAAATCGTTGCTTGTCTGAAAAATGACCCAGTCTGGGATTGAAAAGCCTGATGTGGTCTCTGTTGGGATGTTGGCGACCTCATTTCCTCCCGTTACCCTCAGACACGATCGAATCGACCAACACTGAATTAGATTTTTGACTTTCCTGGACTTTAATCTCCTGATTTTTAGTTTTAGATCCACAGAGTAAACTAATATCTCATGACAGATTAATCAGCTGTGATCCGGATTATATCACACGTCCTGTTTTCATTTTAACGTGGTCACACTAGAGCTGTAAAGTCAAAGTCGATTTATTGGTCGATAGTTTACAGTCTACGGTTAGATTCAACAGGAGGAACGTACCAAGTACTAACGGGGGTGTTTTCAGAGCACCCCCGTTTCACAGATAACTAGCCTGTCTCAGAACCCCCCCCTTATTTTCACCATTTTGGATTCGCCCAAAACCCACTGGAGACCAGCTGAAGACAGGAAGATCGAAGAGCGTCCACGTTGATCAATATTTATCTTGATTTTGAGCGTTTTGACTTTCATCGTGTTTAATTGCCTTTTTGTGCTGACATCAGTAAATTTTCACCCCGTCTCGCCGCTCTCCACCAAGCCACGCTGTCCTCCGCCGGTTAGTCGATTTTTGGTCGTAAATTTCTGTGTTTTAGTCGACCAAGAATTTCTTTGGTTGATTACAGCCCTGGACTCCTCATCAGGAGGTTTGATACTCCTATTCCAGCTCGTTGTTGTCCTATAAACGTATATTATTGAGTTCTGACCCGAAGCTTGTTTTATAACTCGACTCTGATGTTTAAACTTCTTCTGCTTCACTAGAAAGAAAAACACCTCAGAGACACTTTATGAATCCAGCCGCTCTCCCTCTGAGCGTCCTGGTCTCTCTGATCGGAGCTCAACTGTGAAAACTGATGTAACATATATCCTATAGTGTGACTGCAGCGCTGTGGTCTGAGGAGTGTCCGCGTTTGCCCTCTGGGGCCCGGTTATTTACGCTGTACTGCCTTGTTTTTTCACAGTAACACGACCCGAGGTTTGAAATCGTAATAGTGTTTTCTGCAATCGTCGCCAAACGCAACATCAAGCTCCCTTACACGTGCGGTTTTACAGGAAACACGATAAGGCTTTTAGTCCGATTGTGGACGTCCTCTGAGCTGCAGTTAAATGAATTTATCAATATGTAATAATCTGACGGAGGGAGGCGATTAAAAATGCAGAGCGTCAGGCCGAATGTGTCGATGGTTTGGAGAAACACTAATCTGTGTGATCACGTCTTTTAATCCACCACAGCGGACGGCTTTTCATAATTTACTTACTACAGCGATGACACTCTCTGAAAATTCATGTTAGATCCAAATCCTAAAATAAAACACGAGACAAACATCCCAGCATGCTGCAGTGTAATTATCAGACACTGTGCAGTTTTCAGCAGACATCACAATCTGAACCGGGGTTTAGTGAGCCACCATGCAGAGCGTGTCAGAAACAAACAACGGCGTGCTCGGATTTAGGACTGTGGGTTTGGGTTGGACCGGGTCAGGAAAGGTCAAGTCGAGCGACAGTAAATTAGAGGAGTGACTTTTCAATCAGACGGGGATGGCGTGATTGGGAATGCTGGGAAAAAGTTAATAGGCTTCGGTCGTCATTTGTCTTGCCGTGTTTTTTAGAGGGATTCAGCGTGGGGGCCGTAAATTTTCAACAGGGTCGTGCACGGCGCAGAGGTGAAGAGGAGTTATGAAGAGGAGAGAGGGAGAGAGTGCAGGGGAGAGAGGGAGGGAGGGAGGGGAGCGAGCGGAGGGGAGCGAGCGAAGGGTGAGTGAGGAGAGCGGTGACAGAAAAAGACAAATGCAGCGAGGTTGACACAGGCAGAGACAGGGTGATGTGAAGTGGAAGCGACCCCTGAGCTGACGTGCTGCAGGTGACTCACCATGAATCGTAGGTCGTCGAAGCCATTGAGCAGGAACTTGCTCTCGTACTGCGGCAGCCCCACGTGCTCCAGCCATTCTCCCACCGACTGGTCCAGGGCTTTACCACAGGCCCCATCTGCCGAGAGAGGGAAGCGCTTCAGCAGGGAGAAGCCGTTCAGCCGGTAGCAGCGGCACTCAGAGGACGACACATGGCATTGCCACATCATCCTCGGCCAGCAGAGGCAGAGCCGAGTGCAGCAGCACCAGGCGGGGTGGGGGGGAGACAGGGTCCAGGCCGGGGGTGAGGGGCTCCCAAGGTAAAGGCGGGGGCCCGGCTAACTCAAACACAGGAGGAGGGTAGGAAGTGCTGCAGGCCCAGCTCAAGCCCTGCAGGGGACTGACTAGGCTAATATCTACACCCACTGGTGTTAGTGTGACTGAGTGGAAATGTCAGGCGAGGGTGGAGGTAGTGCAGGGAAGGAAGCCCATCTGAAGCTCGGGAACGTTAGTTATGTTGGATCTCGCCACTACGGCATCTTCCAACAAACAGGGTTCACTAAACATTCCTTCAGTGAGCAGATGAGCCAGAGTTAAAAACAACAAGCTAGTCCCAGAACATAACAAGAGCGAACACTGCAAGTCAAGAGAGTAAATATGTGTCTGAGATAACTATGACTACAACAGACATTTCCACACATCACACCATTTACTCGGCTAAAATCATCCCCGCCATTTTTTCTAAAATTAGAAAGAAGAAGAAGAAGAAGAAGAAGAAGAAGAAGAAGAAGGAGGAGGAGAAGAACACCATCAGGGTGTCACACAGAAATATTCAGTTCCCCCAAAATAAGCGCTCAGGATTTTTTTTTCACCACATACTTGTAAAGCTCTGGCTGAGTCCCATGGCTTCATTGGTCAACCTCTTTGAGAGCTAGGACACGGCTCATACAATGAAGGTAGCAGCATTTCTAAAGTACTGTTGAGGTACTCGTGTTATTTCTGATCAGGGATTACACATTTGATAATCAATAATTTCTCCTTCTCTCTCCAGGAGTACGCTCAGGTAGACGTATTTGTAAAATCCTAAGAGAAAACAGGAGGTTTAGGATTTCCACAGTGATTCCAAACTCCTCAATTCATGATAAATCCCAGGATTAGGTTCCTCGGTGGGAAAGCTCCAGGTCAGCTGTCTGCCTGTGAGGAAAAAAAGCTGCTTGTCCTTGGTGGTACCAGTGCTCCCAGTGCTCCCAGTGCTGCCCAGCATTCACACTCCTCTCAAAGCAGTAAATCCAGGTTCAGATCCAACCGACGACAGGTGAGCCTCTTGACTCTGACAGCAAAGATCACTGCAGGACCAGAATGCAGGTGAAGCCGGCTCCTTCCTGAGGCAGGCAGGCAGGCGGACGCCCCCCCAAAAATCCAACCCCAGCCCACCTGGTTCTTCTCCTCGCTGGGAACAGCTAGCAGCCTGTGTGCTCAGGGCAGAGGTTTGCTGCATCCCCTGCTTGTCTGAGACATGCAGGCAGCGCAGATGCAGTCACAGCAGCTGCTCCTGGCTCTCACACGCTACCCCTCACTGCTCGCAGGGCATAACGTCCTGACGCCGGCGACTTCTACACAGGAGACCACAGATCTGCCTCAGCCGCCGCCGCCGCTGCTGCTGCTGCTGCTGCCGCGTCCTTCCCACAACCACGGCAGGCTACGGACTCAGTGATCATCCCCCCCCCTCTCATCCGAGCAAATCCTTCAAGCTCTTCTTTTTGACTCCCCCCCCCCTCCTCGCACTCGTCTCTCTCTGCTTTCTTTCTCTCGCTCTCGATCTCATAACCTCATTCCCATAGTGTGTGATCGCACTGCAGGGCTGCCGTATGCTGCCTGATGAAGTGGGGTGCTGCTCCACGTAACCACTTTCTCTCTCTCTCTCTCTCTCTCTCCCCTCACTCTCCCACTATATCAATTCCCCTCCCTCTCTCCCCTCTCTCTCTCTCTGTCTCTCCCTCACTGTCTCGCTCCTTGCCTCTGGTTCTCAAACACACACACAGACAGATGCACACACTCTTTCTCCCTCTCCCTCTCTCATCCCCCTTGTCTTTTCTCATCCAAAGGCGCACACATTCGCTCCTCTCCCTCTTTGTCTCTCTCTCTCTCTCTCTCTCTCTCTCTCTCTCTAACCTTACCCCACCTCACCCCGTCTCTCCCTCCACTGCACTGATTAGAATTGCACAGAGGCGCTCTGATCTTGCCAGTGCAGAAAGGACACACCACCATCAGAGGCGAGGAACAGGCACTGAGAGGCTCAAACCACAGTCCTCCTCGGATGGAAAGGTTGACTCGAATGTGAAGGGATGGCTCTTCTGCAGGAGCAAAAGCCCGTTAGTGAAGCTCACAAAGAAGCTCCTTCTTATTAGTAGATGGCTTTAATTCATTTACATCCTCCTCTGATGAGGGGGGCAGGATCAGCACAGGTCCCTGATTCACTGGTCCAGGAGGCTGGAGAACAGGAGACACTCACAGACTTCAGGTCTTGTCTCTTTTCTTTATTACCGACTCAGAAAACATGACAGAAGAAAAGAGGAAACTCCATTACCTTCTTCTTCTTCTTCCAGATGCTCATGTCAAATCAACCAATTTTAGAGCACAACAGAGGCTACTTACCGGATAAACAAGTGAGATGATACAAAATTTAGATGTTTTCAGGGAGAAAAGACTCACAAAAACGGCTCCATTGGACTCTGAGAGAGTTTCCACACGGGGTTAATTTTGTCCAACAATACGCCGACTGTGAGTGTTTGTTGGCGTTCTGACTTTTTGTGGCTAAATCAAGACAATAACATAAACTGACAACAGAAGCTGTCTTCATAATGACCCAGTCTGCTCTGTTCGTGCAGACGAACCGTTTCATCACTGTTCTCTTTTTTTAGCCAATCATTTATCTGCAACAAGTGCGAGATTATTTTTGCCCCGTCCGTGTTAGAAAGAGGAATGTTTTATCAGGAAGCCAAAGTAGCTAGCTATCTTATCAGAAACTCAATAAATCCCCATCGGGCAGCTGGCATGTTAAAAAATGAGAGCCTCATTACAGCCATCATCGTTCTGTATGATGGAGGGAAGAGAAGAGACGACCTGTGGACACATCGTCTTATCGATAGGTTGGTGTCAAACACAAGACTGAGGGTTCTGTTCTCGGTGAGGATGGAGATATGTGAGGCGGAAAAACGCTGTAAATACTCAGCTCCGCCCACCCTTCAACATCATCAATGGTGATATATGACGACACCTCACTAAACTTCCTGTTCTTAGTAACCAGATAGTAGGGGTGGGAGAAAAAAACGATACAACATAGTATCGTGATATTTGTTTGGTGATACATCGTATCGTCTCATTGACCAAGTATCGATTTTTTCAATTGTTAATATGAAGACAAATCTATGATAATATAGAATCAACTGTTTGTCCAGTGAGGTAAATGGTATCACAATACTCACTGTGTTGGAAAATGTTAGAAATCTCTATATAATCGTATCGTAGCCCAAGTATCGTGAAAACATCGTATCATGGCCCAGGTATCGTAATAATATTGTATCGTGTTAATATCGTATTGCGGCCCAAGTATCATGATAATATTTTATCGTGACAATATTGAATGAGATAATATTGTAATACGGCCCAAGTATCTTCATAATATTGTATCGTGATAATATTGTATCATGGCCCAAGTACTGTGATAATATCATATCATGATAATATCATATCATAATAATATCGTAATGTGGCCCATATATCACGATAATATTGTATTGTGGCCCAAGTATCGTGATAATATTGTATCATGGCCAAAGTATTACAATAATATCATATTGCAGCCCAAGTGTTGCAGTATTATTGTATTGCGGCCCAACTTTCATGATAATATTGTATCCTGACAATATCGTATCATGATCATATGGTAATTTGGCCCTAAGTGTCGTGATAATATCGTATCGTGGCCCAAGTTTTGCGTATTGTACCACAGGTGATTCCCACCCCTACCCAATAGACCGTTCATTTCACATCCATTTTGGCAGCAAACCTGCTGACGGTGTTTGAGAAGGAAGAACCTTCAAAAAAAGGTAGAAGTCGTGCTTTTTTGTTTACTTATAGGAGTAAGTGACAACGTTCAGGAAAGAGAAACTGTGAACCCTAACCCCTCTAACCCTAACCCCTCTAACCCTAACCCTAACGGGACCGAACCAAACCATAGCTATAGTTACCACCTCTTTCTCCTCAAATGAAGCTGTTTGGTCGACTCATTCTCTGAAGTTGTGGAAGACAAATTCACCTGAAGACAGAAATGGAATCTGTCCGTCCATCTGCTCTACAAGACTAGAGGACTCTTCGACATTAGCATAGCGGGCTCCATTCACTGACCACTGAAGTTAACGTGGTCGAGCGAACTCCAGAGAACAACCGCCTCCACATTTTAAAACATGATTTATGAGTTCCTGGGTCTCATATTCAGACCCGGATCATTCAGGAAACTCACATATAATACAGTTAAACAAAACTCCACGTAGTGAAGGAGGACTTTCTGTTGTTGAATGTGACTTTTTGCTCTTTTCACAACAACTTTGAGGCGTTTATTTTTTACATAACAGAGAAGTAAGTTAGAAACAAATTTTCAGCCAAGATGACTAAACATAGAAAGGTTCGTTCCACCCACTGAATTCTTTTACAAGCAGGAGAGATATCTTTCTCTAAAAAACTATCATGAGTGAAAAACTGACAAAGATCAGAGTGAAATGAAAAATGAGATTAAAACGTTCCACTGAATTAATCTTTACCAAAGAAAAACACGGCAGCCGGTAACTGTGACGAAAACCCACAACGGTTTCTTCTGAAAATGACTGAATTCAGGTTCGTGTCAAAATAAACACTTTAGAGTAAAAGTGTTGGAGCTGAGCGACCGCCCACCTGTGCAGGTCTGCTCTCCGCATCCATCAGCCGTGTTATCTGGGTACAGCTGCAAGCAGAGTGTAATTATGTAGGCTTTCAGGCTGCTTGTAATAACCTCACACATTCCCAGATGGGCGGTCAGTAACGCCGTCAGGGCGAAGGAGACGGGACGCCAACAGAGGGAGGCGAAGTGAAGGACTATTGATTGAACCTCCTCCGTAATTGGCCGCCCGTACCTCTGTTGCTCCGGCGTTAACGAGCAGGTAAAAGGCCAAGTCTGGTCTCTCTGACCTGTCCGCGAGGAGCCGCGCTCATCACTTGTTATCGAGGAGAGGAGCTGTCAGGTTTGGAGAGAAATGATGGGAGAGGGAGAGAAGGAGCAGATAAGGAGGAGGTGAGGAAACACACGGGCCAGATAAGATAGGAAGAGGACGTAAGAAGGATTGAAGTGGACTAATTATGATTCACCACCTGATCCCTCATACAAAAGTAAGCTCCTACAAACAGAGTTAAAAATACCAGCCACCCCATCCAATCACTGACATTCATTTGGGAGAGCAACACCTCCCACTGTAGGAGGACCTAATTACTGACTGACGGAGTATCCCATGCTTCTCCTTGGGGGGGAACTGGGTCACTGTCTTATCCCCTCTTAAACAGACCAAGCAGTCAAATCCATCCGAGTGGGCTTGTGTGCCGTTTGAGGACTGCTCGGTCTAGACTGGGCTCAGAGGAGCGCCTGGAGAGACCTTTAGCACAGCAGAGGAGGGAGAGGTTGTGCCCAGATAAAGCCACGCTTCTTTATCAGAGCGAGGGGGGAAAAAAGCACGAGCTCCTTGTCAACACACCCGAGCTCGGAGGAAAATGAGCCGCAAAGCTGAATTAATTCAGGGAAAGTGAGGGCGGACTCTTCTCCTTTGAACGTCAGAGTGTTCCTGTATACAAACCGAGCTGATGCCTCCTGTGCTCTCTCTCTCTCTCTCTCTCTCTCTCTCTCTCTCTCTCTCTCTCTCTCTCTCTCTCTCTCCCTCTCTCTCTCTCTGTCTGTTTAAGCTCATTTACTCTGTGCTCTCTTAGCACACAATCGAGGCTCTGGTGACGGGCACAATACACAAGCAACCTCATCCTTGAGCGAACGAGGTGGCAATGAATCGCAGGGCTGTTTTTTTTTTTTTTTGTAGCGACAAAAATCAGGTGCTCTGATGTGTGGAGATGAATAGCTGTCCTTGGCTCCTGATATGAGAGCGGCAATAAACAAGGAAGAGGTGTGTGGCACAGAAATACACAAAAACAAACACAAAAGGATAAGGTTTTCCCAGGTCTGTCACAACAAACAGATAAAAACGGAAAGAAGAGACAGTTTAGGTTTCATCTTTATGCAATCGCCCTCTATTCTCTCTCTCTCTCTCTCTCTCTCTCCCTCTCTCTCTCTCTCTCTCTCTCTGAAGGGTACCTGTTTGTTCCCTTTCATAATAGACTGTGATTTACGAAAATGTGACCTCTTTACCAAACGGCACGTACAAAAAACAGCGACAAAAACCGCCCTTACAACCTCAGGATCTTCCTGTGCACAATCTGAGATTGAGATCGGAGCAGCGACTCTATGACTCAGCTGAATCTGGGACACTTTGGGTGTCTATAAATAGCTCACACCTATACATGTATGTGTGGAGAGGAGGGAAAAAACACAAACACAGAACATATTTTCACTTATGTAACACAGAACAACCTCAGGTCTTCACTGTTAGGACAGCAATTAATGTGGAGGAGCCGGGTGTGCAGGGGTGAAGTTACAATTAAAACCATAAATTAACAGCTTCGCTCGCTTCAGGACTAATCTGCACATTTCTTTCTCTTTATCCAATAAAACACACCGATAATGTCAAACTCTACAAACTCTGCTCTCCATTTAAATGTATTTTCATTTTTTAATCCGTTAACTCTTTTTTTAATCAAACAACAAGCTTTAGGCGCCACTTAGTTTTTGAAATATGAACAAAATCCTTCATCCTGTGAGAAACACATAAATACATTAAACTGTATTTATGTGTTAACTAAGAGCGAGGATCAGGGCCACGAGAGGAGAAAAAAAGAATTACAGGAGGAAGATTTTTTTTATTTCAATTTTGAGGTTAAAATCAAAATTTAATCTCAAAATTTTAATTTTTTTTAATCTCAACATTTCAACAAGATTCGCGACATTTTCAACATTTTACAATCTAGAAATTTCATCTTTAATCTCCAAATTTATTTTTTTTTCTAATCTTGAAATTTTGACTTTCATCACAAAATTTTGATTTTTTTTATCTCAACATTTCAACATGATTCGCGACATTTTCAATATTTTATAATCTAGAAATTTATTTTTTTTTCAATCTTGAAATTTCAACTTTAATCTCAAAATTTCTGTTTTTTTAACTTGACATAATTCGCAACATTTTTGACATTCGTAATCTCAAAATTCCGACTTTAATCTTGAAATTTAGATTTTTTTTAACTCAAAATTTCCACTTTAATCTCCTTCTTGTAATGAGTTTTTTTCTCTTCATGTGGCCCTAACCCTTTTTTGTAGTTCAGACGTTTAGGCTCAGAGAAATCAGCTCCTCTTACATGATATATTTTGGTAAATTTAGGTAATTTGGTAAATCCGTGTGTTATTCTTGTCTTTGGTTGGGCTCTGTTTGAGTATGTAGGCAGCAACAGGAGGAAGCGCCACCAGAGCAGGAGAGCTGAGCAGGTCACACCGTCATCATCCATCAGACATACAGCTCTGCTTCAGAATCAGAGGGACTAAAACTCGACATATTTACAGCGCTGTGTAATAACACGCAAAGTTATTGAAACACACTGAGTAAACTGTGACACTCCAACTGTCCAACATGGAGGAACATTTTAGCGAACAGATGCAGCGAACATGAGGAGAGGACAAACACGGTCTAAGAATGAACCGTCCCACATTTTGTTGAATTTTGATTTTGCTTTCCGGTTCCTGACAGTAACATAAATCTTTGAGGACTAAACCTGAGTTAGAGACTTGGATGTCACATTGGTTTTGGCTTCATCTGCTGGGACCTGCTTTTCTAAGATTGTATAATCAGTGACACAGTTCACCAACAAAGTTGAGAGAACAGGGTCAGAGGGGCGGCGAGGGGACAAAAGTTAGACACAGCTTCACTGACAGAGACGAATTTAACTTCTGCATGTCAGGAACACGTCCAGGACGATTTATTTATGACGTGAAAATAAATACTGAGAGGGACTGATCTGTAATCAATGAGCAGATATCAATAGTGACTGTAGAAACATCTTAATAGGGCTGCACGATTCATCAATGTTAAATCATAATCGGATTATTTGATTCTGACGATGTTAAAAAAATTAAAATCCTCAAATTAATTTTCCTCTCTATCACGTCTCACACCTCCAGGCCACCGTAGGCCTCCCTGTGGAACTAGTATGAGTTCACAGTTTCAGATGAAGAGTAAACCGCTCCCCGCCACAAAGTCTGTCTGAAGGCGGTATCAACCCGCCCACACAGAAACGAATGCTAAAGTTTCTTCTCGTATCGGCGTTTCATCCACATGGAAACGGCGTTTCAGGTGACTGTAAACGGTACTTTTTGAAAACGGGTCAGAGAGTGAATAAATCTGTAAACGACGACCATTTCATCTCCGTGTGGATGTCTATCTGCATCTCTGGAAACGATCATGTGACACACAGCGTAACTCTTTTATGGCGCCGAAACAACCTTTATACACATGCTCTGTACTCTTCTTCTGTCTTTTGTGCATTTCCTGTGCAGCGTTACAGCGCCACTTACCTGCTTGGCATATGAACTACATCGTTTTCAGTGGTTTGGTTTTGAGAGATGATAGAAAAACTTTTTATTAAAGTGAAGTTTGGTGAAGAATAAAAGATGAAAAATCGAGTTTTCAAAGAAAATAATCAGGATTTTATTTCGGCTAAAATCGTGCAGCCCTACCTGTTATCGTACTCTAGTCTAAAACCGAGTTAAGCTCAGACACCAGTGCTAATGATACCAAATCATTATGATCAAAGTTTTTTTTATTGACTTTAACTGATTTTGTTTGTATTTTTTTCTCGTTATCACGACTTTATGAGGTAATCATTATTTCTTAAATGGAGTAAAAAAGAAAGATCCTCTCTCTCTCTCTCTCTCTCTCTCTCTCTCTCTTGAGATCCTTAATGTTACAATAATTAGATCAGGCTGTTGGTCGTTCATTACAAACTCCTAATGTCTTTATTCCCCAAATGATGAGACAATTAAAGATCATTAAGAACTGGATTATTTTAGTCAGTTGTATTTATACGACAACAACAGATCATGTCCATTTTCATTTTAACGGCGTCAACCTTCGTCTCGGTGACGATGACGATTAAAACGCTGGTGCAGCAGTTTAAGTTTTTTAACTCTTCTAATCCTGAAGTCTTTTTTAAATTTTTATTAGCCCTTCTTAAATATCCTGACACCACGGCCACATTTGGATCGTCTTTGTTCTGTCTAAATCTCGTGTGCTTTGACGCCTCGCCGTGGTCAGCAGATTTTTAATCCACGTAGATACCGCACGTTTCTAATTAAAATATTATCTCGACAAATCTGATGGGACTTTGAGAAGGTAGTCACGGACAAGCTGTTACACAATCGAGTATGATGAAACCACCTTATGGCGGAGGATCTAATGGAGGTAGGTTTACTCTGACTGTAGCAGCTCGGCGGCGTTATCTAAACAAACGGAGCTGCTGCCAGCTGGCTTCTCCCTCTGCAGCGCCTGAAGGACACCTGATGAAGCGTACTATCAATTCAAACCCTATTGAGAGACATATACATACTTACTCCAGGAGAAAAAAATATGACAGTCAGTGAGTCGCATTTAAAATTAGATTCTCCATAAAGCGGAAACATTGAGAGTGAAAATAACAAGAGTAATGTGCCAAACAAACGTCGGCTTGAATCTCTGTGATTTATAACAAAACTGCTCTCAGTCTTTCTGAGGATTTATTTGAATACTAAACAGCAGCTTTTGGAAGAGCGGCCCACAAAAGCAATCAGTGAGAGGGTGCACCAAGTTTGGTTTCTGCTGCTGCGGTTATATAAACATGAAAATGAGGCTGACCTCCACAGCTCCAATCTACACGTCGATATTGAAGGATTTGTCAGTGGATTTATTATATTAGTCATTGTATCACCACCGTAGTTTTTCAGCACTGCAGTAGGAGAGGTAGTGAACTTCACAAACTGAGAATGATCATTAATCACAAAACCAACAGGAGGACGATGACTGCAGTCCGTGTGACGCTGGGGGGCAGAGCGGCGATGTGACACGTTCTGCTTCAGCGCTGACGTCCGAGACTGTTTTCCACTTTTGACCTGGATGCTGGTGAGGCTTCCTGTAGCAGCGGTCGGTCCCTGTGATTGAGTCTTCGGCTGACAGACAGCCTGACAGAGGAGACTCTGAGCTGCACTGGGATTTCATAACCGACCATGAGCAGGACACACGCTCACGACTTCCTCTGATGGTTTCACAACACAAAGGTCAGACAGGTCAGGACAGGTCAGGACTTATGGGGGGAGACTGATGCTTTTAATGGGACCAAGAATTGACCCAAACCTGCGCGCTTTACCGCAGTAACATGTCAGCCAGTTAGATCTAAGAGTGAAGTTTATGGAGTCGTTTGTCTGTCAGTCTCACTTCGATTATTTCAGTTTTCCAGACAGACTGTCGAGAATTCGCTGGTGAAACTCTGACATCATGACAGTTAGTGTGCGGCGGTTTGACGGTAAAAACCGTGTGACGTATAAAAGTGTAGAAATGTTACCGTTTATACCGGAGAGAGAGAGCAGATGTCTGTTACGTCTCTCTGAGTCAGTGTGTAGATGTCTGTGCTCGCCAACAGGAAAGCCAGAGCGCGTCCGTCTGGGTGCGTTTCTGTGTTGTGCGGAGTTTGTTCACTCCGTTTGATTGGTCAGGTTTGGGTGCGCTCCCTTTAATCACCAGCTTGTCCAGCAGACTGCTTGGCAAAGATTCAACGATGAAGAAGAAACAGCTTCACTGGTGGTGGTCATGGCGGACGCGGAGATTAATGGTGGTACCAAACAAACGGAGGCAGCCCGACCCACCCAACACGAGGAAGAGGAGGAGGAACTCGTTCCGAAAAAGGGCGCGAGTCCCGACATCGATTGTTTGGAGATTCTTCAGATTGAGAAAATGTGACGATGATCAAAAAACGATACGAAACAGAAAGTGTCGCGTGGAAACAACCTCTTCCACCACCTAAAGATGAAACACGCCAAACTCTATAATGAGAGACTAAAGATCATCGACTGTATAAACCATGGTCAACTTGGCTCCGCCTCCTGCCTGTTTACGGATTTAAAGCTGAAAAGTTCTCGGTAATTCTGTGATTTTTCTTCATTTCCTGAAACCAACATTGCGCAGTAGTGTTGTACACATTTGGAGGGAGAGTCGCTGTGATGACGCTCGGCTCAAACAGCATATCCCCCGGTGATCTACTCAATCTCTGTCCTCCCATAGGCTGTATCAGGTGTCAATCATAGCAAACATGAACCCCCTAATAACTTTTAAAAATGGAGCTGTACAGAAAAAAGAGGACTTGAGCACAAACCAGTCTGACAGTAACTACATGTCAACATCACAACCAGGGGGGAGAAACATTTATATTCTGTGTCATTCATTTATAAAGTTTGTCCACAGCTCCATAAGGAGGCGGGGTTTATGACCTATACTGCAGCCCGTCACCAGAGGGCGCTGTTCTCAGAGAGAGGAGGCAGATGGCATCTGTTCTATATACAGTCCATGCAAAAGATGCGTGACGCACCTGCTGCACCAAAAACTCAAACTGCAGCAGCTCCTCTCAGACTAAAGAGCTCGGCAGAGTCTTTCACCAAAGATTCGATAAATGATCAAAAATCGACAGACTGGTCGGACATTTAGTTTGTACTTGTTTAAAAATAAAAGGAAGATGAACAAATGAGACAGTTTGGTTATTTTTAAGACATTAATTGAATTTACAGGGAAAAAACATACTTTGATATAAACCGTTACTGTGATATAAGATTTTGTTCATACCGCCAACACTCGTGAAAGGCCTTACCTCATCAAACTCTGCTAAAAAATACTGATATTAATTTATGAAGCAAACATTTATTTCCCCAGAAGAGATTCAGAGAAGACCTTTCTACCAACTCTGTGGACGATCATCGATGCAGCACCAGGAGCAGAGAAGAGCTTTATAAATGCTTAATGCAGAAGACTCAATCCCTCAGATCCACCTGTCATTTCACATTACTCAACCAACAAATAACCCTCCACAGAGTTTCCTCTCTGTATGAAAACGCTCTACGCTCAGTATAAATCAAATATCCTCCCAGCATGGAAACACCGGAGTTAGGGAAGCCTTACCTGAGCTCGGCCTGGGCTGTTTCTTTTTGGAGGTCTCGATGCCTGCTCCGATCAGGTTCATGATCTTCTCGATCTGTTAATAAAGAGGAGAGGAAATCACTTTAATCGACTTTTACATGAGAGATGAAAAAAAAGGATCTGTGGTGATCGAGTGTGAAGGAGGGCTGCACCATTTTAGTCAAAAACAAATTTTTAACAGTTTAAAAAGTTTTTCTATGATCTCTCAAAACCAAACCACTGAAAACAATGTAGTTCATATGCCAAGCGGGTAAGTGGCGCTGTAACGCTGCACAGGAAATGCACAAAAGCCAGAAGAAGAGTACAGAGCATGTGTATAAAGGTTGTTTTGGCGCCATAAAAGAGTTACTCTGTGAGTCACATGATCGTTTCCAGAGATGCAGATAGACATCCACACGGAGATGAAATGGTCGTCGTTTACAGATTTATTCACTCTCTGACCCGTTTTCAAAAAGTACCGTTTACAGTCACCTGAAACGCCGTTTCCATGTGGATGAAACGCCGATACAACAAAAAACTTTAGCGTTTCCTCCTGAATTAGTTTCCATGGTGACGGGTTGATACCGCCTTCAGACAGACTTTGCAGCGGGGAGCGGTTTACTCTTCATCTGAAACTGTGAAGTCGTACCAATTCCTATTTAACCACGAAATTATTGCCTTCTTTTGCAAACGCCATGTTTGTTTACACTGGTGTGTGTGGGAGGAGGAGCCTACGGTGGCCTGGAGGTGCGAGACATGAAAGAGAGGAAAATTGATTTGATGATTTTAATTTTTTTAACATAATCAAATAAACAGATAAACATTTAAAATCGATGAATCATGCAGCCCTAGTCTAAAGTAACTCTGAACGTTTTACTTCGACTCTCTTTTTAACTTTCCGATCCAATTAAAAAAAAATCAGAAGCCCTGATGGAGCGATGTTGGACGAGGAGTCAGGACGAAGAGCTGCTGCTGCTGCTGCTGCTGGGAGTATTGGGAAGGAGGCGTCCTGTTTCACAATGATGGATTACAAGAACCAGTCGAACGTGGAGAGAAGCTCAATGAGCAGCCCACAACAACTCAGCAAAAACAGGCGATACGGTGAATTACAACAAAACTATTAAAAACAGAAACGTATTCAGGTCTGAGCGGCACCATCGGAGAGACCCTCCAGAGATTCAGATCTCCTCCTGACTCCATCTTGGCGAGGATTGGATTGGCCTCTCAGACCTGTATTATTTAAGCTCCACAGAATAAGGCAACAGCTTATTACAAGGTTAGGAGAGCACGACGCTGCATGCATGAGATTACAGAGCGGCCCAGAAAAGACTTGTTTAAAGGTTCAGAGCTGGAGCTGTTTATTCAGACACACACACACACACACACGCACACACACACACACACACACACACACACACACTTCCAGGTGGTTTTCTTTTGATAGTCCCACAAGTTCCCACAAACAAATCACTGATGCCAGACGCCGTTACTCTTGAAACGCTAAAACAAAACCCTCCTCTAAGACACTGAAAACTGTCGGTTTATTAATAGAAAAAACTCCAACAACATTTCGGGCGCCTTGTCATGTTTTTGTCAGAAAATCAAAAGCACTCTCATCTCAGTCAGTTAAATCTGAGGGAAATCTGACAGTGTGCGCTTCGTGACGCGACTATAAATAACTTCCTGACTGTGTGGACAGATCTTAGTTGATTATTTGCTTCCTCCTCCTGTCGTTCAGCAGAAAGTGCACTTTGAATTAAATTATTTCTCAATCAGAGATATTCACAGGTCAGGGTAACGCCACCTCTCTCTTCTGTGCTGCTGTTAAAACGGATTTCATTATAAAACCAAAAAAAAAAAGTGTTTCTGATGCCAAACCGACGCCCACCGACATCAACGGGGTGGAAAATTAACACAAACTGAACAGTCCTGGCCTTTGTATTTTTTGAGTATACATTGTGTGTATGTTGTGTATTTTTTTGTGTATATATTGTGTATTGTCTTTATGTCCTTTGTGGCCCACACTGCAGCTCTTGTCTTTTAACCTTTCCTTCCTTTCTCCCACATGTTTTTTCTCTTTTCTTGGTTTTCCCATGTAAACAAATTAACATCCATCGTTGGATGATTTCATGACTGTTGGTTCTCCCTGCAGCGACAGTCTGTGTTTTACAGCAACAGCAGAGGAGTAGTTAACAGACGGGGTGGAACAAAACGTGGTGAAATATTGTTTCCCTGACCTCGGGCTGGTCGATCATCTCATAAATATAGGAAACATCAATCCTTCACTTCCTTTTAAGAGCTCAGACTTCATTTTGGTTGATTATACTCACTGTAGTAAAATATTTTTACTTTGTGTCATAAAAAATTGAAGGATTTGAGATCTTTCATCACTTTATCACAGACTGTAAATCGAAGAAATCAGTCTGTATTTAAATCTTTTATGTAACGTCCTTCTCAGTCTTCAGACTTTGGCTCGTATTTGATTAGAAATCTAAAAATCACGTCTCTAATCCCGACAGCCTCCCTGCTGTCCTGCTCATCCTGTCCCTCAGCTCTTCAGACACACACTGATACACACTCCTGCCTCCTCCTCCTCTCCCTGCTCTCCTCTCTCCTCCTCCTCCAGGTAGAATCTTAGTCACTCAGTCTGTTTCCATCACACTCAAGAAAACCGAATTATCGCCTTATTCCGATTAAGACCGGACGACTGAAGGTCATGTAAACACCTTAGTCCGACTATAAAAGGAGTTTGAGAAATCTGCCATTGGAATCCGATTTTCTCTATCATGTAACCAGCGAAGTCGCGGTATGATCGGACAATGCATGAGGCCACGCCCCTATAACCCCAGAGCACAAAGACCAGAGAAGAAGTGACGCTATCATTTAAAGAACTTTCGACTCAGAAGTAACTTCAACACGACTGAAGCACAAAAAATGTACACCTTCAAAACGATGAGGAGAGCGCCGTTATGCTTTCCCTCCAACCAGTCATTCCTCGAACCCGCGTCCAACAAGAGCGAGCGTTTTGGGTCAGTAGCGGCGGCACAAAGTGAAAACAAACTGAAAAGACTCATATCGCCCCCTAGTTTTGGGGAGGAGGACTCGTTTGCGTCAATAATTCGATTTTCTCAGCTGCATGTAAACGAGGACGAGGAGAGAAGTCTGATTCAGAGAAAAAACGAATCATGAACTCAGTCCGATTAAACTGAGACTGTAAACACACTGAGTGATTCGCTTTGTTTGGACTAGAAAGAGTCATAAACTGCCTGAAAGAGGCCGCAGTGACTGACTCTGTTGTTATTCATCTCTTGTGTTAAAGCAGAAAATGACATTTCTACAGGGGAGGTTGGCTGGTTTCCTGCCAAAGTCCCTGTTTTGACAGGATGTCAGTGTGTCATATTTACACTTTTCTTTTACTTACTCATTTAAATAAAGAGGCTACGAGGCAGTTTTAATTGGATGACTTCGAGCCATGATCGCTGTGTTCCTGCTGACTTTCTCTCTTGTCTCTGAACAGAGAGATGAGAACGTGACAGCGATCTTCTCAGCTAAACTCACAGCACAGTTAGAAAGCAGCACGGCTCCGAAAATGTCAAACTCCTTTTTTAAATACATGAAATCAGGTCTGAACTGAGTGTCCTCATCTGCCCTTTTTCTGTTCAATATCAAGAACTAAATGTCATTTTTCCTGATATATATGCATAAATATATATATTACCATAAGTCATGCATGACATTCAAACTGCAGCAAACTTTTTAAACTCTTATCGTATACTGCATATTTTAATAAAGTGCCCGTATCTCAGCAATTGTAAGCCATTTATCTCCAGAGCAGCACACTCATGCTTTAAGGACCTTCTGCAGACATAAACGCACCATTTCCCCCTTTTTCATAAAAAGATCAGCCATGCACTTTAATGACGCTGCATATTCCTCCGCTACTTAAGAGAAGATTTTTATCTCAAAGTTCATTCGATCGTTTTTGAAACAAGGTAATTAGCGAGCTGGGGGCACCTACAAAAAAAAAACTCTATCTGCAAACTCTTTCAAATCCGCTCTGGAGACTAAACTTAGAATCAGTGGAGTCGTCTCTCCACAATCAGTGAGGAAGGACGCTGATTTTTGTGAGCCTGAAAAGCTGATTCTGCTTTCACCAGTGACACCAGAGACACAGCCGGGTGTATTTGATGTAATATTTAGTGTTTGAAAAAGCCCTATGCAATCCGCTAGTGGCATCAACACTGTGGAAAAGCCTTGATTCATTTGGAAGTCAGGCACGTGGGACGCGTGGCATATGCCTTCAGCGATACAGACCTCACATTACTCTCTGAATTAACCCAGTTACATTCTATATCATACACACATTCAGCAGGACGGCGTTACATCAGCTTAAGTGCGCCCTATCAGAGCCTGTCATCCAAACCCTGCTGCCGGGAAACCTCGCACTGTCAAAGTTTGAGTGCTGATGTATCTGCTGATTTCACGTCAACGTCCTCTTTGACAAGCCAAGGTCAAAAAGCGCATTAGTATTTCCACCAGTGGCTTTGACAGCTACACCTGCTTATCTCAGAGGGTCGCAGGAGGGCCGGAGATAATCCCCGTTTACACTGAGCGCCACACGGATGATGTCCTTGAAGCTCAAGTTCAAACCTGACGGCAATTAAGAGTCGCTCATTAACTTAACCCTGTGGGACCGAACCCTGAGGGGCTGAACCGGACCACCTGGAGGAAATACTAACTGAAGCAGTGACTACTAACCCCTAAAACACAGCAGGTTCATGTTTTAGACTGTGGGGGGGTTAAAATGAGAAAAATCACAGCATTGATTCTCCTTCTTTTTGGAACAGCAGTCAGTTTGTTTTTATTCATTCGTAGATTTGTCCCATACAGTCGATCGATCAACAGGCAAATCATCAAACAGCTTGTTTGGCTTTTTGGAGGTAAAAACCATTTAGATATAAAATTACCACCATCTTCAAACCTCAATAATCAGCACTTATAGTTGTTCAGTTAACACTTAAATCAAGGTGTTAAGGACCCACTCTGATGGAAATCCTGTTTTTCTTGTCGTTTACATGTTCATATGTTCATTTCTTTGATGCTACACGACACATCATGAGAAAAATAAGTGAAATTGTATTTCTGAATATTTCTTCATTTCAAAAATCTCTGTGAATCTCTGGCAGACCCAAACAGCAGGTTCAGACAGAGAGAGATTTCCTACATCACAAATCTAAGCTCCGCCCCTGGAGCCCCACTGTGCAGGCCAGTCTCTGAGAAATAGAGTGGACGAGCAGACTGCAGACTGCAGTGCTCGTAAGAAAGCTAATCATGATATTAACTTTCATCATGTTATTAAAGACATCAGTGTCAGAGAGCAGAATAGCTCCTTTGTTACCTGCTTCTTCTACTGCTATACCGGCAAAGTTAGTCTGCAAGCTAGCGTGAGGAGGAGTGTGCAGAGAAGCGCTGACTCCTGCGAATTGCTAATGAGCTACTGGAGCTCTGCAGAAGAAAAAACCTATAAAATGACACAGGTAACGTGATTTTGGTTAAAAACTTTAAAATCACAATTTAAAGACCACTGAGAGGACTTTAAGTGGTAAAAAAAATGATCAGAGTGGGACTTTAAATGTTGTTTCCTCATTCCTGAACCACAGACTGTATAACATGAACATATCGTCTCCAGTCATGTCCCTGGAACAGAGCTGTATGGACCGTATGTGTGTAGAGACAGTTTAACATGAGAGTCCATAGAGTCTCTCCTGTATTCACTCAGAAGTCTGATGATGAGTTACTCTGAAATTCTGTAAAAATCCGTCAGATCAGGATGTTTTCTAAGAATTTTCCCTGAAAGTTCAGACGAGGACTTTAAAAGATAAAAGTTATTCAGAAGTCATTTTAGCCTGTAAGAGAGCTCCCAGGGTGAAAAACTGTTAAATCTTTCAAGAGGCTGAAGAGTCCCTTAGATTGATGAGGAAATAATGATAAGAGAGTGAGATAACGACAACGCCAGGAATAAAAGTGATTACAAGGTATTTAGCAGGGCTGGGAATCACCAGTGGTCCCACTATACTATAATTATTATCACGATACTTGGGCCACGATACAATATTATCGCGATACGATATTGTCACGATACTTTGGGGCAGTATGATATTATCACGATACCATATTATCACGATACCTGGGCCACGATACAATATTATTGCAATTTTTAACATTTTGCTATACAGTGAGTATGGCAATACCATATATTGTGTTCTATATAGTTTTTTCAACTGTTTAGCTATTTTAGCATTTTTCTTTCGTTTATGTTTGTCTTATTTACGAAGTATTTTATTTTCATGTAGCACATCTCGTATACAAACCTTGATGTCCCCTCTGCCGACCTCACTGGACAAACAGTTGATTTTATTTTTCCATCATCATCATAGATTCGACTTCATATAAACAATAAATTTAAAAAAAAGTCAAAACTTGGTAAACGAGACGATACGATATATCACCAGACAAAATATTGCGATTCTATGCTGTATTGTTTTTTTCTCCCACCCCTAATATTTAGCAACTGGAAAATGAATCTTAAACTCCTGATTTTGTACTTATGATGGATGACTTAACTACAGAAACACTTTCTCATACTCCTCACTACAATTCAACAGCAGCAGAAATAATGACATCCACAGTCATGAGTAAATATTCCAGGAATGAGGTTTAGAGTTTTGAGAGATCCGTACTGGATTTGTTTCACTGACACTGACCTGTGAGTCAACTCTCCATTGAAAATTTAATCTGACACCAAAAGCTGCTCTCCGGTGAACGTGTCGGAGCAGGAAGGAAATAATCAGAGGATCTATTCACACAGAAATGTAACTGACGGAGCAGTTATGAATCAAATGGGGCTCTGAGTGGACTGTCATTAAAGCAGCGGTGCTCAACCCTGAGTGATAGCGCTGCATCCTGGAGTGATTTACATATTAATACAGGTTGATCTGCTCTTCAAATCCTGCACACGCTGCAAAGATTCCCCATTCCGTGTCACCCTCTCTTACCCACGTTTTGGTGTGAACAGTCGAGTGACTGATGGAATTTGGGGGATTATTTCTCGTCCTTGGCCACACTCCTCCAAGATTAATGACTCATTCTCTTCAAACCTGAAACAGGTGGATATATCGAGGGTAAGTACTCGCTCAGTTTGAAGAATTACAAGATCCCAAGTCTAGATATCTGAAGGGAGATTTCTTGGTGTGAACTCTGATCTTGATTAAATTTGATGTACAGAAGATGTGGTCATATAAATTGGCACTCACCCTTTACATGATGTTGAGAAAGTGGTAGCATAGTCTTAAAGATACTTATTTCAAAGTTTGGAAACAGATTTGAGCTTAAAAAAAAACCTTTAAAGTCCGTCCCAACTTCAGTTTCTGCTGATGCTGGATTTTGGGTTTTGATGGACCCAGAAAAAGGGAGAAAGATTAAAAGACCAACATATGCTGCTTCTTTTTTGTCTCTGCAATCCAAGTACAACAGATGCTGACGTGAATCAATGTGGCTCCAACATGACACAGTCTGTGCTTGTTAGTGTATAGCAATCTCCATATTGGCAAGAAGTCAGTCAGCCTCTCCACAGGCCTTAATGTACCTCCGCTCATTATATAATACACCCTAAAAATAACTCCTGAGTTTACAGTGTGAGCAAACTCAGGACAGAAGTCTGGATCCTGACACTTAAACTGGATTAGTGTTTCATGTGACGTGAATTTATCGGATGTTTTTACAGCTGGAGTGACGGCCCTGAAACAAAGAGTATCATATTAGTTAAAGAAATGAATTAAACTACTAGACGTAATTTCATGGTTTGGCTCAGTTTCAGACTGAGAATATGCAGAATAAGTCCACTAATCAAGATGTCAGCCTCAACACCCGGCACAATTGCCAGTTGATTACGCTAATTGATTTTCTTTCATTACTGCAGGCCAAAAGTCCCACTAATGAGCTGTGTCTGATCCACCCACCGTTGGTCGGGAAGCAGCTCAGGTAAATCGCTCTGGTTAGCACCTTATTGATGTCACCGTGTTTGAATGATGAACTTTGATTCTGCTCCATTCGTCTGGTAATAATAATTAGATTACCATTTTGATTGATGAGGATTTCTTCAAAGTTTGGGTGTTTTCAGTAGAGATGGAGGTTGTTCTGCAGCAGCTTCTACGGTTTACATCGGTTTGTAATCTCAAAACATCCAGGAGTCTATTTTTGTTTAAAGGTCCTTATAGGAACTTCCATTTGTATCAACTTTGGCGCCCCATGTGGACAAAGTGGTCATTACGTACCTTGTCCTCTGCATGATTAAGTCGTGAGTTTGTACTAAATTTTTTTATAAATTAAATATTTTATTTTAAGATGCTATTGACAGTTTCTTCAGCTGCTCAGACATTAGAAAACAACTAAACTAAAATAAAAAATAAATGAATTAAAAAATAGTCAATCTTGTCCCTGATGGTTTTGTTTACTTTTGGATAAAGAGGTATCAGATTAAATTTTGATCTATTTTATAAACATGAAAAAAATAAACGTATCACAGGAGCTTTAAGTTGATGCACAATCTTCATGTACTTGGCTACGCAGTAGGGGTGAGAAGAAAAAAAAGAAACAGCATAGAGTCATGATATTTTGTCTGGTGATATAATGTATCGTCTCATTTACCACGTTTTTTTTTTTTTTAATTACTGCTAATATGAAGTCAAATCTATAATAATGGAAAAATAAAATCAATTGTTTGTCCAGTGAGGTTAGCAGAGGTGAAATCATAGAGCAGGAGAAAGTTAGGACAACAAATTAAGGTTGCTAACATATTTAAGGTTAGCAAGAAGTGCTACATGAAAATAAAATACTGCGTAAATAAGACAAACATAAAGGACAGACAAATGCCAAATTCGCTAAACATTTGAAAAAACTGTATAGATCGTGATATATGTATAGTATCGCAATACTCACTGTATTGAAAATGTTAAAAATAGCAGTAATGTCGTATTGTGGCCGAACTGTCTTGATAATATCGTATCGTGGCCCAAGTATCACAATAATATCGTATCTTTGACCAACTATCGTGATAATATCATATCATGGTGGGAGTATTGTGATGATATTATATCGCAATAATATTGTATCATGGCCCACGTGTCATGATAATATCGTATCGTGATAAAATCATACCTTGATAATATCATATCGTGGAGTCACTGGTGATTCCCACCCCTACTGTGGAGGTTGTCCCCCCCTCATAATAACCAGGTCCGATGTTGAATCCAGTTTCGAACCCCAGTCCACTGCAAACAGAACCAAAGACTCATGATGCCGGCGCTGCTTAAATTAATCTCCGTCAATAAACAAATGTGGCGCTGTTTACCCACTAACACTGTGATTCCTTGAATAATTCAAGAGATCCCTCCAATAAACTGTGCTCAATTTGGACACTTTTCTGAGTGTTTTCCTTTCTTTGAAAAGTAAATTGGTCATCATCAAAATGTCTACGACAAGGACCAGAAAAACGGTGGAAATCAACTTCTGGTAAAAGCACGGCTCCGCTCTCTCGGCTTGCTGTTCAAGGTCTGAGCGTGAAAATTGGGTTTCTTTCCGCTCTCTTTCTTGTCAAGTCAACGCCATTAAAATCCTCCTCAATAATGTGCTGTAAAAATGGAGAGTGCAATATTGTCCTGTGAGCCAGTGTTTACACATAAATCATAGCAGTTCAGCTTTACTGAACAAAATGGAAATGATGGCTGGATAAAATAAACTAAGTTAAAAAGCTTCCTGCTTCACTGGCTTTGCTCTAGAAACAGGATTACCGTCTCAGTATCACTGTCAATAAAGACAGATGGGCTGGTCGCTCCACACGATACAAGACCCAGATCCCATAATTCCATCCGGCAGCGCTCATGATCTGGATTGATTTTTATTTTTTTGACAGCTCTGAAACCACACAACATAAATAAAGCAAGCAGCCACTGAGAATAATAATAACAGTAAAGCCATGACAGCCTCGGTTGTGTACTCGAGTATGAAGACTGAATTTGTTTGGCGTTTTTAAAAGCTTGATGATTTTTTTATAGTTACAACTGTAACATAAAGAAGTGTCAAACAGATTGGATTTGTTCGGCTCTTACAGTCAAAGGAAACAAACCTTTATCTAAAGCTTTCTATAAGGTCTTACTGATTTTTCTCTCAGTCTTCAACTGCTTTCTAAAAAATCACATTAATTTCCAGATTCTGGCAGCGACAGCTCCGCGAACGCAGCGTTGGTTTGTGTAGATTTAACCATGAAACTGTTTCCAGCTCTCAGCCTGAGCTTGAAATTGGGTTTAACTCAGAGTAATGTCAGTTTATCATAAATCTAAATCTGCAGTGTTTCTGTCTCTACCTGTATGAAATCAGATTATCAGCTCAACACGAACTGCCTCTCCTCTCACTTTGTCTGTTTCTGGTTTATATTTAGCAATATCTAGTTTTTCCAACACGCTCTGAGAAACTTTTCTGATTTATTAGCAGTCGATAGTTTCAAATAGTAGGTCTGACAATAACTTCTTATCACCCGCTGCTGTCTGCATGTCAGAACTTTGCAGGGTCCCGCTGACACATACAAACATCATGTCAATTCTGCAGCACATCGACTTTTTTCCTTAAGAGACACCTGCTGCTAAATATTTGACCAGATTAAGGCTCAAACATGGCTGTTCAAGCTGAAGCCTGTAGGCGTGATATAGTCATTTCTATTATCACAAGAGGCCTGATGTCTGTGTGTCTCTGAGGGACAAATAAACAGAGTAAAACTTCTCTGAGGAAAAAAAACTTGATGTTGAGTCATTTTGCTACAGAATCAGAATATTTAACCCTCCTCATTTTGGTGAGTAGAGACATGACTCTGGTGTTTTTTCATCTGCCCACGACTCTGGCCTGATACTATGTGATTGAGGGTGAAACAATTCATCAGCATAAACAAAACTCAGTGTCAAAATAAGTTTCTGATGAATTTAAAGGTCATTAGTTGATCAGTGATTTCACTGTGCAGGATTTTAAACTGTCTGATAAATCCTCATCATCTTCTCTGTGCAAAAGTGAACAGGAAGCAACAAGTGAACAAAGCGGAGCAACAAAACTGGAGACAATGCAACGCCATTTCTTCACAATATTCCCAAACAAGCCCGGGAACTTTTGACCCTTCAGACTGAAAAAGGAGATTTCTAAATGTGCTGATGGTGGGAGCTCATCTGAAACGGGAACTTTAAAGTCAAATACTGTCTTACTTAAATATCAACCAATTAATTTTACATTTACACTCTCTCACTTTAAAATCTTTCCCCTTAAAGCTCCATCTTTCCTCTCCCACTGAACTCTTCTGGGGCGCTCACACTGAGAGTGGAAATCTAGACATGTAAATGAATCGTGTTTACTCGCTTCATTCGCACGTCAACCGTAATTTCAACGGTAATCCCTGCCAATTTAACCAGCAGATCAAGTGATACAAAAACGTTTTTAACATTTACCAGATAATACGACCTCCTCACTCACTTTCCTCCAGGAGATTTCCTTTTTAAAAAGTATCATATAATTCAGGGCACCCACAAACCGGCGCGATCAGATTGTCCTCCACTTTAGATACCAGTGAACAACCGTCCGTTTCCATACGCCACCCGGCAACCTTCGCACTGATTGGTTATCAGCGAATATCTGCGCAAGCTAAGACATATTCAGCTCACGCCAATTCACATCATTCGCGTCTTTGCATTGACTTAACATGTAATTCATTCGCGCGAATGATTTTACTCGCGCTTGATGTGTGGAAACAGTAATATTTCCTCTTTTACAACAACAACAAATTTACAGGGTAAACTCTAACGTTACTATAGCAACCACATATTAAATTATTACTAAATTATTCATCTTATGTGAATACGTGTCAAATTTAAAAGCTGATGGATAAATAAGAACCACTTTATTGTTTTTACTTGAGCCATTTATAATCTGATTGGTAAATCAATCATCTCACTAATCAATGACTCGTCAGCTCTCAAACAGTCATTAGCTGCAGCCCTAAATGAGATGTCTCATGTTACACCTGATGGGAAATTTTACGGGCAATATGGCGGTGAAAGAGGGACGTACCTCCCCCACGCTCAGCCCCCCAACAAACACCATCACCACTACTCTCATATTCATGGACCACATCTGTCTACCCAGATCCTGGGACGTGTTCACTCTGCTGTAGCTCTCTATATGAATTATAAACCACCTTATACACATCACACAAAATCCTCCTGCTTTATGGTCTAAATCTACCTCAGTTAAAAAAACACTCCTTCTATAATCGTCACTGCGGTCATTTCAGTTTCAGATAATTGGGAGATTACAGACCACAAAAACAAAACCTAGAGTGATGTTTGTGAAACACACTCCAGAATTAAGAAATAATGTCGTATAACCAGTGAATCACTCATATACAGTCTGAGGATGAGACTGAAACAAAGTGAACATCATGAAATACTGTTTATGCATTTTGATTAAAGATCTCAATCTGCATATATGTGTTACATAAAACACACACACACACACACACACACACACACAAACAGAGTATGCATTAAAAGCTTGCATGTGTAATGAACTGTAGAATACCTCTGGGAAAGAGAGTATGCACACGAATGAAGCCACTCAAGCATTTGTAACATGTGGTTGTGTTAACCTTTGCCTTCTGAGTATCGAACAGATGTGGTGAAGATGTCAATCACCTTCATCATATATGCCTCCATCTCTATAATAAGAAAAGCATGTGGTGGTCAGTGAGATGCAAGATTCTTACATAATAGGGTTATTTTTGGTATCAACCTTGGGGGAATATAAAAAATGCATAAACACACAAAAAGGAGTGTGGATGTACCTTGCTCATGGATCCTTTTTGAGGTTTAGTGGTTATGTTCCTTTTTTTTTAGGAGATGCCCGACAAAACACAGACAAGAGCATGCTGAGTTGTTCCACAGCAGCTAAAGTGAGAGTGAACAGGTGGAAAAAAGGGGCATGTGCTTTAAAACTTTCATCCCAATCAGCTTTTTTTAAGTTAGAGACAGCTTCATTAGGACTGAAAACAGAAGTTTAAGGTAATGTACGTTATGTTCGCTCATGAAGTATTTCAGAGATGTTAATCCTTGCTTTAGCTCCTGCATCTTGTTGCATTAATAACCTCAATTTACCCATGAATCCCTTCAAACTATATTAAAATATGTATATTTTTACATCTAAAGGTACAGTAAAAGATATAGGGCTGTCTTGATCCCGATCTCAACTTTTACACTGAGGTCAATCCGGGCATTTTTAACTGATGGGGGATCAGCAATTCGAGCAAATCATTTACATCTGCTTTCACAAACTGAGCACAATCTGAGCCAAAAAACACACAAACTCATCATGAATCTACGATAATCAACCCTGTGGCTCCGATGTTGGCAGTGTGGAGGCCTTTTTAAAGGGAGAAACAGTCGACCAACCACATGAGAAACACAGGATCTGATCAGTTGGCGAAGAGGAAGCAGTGGACCGACAATTAACATGAAAAGTCTAATTTGCTTTTACACCGGCCTCAACAACACATCTTTCAATACAGCTACTTTATTTTTGTTTGTTTTCAGCATGTCATTGTGCTCTGTGGCTCATATATTTACATATATACATATAAACATATACACACACACACACACACACACACACACACACACATACACACACACATATACATATATACATATATACATATATATATATCTTATAGGGATGGGAGAAAAAATTAATTCACGTGTGTATTGCGATTTTTTGTTTTACAATTGTAAAGTGATTTTTTTAATGTGATATGTAGTTTTGGGGGGAATATGGTTCCTGGAATAGTCAGTAGACAATCATAATCATTCAACTGTTTCACTGAAGTTAAAAATGCAGACGAAAAATCGAAAAAAATCAATAATCTTAGAATCACAATTTCTATCGAATCGGCATCCAAAAAATCGTAGAAGATTCGATTCGGGAGAAAAGCATATCGTCCCAGCCCTAATTTCTTAGACTGCTCATTAAAAAAATTCATTTTCTTGCTAAAATTAAAAAAACTCTTCAAACTGATGCAACGATCTATTTCTTTGGTCAAATGTCAGACAGTAATAATATTTTTTATGAACTTTTCGTAGAACCAAGATCTCGTTAATTCAGACTAACTCTGCTCTGTGGCGACCTTCCTATTATTTCACTAAAACTTTATTTAAAGAGACATTTACTCATAACATTTTCATGACGGATTTTAAGCTAATGTAAGTTACACTCAATTATTGTGCTGATTTAGAGAAGACATAACTTTGTCAATTTCGTCCATAATGAAATGATTTTTATTTCCAAAAACACCAAAGAAAAACACAGACATTCGAGGTAGAAGTGAGAGACTGTGTAGAAACCGATCAACTGGGTTGGGGGCGTGGATTTTCCTTTTTCATCCTAGGGAAAAAATCTTGCCTACGGGATCGTAGGGGGAGAAACATTTATATTCTGTGTCATTAATTTATAAAGTTTGTCCACAGCTCCATAAGGAGGCGGGGTTTATGACCTATACTGCAGCCCGTCACCAGAGGGCGCTGTTCTCAGAGTGGCGGACGGCGGACGGCGTCCGTTCTAGAGACAGTCTCTGATCATAACCAACAGCTTGTTTTTAAATGTCCAAAAAAATCAAGAAATCTTTTGTCATGGAACAAAATCACTTTGTATGTTTCATTCGTCTTTTCTAAAAGGAACAGAGTCGTTAGTTAAACTCTCTTGTCCTAATCTATCTGTGTACAGATCTTTCAAAGATGACGTCCTCGAAATGTATAAAAAAAAAAAAAATTGATTGTGATAAACTAGAGAAGGCCCACAGATTCAGCGGGGACAGTTGCTCAAGTTGCAAAATGATTTACTTATCCAACAAAAACTTTGAGACAGCAAAGAGGACATCACCATTAATCACTCAGGCATTAACATTCAGCATGCAGCTGCAGCCACCGACATCAGGGACGAAAGGGACTGGAGTGGATCTCACTCAAAGATATATAGCTGGGAATAAGTGTTTTCATGCATTTAGGTTGTACAAGTTTGGAGGATCTAATTTATTCTCCTTCAAATCTAAATTCATGTACATACAGCCCATCCGGCAGTTCCTGCATAGAGCTATCGTTCAATGACGGCGACGACAATATCCAGCACAAAAAAAGGCCAAAATGTGACACGAGCTTGGAAGCAAAAACAAAATTTACAGTTAAAATGTCAGCGAGGCTTAAAGGTTACTCTTCATCCTGAAAATGTCTTTTTTTCTAATAACATCAAAATGCCAACATTTGTATGCAGCGGTGTTGATTTCTGAGAGAGCATGCACCGACACGAGTGCGTGTGTGTTTACATCTCTGACCATGAGCTCTGCCTCCCTCTGAGCCTCGTGTCACTTTTAATGTTTGGTGGTGGTTGATCCCTTCATGAGATAAACTCACCAGGCAGAGTCATATTTTGCCCCTTGCTACTCACGCTCACACGCACGCACACACATCTCCAACCCAAACAAATCCCTTGAAATCTGGAAGAGAAACAGACACTCGGTAGCAGCTGCAAAACAGGATGCCCTTGAGAACAGGACACCCCACCCAACATGGCCTGAATAAACATGTCTGTCAGAGGGCAGAGGGGTGGAGCAGAGAGCCGGCAGTGGACGTGCAGAGGTGACAAACAGAAGGGTATACAGAGCCAAGTTAAAGTTCAACATGTCCGAAGTAACTCCCAGCAGCTCTTGTTGTATCGACCAACACTAACATGCAGCAGAAGACCGACCCTGTCGGTGTGACCTTGATAACCTTTGAGACGGGCTCGTCTTTCAGGAGTCCAAGAGACATCGAGGTCACAGACTGTGTTAAATATGGACAGAGCTGATCATGTCAGCCATTGGTTTCTAGAGACACACTCAGTCTGTTTCCATGACACCCGAGAAAACCGAATTATCGCCTTACTCCGATAAAGACCAGATAACTGAAGGTCATGAAAACACCTTAGTCCAACTATAGAACTCCGATTAAGAGACCCAGATAATGCGATTGGAATTCGATTTTCTCTCCCATGTAACCAGTGTAGCCAGAGTATGATCGGACAATGCATGTGCACGTGCAACACGTCCCCGTAACCCCGGAACAAAAACACCAGAGGAGAGGAGTAGCGTATCGTTCAATTAAATTCAGATATAATGCAGATAAATCCTTCAGATCATTACAAATGGGGCCCAGTCAAGGTGAAAGTCAAAAGCATTGGTGCTACTGTAGATGACAACAGACTACCAGCAAACACAATGTTTGCAGGACTTCTACAACGAGGATAAAGTGACATAGTCCAGGACCCGAGGGAGGACAGTTTAGCGATGGCGCTACAACACGCTACAGCAGGTCCGTTTGACAGGAAACACTTCTGTTACAGACACTTGTCTTACTTTGTTAAAGCGGTTTACCTGTCCAGCAGAAAGGTTACAGGGTCACCAAGATCCCCAAGCGTCCCCCATGGTTTATGTTGACCCGGCTTTTTAGCTCTTGTCCGGTCTACCTCCGTTTTAAGCGCCCGTTATTCCTCCAGAGTCTCCGGTATTTACTTTGTTTTCTTGCTTGTGTCGGCAGTCGTGGCCAAAGGAGGATTCAGACAATTTTCCGAACTTTCTGGTTGGTTTCTACTGTCCGATATTGTAGCACGCTAACTTTGTTTGGGCTCCTGAACGACACGGGGGAGCAGCGTCTGCCTCACAACCAATCAGGTTAGAGGAGGTGGAGAACGGCTTTGTTTACAGTCAGAAAGAGCGGACCGCTCAAAAATGTTCAAATGTTGACGACACAGACATAAGAGAACACAGAGATATCCATATATTACCAAATGTCATCAACAACATATAACTATTGACTGATATTAGAAGAGTTTTTGTAAATACACCACAAAATAAAAAAATGCTTCTTTTACAGATTCCTGCCTACAACACCTTTAATTTCACTTTTATCTGTAATTGCTCTGACTAATGTTTGTAATGATGAATCGTAAAACTGAGACTAAAACTTCGATCAGCTGTTAACCCCTAAAAGAAAAGGTTGCACTCAGCTGCAGACACGTGTTGGTTTATTTGTGTGTTGAAGGTGTCGTGCGCTCAGTAAAAAGTGTGAGGAGTGTTCCCGCCTGCCGCAGACATTATTTGAAAAATTGCATAATTTTCCCCGCGAGCTGCGCAGAGTGATATTAATAGCATGAACCGCCGTCCCTGCAGGTTTCGACTATTTATTTGTGTTCAGAAGTTTTAATAAAACATAATTATTAATACATTTGCATGGCTGTAGGCTCTGCTGCTTTGATGCTCCTGACTGCTGAAAAATCACAAGTACAGACTTTAAGAGAGGGGCGGGGGGGGAGCGCTCACAGTGAGCTGAAAGTAGATGGCGCAAGACGTAGCAAAGGATCCAGAGGAGTGCAGGAGGAGACAGAGGAAGCGTGGGCCGGCCCCTGAGACATGTACTGAGTGGATGTGGGATGACAGCACAAGCCCAATTAGTCTTGGATGCCAGGGCCGCTACAGGGAGGTCGGTGCAAGTGATCAAGCCATTCATGCATTCAAGCACTGAGCCGCAGGCGCTCTACGCCAACAGCCGGGGTAAAGTTACTACAGTCTATCACTGCTGCTGCTGGACTCCTGATCGCTCTCCAACTGCTGCCTCTGCTCCCTCCTCCTCCTTCTCCTCCTCCCTTCCTTCCTCCCTTTCTTCCTTCCTTCCTTCCTCCCTTTCTCTTCCCTGAAATGTGCTGCTTCATTTTTCTCCTCTTTTTAGCTGCATCTTGTTTTTTTTTTTTTTAACACTCTCACACTCGCTAACACACTCCCTCTTAAATATATTAACTCTACTTGAAAGTGTGCCCACTCCTTAACCCCGACACTGCCACTCCCTCCCTCCCCGACACCCTCCCACTTGTTTCTCATCCCCAGAGAGCTCGAGTATTACCTCATCCCACTCCGAGGCAAAGGAAGGCATGCGCTCCATGGACGGCTGCCCGGAGCTGCAGTTAGACACAGACCCACTGCGGCCGGCCAGACCTCCTCCATCCTCCTCCCCGGGTGGAGATGCCAACAAGTCAGAGTCCGACTTGGACAAGCTTCGAATCAGCCCCAGGTCTGAAGGTCTGACTTTAGCCGCTGCCACAGCTGCTGCAGAGTCAGCTGAAACTTCACTTTTGTCCTTGCTGTCAGTCTTCTCCGGATCCAGGATCACCTTGGCGTCCGGCGACGTGCTCTCTGCCATTGTCGTAGATCTGACAAGAGCAGCTCAGTCTCCAACAAATAATCAGATTTTCTCGTCAGTCAAGAATGAAATCCTGGAACTTGTTCAACTTCTTGGAGAAGTTGGTCAAACGTTGAAGAAATTCAGGTGGAGGAGACTCGAGGAACTCGACGCTGCAACAGTTTGACTCCAAAACATGGAAAGTTCTCCTGTTTGGAAGGAAAGTGAGTGTGAAAGTGAGAGAGTGAAACAATCACAGAGGTCCACCCACATGTTGTATCCTGTTGCCCTCCCCTCGGTGACTTGCTGCCTCAAAGAGTCCCCCTCCTCTAAGCTCTCACTTCCTATGGACTATCCCGTCCGTCATACACTTTTCTGTTTATTAACTTTTAAGAGTCAAATTTAAAAACTGACATTTTTTAAAAATATGTGATTTGTACAACAGTACATGGTTTAAATCATTTAAGACAAGTGAGAGGGTGTTTAAACTCTTGGTACTGAAATAAATCCTGATTTTATGACCTGCAGTGGCACAAGGTCCCCGAGCAGGAAGATGGATTATTTGTCCCCCCTGCCATGGAGTCGGTATTGAATAAGGTTATTAACTATTGAATCTTTTCACACCGAGATCCAGAGTGAGTTAGATCAGAGCAGAACGAGACGGTCAGGAAACTCTTGGACACACAGAACATGTAAAATCAGATGTTAATTAAGTTTTCTTTAAAAAAATCCAAAACAAAGACGTAAAAGTCCGTCTATAAGGAAGATAATCAAAGTTAAAAATCAGGATGCTGCAGTAAAACTAGGACTAAAGCTGCTGTATTTGCATTATATTGCACATTATGTTGTGGCTGATAGTCTTATATCTGTGTGTATCTCAGTTGTCCGCATCATGCAGCTTGTTGCCATGGAGCTTTCAGATGTTGCTCGCCACATATGCAGGTGCGACCAGGAGAAAAGCCCTGAACTTGGGGATCTTTCTCGTAGCCCTGCTTTCACTCAGCTGATCAAAATTTCTAACTTGCCCAAATTTCATCCCATCGATCAGGACGGCTGATCGGACACTCGAATATTCCTGCACACTTTACTGAAAATAGGGTCTGTAACCTCTCAGTTCAAGACATCTTCCTGGGGTGTGTTAGAAACAGTCGCGTATGAAAGTATCTCTGAGATTAATGCGGCCTGTGACGTAACCCATAGCAACAGAAATGTAAAAGAGACAGCAGCGTGACGAGGGAAAGGAACACACCTGACTCACCTGTCAATGCTGTGTGTGTGTATATATATAAAGTATATAAATATACATATATATTTAAAGTGGTTTCCACAGCTGATTCAACAGACCTCACAAAGATGGAAGCTACCATCTTGATTTTTTTTACCCTATGCTGAAGTGGCGCTCCTGTGACATCATCTTAAATACAGGATTATGATTGGTCACTTTCAGATCCACATGCCAGTGAAAATGAAAATGAACTGACTGACGGGTTAGCTACTTACTGGGCGGAGCTTCAGGACAACTTCATGAGCAATGGAAGAAATGGGATTTTCACACTTTGTCCACAGGGGTCGCCAAAAGCAGCCGAACATGAAACCTCCTGAGGAGTTGAATAATCTCGTTATCTGACACAGTTTTTATTCACTTTTACTCTCTTAAAATCTCTAACTTGAAAACTCCTGTTAGGGCGCCCCCTGTGGACAAACAGGGCTGTTTAGTCTTTAGCTGCTTGGCTGATACCTGACACCTAAACTACTAGACGTTAAAATTCACAAATTGAACACTGTCAGTCTTGTTGCTGATAGTCTTGTTTGTTTGAGTAAACCATAGAAAGGCATCAGTATTAATTTTGGTCCATTTCATAGATGTAAAAAAATCTTTGGAGGAGCTTTAAACAACATGCTCATGTACAACTTTATATCTACATATGAATTTTTGCTCTAAATGACCGACATGCATCATTACCACGACGACAGTGCTGGTTAAGGCTGGTATAGGTCTGCTTTTGTCAAGGCATGAAGCTAATATGATCAAACGATTATTGAGACACATTATTCCCAGAAGAGTCTAAAGTCAGAAACTTCTTTTTTTTTTCTAAAATAGAAATTCAATTTTAAATGAACAAACAAAAGAACATGACTTCTTCACTTAAATGTTTGACTTTTTCTTCTGTTCATTTCTTCATCAGGTTTAACAAACATAAAAACATATGGTTCAACATATGACAAGAATTTAATGATAATCTTCCAAACTATCTTAGCGTCTTCACACAGAGGTTCAGGCTGTTCACATTCACACGCTCAGATACTTTCATATCTACAGTAGATTAAAGGTAAAGACAAATATCTGCTGGTTTAGAAGTTTTAACTCCAATAGTGAAGTAAGTATTTATTGTTTTTAATCTTCTTACCTGCTGACTTGTTTCCTCGGTGCAGCTTCTCGTGTTCTCGTGTCTCTCCTGTCCTGGTCTTGTTCAGACTCCTCAGGAGGACCGGCTCTGTCTCAATCTGAGGACCGGTGGACGGGAGGATCCCGGAGCCCCGTCTGATTCAGACTGACAGCTGGGCTAATCAGGTTACTAACGCACTGGGTGGCTGCTCCGTTCTAAAGGAGGGGGAGTCGGGGTTCCTTCTTTCTGTGTGTGTGTGTGTGTGTGTGTGTGTGTGTGTAGGAGACACAGGTCACTGAGTCTGGTTTTGTTCCTGTTGGTCAGACACAGCGTAAAAAAGTTCAACCTCACCTCTACATGTGAGCCGAGTAAATTATTTTTGTGTTTTCTGAAATTTAATTTTGTTTTTGGGAAAGTTTTTGTCTTTTTTTAAGTATAAAAAGAGTGTTTTTGTTTTTGTTTAATTGTGTTTTAATGATTATTGTTTCACTTTGTACTTTATCTTTAATATTATGAAATCCATCGCCACAGTAGGAAGCGTAATCGTGTTCTCTGAAACGTCATGATTCGTGAGGTTTGTCTGTGTCCTGGAGTCTGATGTTTTTGTAATTTTGGAAATGTCTGGTTTGGTTTCCAGGGGCCCCTTTAAGAGAAGTTGAGATAGTATCAGGGACCGTGACTGATAGGGGCCCCGAGGTCGTTAGAAAACTCGGGGTAGTGATGTGGTGGGGGCTCAGTGTTATGTTTTTATGGGTGTGGGAATCTTCCATGTGGCCGTGTTTGTATATGAAGAGTTTTCTTTTCTTTTTGACTTTTGACCTTCAGGGCCACCGTAGTCCTTCTGCTATCTCGCTTTTCCAAACCCGATCTTCACCCTGAGGCCCAAACTCTGAACCCCCGTGAGCTTTAATAACTTCAGGCATGTGATGTGTGAGTCTGTGAAGGTCTGCATCACACACTCAATGATGGGACAGCATTATAAACGAGGACAGTTACAGTGTATTGATTATAATATTGATTATAAATGTATATATATATTGGTTACAGCTGTCCTTTTAAAAAAGTGATATCTATCTATCTATCTATCTATCTATCTATCCATCCATGTCTCCTTGTCTTATTGTCTGACCTTAACATCAACCGGTAATTTATTGACGGTCCCTTATTCAACACCGACGTTGACAGTGAGGGTGTCGAGTAGATTTAACCGCGCTGCTGTTGTTATTCCCGGTTATGGAGAGTGAGAAGACACCGGTAGATCCTCAGAGAATGTCCGTCAGATATCCAACCTGAAACTAACTTCACCGAAGTATTTACAGGAAAATATATCCAACCTGAAACTAACTTCACCGCCGTATTTACAGAAAAATATATCCAACCTAAAACTAACTTCACCGCCGTATTTACAGGAAAATATATCCAACCTAAAACTAACTTCACCGCCGTATTTACAGGAAAATATATCCAACCTGAAACTAACTTCACCGCCGTATTTACAGGAAAATATATCCAACCTGAAACTAACTTCACCGCCATATTTACAGGAAAATATATCCAACCTGAAACTAACTTCACCGCAGTATTTACAGGAAAATATATCCAACCTGAAACTAACTTCACCGCCATATTTACAGGAAAATATATCCAACCTGAAACTAACTTCACCGCCGTATTTACAGGAAAATATATCCAACCTGAAACTAACTTCACCGCCGTATTTACATCAAGTGAATTGGACACATTGTCAAGCCCTGCTATCTATCTATCTATCTACAGTATCTATCTATCTATCTATCTATCTATAATTATTGCCTTTTAAAAATACCTACATGTAGATATTTCACGCCGCTCTTAGATTCCAGCTCAAAGTGTTGGCACTTCACTTTGTAAATTAAACACTCATCGCTGGTCTGCATTGATTTTCTTCTCATTATCTCCTATAATAGAAGGAATTATCAAACTGATTCAATCACAGCACTGTTAACGCCTTAAAGTGTTTTTATATTGTGTTCTTTGACTCGACAGCACAATGAAAACGTGAACTCCTGGGATCTGCAGAGGTGAAAGAATGGATGAAGAACGTAAACACGGATGAAAGAGAGGAGTGTGGAAAACAGCTCTCACACTCGGAGCTTTTCATGAGACTTTTCAAAGGGATTTGGAGCTGACAAAAGGATCTCCTGTGAGACGGCCTCATCATTCACGGCGCTCCTCTGTGCCCCATGCCCTCAATCAGCCAAGTTCCTCGCATGCTCACCTCTTCCCTGTGGGCAGCGCTGGTATGTGCATGACAGAAGAGATAACATCCTTCTCCAGCAGAGGAGGGTTCACACAGTCACACACTGCTTAGCCGGCAATAACAAAAGCCACATCTAATGAAGCTTGCTGAATCGCACGTCTAATGATCTCCATGACTGTGATGAGGATGAAACGCTTATCCGCGTCCTCTCTGCCATTTTGAACAATAGAGACTCTGGAATACAACATGTTTCAAGATAATGATGTCTTCACGGCATATTAGAGCGACGAAAATAAAACATGCATCCGCTCCCTCAGCTGGCTGGCTGCTGCGCCTCGGGCTAAAGACGGTGGTGACTCATGAACCCCTTCTCCAACAAAGACATGCACACTGAGCGAGTCACAGAGAGACAGCAGCACGTACTGTAAACACACACTGGAGTGCCATGTTTTCATCTGCTCCGTGTTTTTGTCTGACGGTTGTTTGCCTCTAAATTGTTTGTGCTCCCTGACACGCGGATGTGTTTTCAGGATTCTTCCTTCCACCTGTTTTATGCGTCCCCAGGCCTGTAATTGACATTTTTAATAACACAACGCTGAAGTTCTGAAACCGCTTTTTTCTTACGACTCTAGACTATAAATCACAATTCCTCTCTGCAATTTGGTGCCCTGCAGCTCCCACATGATCAGACAGCATAGCGGAGACGAAGAATGAGGCCACTGGGTAGAGATCGAATAAACTTAATCAACCTGGGAAGCCATTACCTTCAGGTACAGACTGTTTGGCTTCAAAACAAATCTGAAAATGGGCAACAAAACTCCAAAGCAGCCTCCGACAAACAGCATAAATGAGCCTGATTATAAAACCCTGAATCCACAGGAGCTCAGCGGCATTTCTAAATGATAATAAAAACTGATTTGGATGTTTTGTAAATCATTTGAACCCGTGTTTACTTACAAATATGCAAGAACAGCAAATTAAATGCTTGTGAATTATATATGTTTGTTTAGATAAGGGAATGTTTATCATTGAGTTACATCACTTCCTCAAGGCGAGGCCGAATTTTGGAGTTTGGAAAGTGAAACTTTGACCCAGTTTTGTAAAGTTTAGACTTTTAGTTAGTTTGGGGTCTAAATTACAGTTTTTTCATTTTTTAATTGATCAAATTTTTTCACAGAGTAACAAGTTGGCACCACAGGTAGGTCAGTTTAACACCTGGACTCTTCTACTACTGAGCCATGCTGTTGTCATTCATGAAAATTGGAGTTTGGATACTTTAAATTATGCAGGATCTTCCCAGAGAAAGTATTGGATGTGGATGTCAGAACATTTTGCTCCAAAACCTGTTTATGTTGTTCAGCATTAACGGTGCTGACGGATTGTAAGCTGTGGATTCAGGCCCTTATCATGTTTGTATATAGTTTGGAGCTCATGCGGTGAATTCCACTACAGAGTCATGTATGTTTTTCAATGCCTTACTGCCCGGGGAGCCAAAGATCATGGTTATCTACAGCTGGCCTCGACACTTTCACTGTAACTTCTCCAGTTTTTAAAAATCTTTCAAGTTCAGTTTTAACTGCAGACGATAAAATTCGTCAAATTTTTTTCAACTTTATGTCCAGGAAGTTTATTCTGGGATTGTTGACTTATGTCCTCATGCAGTGGTGAACCTTCAGAGACACTGACCTCCAACTTCCACCTTCATCCTGATCGTCTCCTAAAAGGTCATATCCTCCAATCGTAGCTGATCGTAACCATTCAAGTTAACGTGTCAATTTACACCGACTTCTTTCCGTTCCTCTGTGGATCGCCGGACTCCTCAGCTGATCACAAGAGTTCTATTTTTTCTGGACGCCGGAGCATGGCGGATAAATTCAGCACAGATTAACCCGTGCTGGAAAGGAAGTCGGACACAGACTTCAAAATAAAACATCCGGCTTCTTTTCAAAATAAAACACAACCTTTCATTTGTTCAGACGGAGACGAACAAGTGAAAGGTTTTTAGACGTCATTTCACCCCGATGACACCATGGATGAGGAGATGCTGATTCTAGAAGTCTAGAAGTAGATTTCCTCCTCTGGAAGGACACAATCTACTGCTTATATGGTTAGCCTCTGTGGCTAAAGACAACTATTATCACAAGATTGCACGTGAATCTGCGGGTTCTTGTGAGTTCTTGTGATTCCTGCTGTCCGTTATCGGCCACAAAATCCGCCTCACAAACAGATCGGGTAGGAATTGGCAAAAATCGCCACCTAACGGATCGGAGCCAGATGCGGTGAAAATCCCGGGTGAGCCTCTCTGAAATGTCTTTTATTAACAGTCATGATACTGACGGTTGCAGATTAACATAGTTAGTTGGGAAGAGTCTAAGAGTTTCTTTTAGCATCTTTTTTAAAATAGGTTGTTGACATTAAATTAAAAAAGAGCACATTATATTTTTTATTAAACATTTTTATTTATCAGTTTCAATGTTTGACATGTTCTCAATAAATGATTTCCAAATAATCAAATTCCCCTATTTTTGCCTCTTTATGAAACTGAAGTTGTTCGTCCTCCTGATTGTCTGGGAATCTTCAGACCTACATGTCACATACGCTCGTCTCTGTGAAAGCCCCATAGTGTCTTGTTTTGCTTCCCTCCGTGGAGACTCTGAGAGGACGTTAACCCCAGAGTCACAGACAAGAATGCTCTGATGCTAACCTTTAAGGTCATCTGTTCCCCGAGGCGGCGGGGATGCCATTCAGACAGGCTTTCATTTTCACAGCCGCAAAATGTGGGAAATTGTTGTTTTCTTTTTTTTTTCTGTGAATAAGGAGAAAAACCCCGACTAAAATTATCTAGTAGACCCATTTATGCTGCAAAATGGGTCAGCTAAAGGCCAAGCCCATATTCAGTGTACAGATTTTGAAATAACCTCATAACAAATTCATTACAGCGGCAGTAGAAGCTGTTATTCCTCCATTATTTTAGAGCCTCCCTGTCCAGGTGTCTCGCTATAAAAAGACTTTCTTCAAATATTACCTCAGTGCAAAAAAGACACTTCAAAGTCAGGGGATGAAATAAATCACTTCAATGGACTCAACAGCTAAACTACCTGCTGTTAGCTCCGAACAGCTAAAGACGCGGCTCCTGTGAAAGCTTTCCAACAGACACGAGCCGAGCTGACCCCTCAGCGGGGAAACGGGAGGGCGGGCGGGCGGGAGGGTGAGCACGGCTGAGCGAAGACGTGATGTTGGATATCCATCAGTGTTGGAGAGGTGGAGCGAGGCGGTGAGACTGGAGGGTGGAGATATGATCTTCTCTCAGCGTCTAACCCGGTTTGGCTGGTAATCTCGCTGAGTTGCTCTGTGAATTTCCTCAAATACACTTTTATCAACGTTATCAGGAACACGTGTAGGTTACAGGAAAATCGACTGGAGGGCCCCCGAAGCAAAAAGATCTGACAGCTCAAAGATCTGCGTGGAGCGTGAAACTGACATTTTAGTCGTGTTTCTGAGCATGGCTCCATGGACGGCTTTAACATGAAATCTCAACATGATCTAAACGGATGTAACACACGAGTGGACAAGATTTACCGACAGGTAGGAAAAAGATGGACGGAAGAAAAACACTATTTTTGTTTTCAAAATATAAATAAGACTGTTATTCCATGATAGCAGACCGTTGCTAGGCAGGATAAACTGTTGCTAGGGGTGTGGCTCTAATGATTGATGCAAATGTTTCAAATGAGGACATAAGATGGGATATAAAGGTGCTGAGGGTCTTATTTAATATTATTTTAAGCTTTTTAAACTTTTTCTTCTCAACATTTTTGTCAAAAAAATTTCTATCATTAACTTCATTTAAGTGTTTTAGCGTTAAACTCTGTAGTTTTATGAGAAGATCGACCTTTATGAAGCTTTTACTGTTGTTTTTATTTCTTAAATTTCATTTGATGTTACTTAGTTTTTAGATTTTAAACCTCCAGTGTTTCCTTATCTTGATTTTTAAAATGGCGTTTCCTCGGCGCACACATTCCTGTTTCTATGAAACCGAGACCTTTTTAAATGAATGTATTTAAAAAATACACGTCTCTGTTGTGCTTATATCATGGGGTGAGAATGAGGAGTTGGGTTAGATTCAGGTATTCTTCATTCTTTTATTCTTCATTGATTGATTGATTGATTGATTGATTGATTGATTGATTGATTGATTGATTGATTTGATTGATTGATTGATTGATTTGAGCAAGGTTTTGAATGCAGTTGCTAAATTCCTCACAGATTGAGCCTCAGGAGGACCTGCAGCCTCTCAGATTTAATCCTCATTCTCCAAGCACTGATCTGAAGGAGCCAGGATGCGATGATATTCTGATTGGCTGATATGGTCTGAGAAGATGCAGAGGTGGAAAAACACCAAAAACAAACTTGGCGAGCCCTCGGGAAGAACCTCTGATCCTGAACAGGAGGAGTCGACTGTCAAAGAGCTCTAAGTGTTATAACAGCAGGTCTGTGGGTGGTACATTAAAACTAAAGGATTGTTCTGACCTTTCATATGGGCTCCTGTTATTGAAGAAGTTTACCATAAAGTGCTTATTATCACCATGTTGTCGGTTAAAAAGAAGAAAAAAAAACAATCTGAATCACTTTGTCGAAGCGACGTTTTTCCAGTGAGTGGGCTGGAAGAACAACGACGAGGCTTTTACACCGAGGAGCTGGAGGATGACTAAAGTTATAACCTATAGGCAAGGCAGATGTGATTATCCTTACATGTGACCTTTAAAGAACCGATAAACGCAGAAGAAAATGTCACAAACTCTCACGGCATCTTGATGTGAATCTCTGAAAATCACATGGTTTGGTCCGTCCATTCATCTGTCCATTATCTTTACCCTTTGTTAGCATGAGGGCTGCAGGGTCCAGAGCGGAGCGGTCTCCTGACACCCATGATCAATGTCAACAACACTGGGTTTAGACCTCCACATACGTGTTCAGAGTTCCTTTAAACACTCTCTGCATCAACTTTTTACATCCAAACCAGCTTCAGATTAACTAATCTAGGCAACATAAGTGTGAGGAGAAGGTGGCTGCTGTTTTAACATTAAAAAGGTTATTATTGACCAACTCCACCTCTGCAAAGTCTCACCAACTTGAGCTGTTCAGGACTCTAAAACACCAGATTGTCGATTAGGTTTGCTACATGAAACCAGATCTAAACTTTTACTTTTGACATTCATTCATCGGCCGTCTTGTCTTTTTTTTATTTTAAACGTGTTTGTGGTGTATAAACAAAAAAGCTTCTAATATCAGTCAATAGTTATTAGTTATTGATGACATTTGGTAATATATCGATATCTCTGTGTTCTCTTCTGTCTGTGTCGTCAACATTTGAACATTTTTGAGCGGTCCGCTCTTTCTGACTGTAAACAAAGCCGTTCTCCACCTCCTCTAACCTGATTGGTTGTGAGGCAGACGCTGCTCCCCCGTGTCGTTCAGGAGCCCAAACAAAGTTAGCGTGCTACAATATCGGACAGTAGAAACCAACCAGAAAGTTCGGAAAATTGTCCGAATCCTCCTTTGGCCACGACTGCCGACACAAGCAAGAAAACAAAGTAAATACCGGAGACTCTGGAGGAATAACGGGCGCTTAAAACAGAGGTAGACCGGACAAGAGCTAAAAAGCCGGGTCAACATAAACGATGGGGGACGCTTGGGGATCTTGGTGACCCTGTAACCTTTCTGCTGGACAGGTAAACCTCTTTAACAAAGTAAGACAAGTGTCTGTAACAGAAGTGTTTCTTGTCAAACGGACCTGCTGTAGCGTGTTGTAGCGCCATCGCTAAACTGTCCTCCCTCGGGTCCTGGACTATGTCACTTTATCCTCGTTGTAGAAGTCCTGCAAACATTGTGTTTGCTGGTAGTCTGTTGGCATCTACAGTAGCACCAATGCTTTTGACTTTCACCTTGACTGGGCCCCATTTGTAATGATCTGAAGTATTTATCTGCATTATATCTGAATTTAATCGGAACGATACGAGCGAGCAGGAGCGTCTGTTTGTGGGCGGGGCTTAAGAGGAGGAGCTGAGGGGAGAACTGGTTGTGAGGGGTAGAGTTTACATTCAAGATTTCTCCTAAAAACTGAAACTAACTCAGATCCTGACTACAACACCTTTAACCTCACCGAGAAAGTGGTTAAAGAGTAGACCAGTAGCAGTTTGGTGAGTCTGCGGCACAAACGCCGCTCGGGTGGTCGAGTCATGGTCGACTCTCACACGAGCACAAACAGATGGCTTCTGCTCTCTTGGCTGGAATAAGTACACGGCTCAGGGGCAAAAGAGCTCCTTGCAGAAAGGCCTGAAGGCAAACTTTGAAACTAGGAGTACCAGCCAATCACAGCACAGTCGTACCAGCCAATCACAGCACAGTCGTACCAGCCAATCACGTCATAAGAGGCGGGATTAGGCAGAAAACAATAACACAGCTTAAAGCTCTGATTTGTCCAAACACAGCCTCACAGACGACTTCTTTGCACGCTGAGACTTTTGAACCTTGACTGTTTGATTTCCCTTTCCAAGAAAAATCCAAAGAAACGCTGGAAGAGTCGCTGGTGGCTGCAGATGACTTTGAACAAAACACATTGTTGTGGCGTTGCACAACAGAGAGTAATCAATCCAGAGCTGTCACCGTGAATCCTCACCTTCACAAACTGGTTTCCAGTGATGCTGCTGCTGCTGCCGCTGGTTGTTTTCCAAAAGGAAGATATTTCGTGTCTGGTGTGACAAGAGTTTGCTGATTCTTTTTTTGTCCTGCTGTGGAGCATCGTGTGCCACAACAAGTGCTGCAGGCCACATCAGGATGGAGATAAATTTAACAGATAGATACAGCATGCTGCAAAGATAGGAATCAGAGCGCGGCGTGAAATCCAAGTGTCCCGCTTCATCTGTATGCAGGCGAAGATGATGGCATGATATGCAGCGTGCTCACCTGCAGAGAATCCATGTATGCATGCACGTGTGTTTCATGTGCGCACGTTTGTGTGTGTGTGTCTGTATGTATGCATGGGAGAGTAAATGTTTGTGTTTTAGCCAGAGGCACGCAGAGCAGAGCTTCCTGTGTGGGGTTGATGCTCTCTGTGCTGCTCTCAGTGAAAACAATGGGCACCGCTCCATGCTTCTGAATTTCTCATCAGGGGAGGTGGATGATGACAATAGCTGCTGACAGATTCAACACACTCTCTGTTTTATTCCAGTTGGCACAGGGTAGAAGAAGAAACGCTCAAATATTACTATTCAATACAGCAGCTGTCAATACTCAAAGGTACGCGGGGAGAAAATGAAAATGTAAAATATTTAAATAAAAGATTATGAAGGACAAGGAGGCAAAGATGTACAGATCCACGCAGCAGCAGAGCGAGGATGATAAAGACGGTAAGTGATCACACATGAAACCTCCAATCTCAAGGCTCCGGCCTCTTAATTAATCCACCGATAACGCTGACAGTTCACAGAAGGGTCACATTCAACGTAAAATCACCATAATAGCTGCCCTTGGCAAACTCCATATCCACAGAGTGCAGCAGATGTATGCCTTAACTATACTAATGATATTGGCAGTCATGAATCAATCAGACATGCTCAATATATTCTGCTGAGAGTCGAGAAATCCATTCTCAGGGACGTGACGCCGTAGGACAGCGCGCTGCCATTATAAGACGGCTCACGCAGCGTTTTAAGATCGGGTTAAGAACACACGACGAGAATAAAGATGTTAAAGAAGATGATACTCCAGGAAAAATCCATTTATCGGTGAAGGATGGGAGCCGTGCGCTTCCATCATGGAGCCGGTGAGCGAGTGACAACCGCAGTACCTCAACCGACCACCAGAGGGGGGCTTCAAAAACAACATGTCCCATTTTAAACTGGGCAGCTGAATTAACATGTTTACAGGTGTTGTACAGAATAAACTGTTTTCACTTTAATTTTGGTTTACTGTGTGAAATGTTGCTGCGGTTTTTGCTCGAGAGGAGACTTTCTAACATTTGTCAGGGGGAAGGATTTAAAAAAAGAGTTTTAGGGTACAGATGGACCCTCTGCACATCAGGAATTTTACTCTCCATCCATCACTTGTCTTAAAATGTTGATTTTTTTCAGTCAAACCAACCTCTTAAAGGTTTATTTGTGTAACAGTGCACTGTGGTTTCTTTGGATTCACAAGGAAGAAGAAAAAATGGTTCTGCTGAGGCGCTCCTGCTGGCCTTGCTGTTCAAGTACCCAGAGGCTGTGGTTCAAGTTAACGGATCAGGTTCGATTACAGCCTGCTGCTCTTTTTTTGGTATGTCATCCGCTGTTTTTTCACAGCCTTGTCCTCTCACCACCTCCACAAAAAAACTTAAACTCATGCAGCGAGATAGGTCTCAGGAGCTGAATTTACATGGGCACAAATAATCTGATCCAATTTGGCTCAATCTGAAATAAATTGTCTTCCGATCGAGAGGGGTGGTTTATGCCGATCTCTATTCTGAAATGCGTCCATGTAAACACTTATTCTGATCAATTATTTATCGAGGTCAGTACGGGAGGTTTCATTATTAACTCTCTACAGGAGCCGTGTCTGCTCCTCCGATAACATGACGAGGCGTAAAAACAGCGTAATGATGTCACATCTGCACGCACTGTACAACCTTTGACAGAACAGTAAGATAAGTACACAAGGGCGCCATCTAGTGACAACATTTAACAGAGGGGAAAACTCCTGAATAGGATGAAGTGAGACACTACAGCGTTTGATGGTTTGTTGACATCACAGGCGGAAATACAACTCTTTTTTAAAATCAGACAACTCTGCACATGTCCAAACGTCTCTAATCTGAATTAAACTCGGTGCATGAATACGTCATGATCGGATTATTGGAGTTTCGGATTAGGAAATTTCGCACATGTAAACGTTGATAATGTATCATCAGGCCTTATGAAGGGAAGAGTCCTCGAGCCTCTAGAAGCATCATTCTCAGATCATTCTGAGTACAGTGAACTGGTCAGACTGGTGTGTAGCTGGGCAAACAGCTGTGGGAGTTTATAAGGGGGCTCACAGCCACCCCGTAGACCCGCCCCTGCAGTGCTAACACAGCAGTGTCAAACATCCATTTTTCATTGTCTGTGTTTTGTGCTTACTCGGTACAAAAGACAACATGTCCTCCGTCTAAAACCGTTCATTGTGTTCAAACTCTTCCTGCTTTGTGACTCGTTCATGTTCAAAATTTCATTTCAAAGCCTAAATCTGCTCTCATCTTCGGATACGCAGAGCTCAGCCAAAGGCTTTCAGACTTTTTGACTTTTGAACATCAAAGTACTTTAGAGTGCAAGAGTCTTTTTTTCCTCCATCCTTAAAAATAGACCCTGACCTTGGCTCTATATCGAGCACATTTTTAGAAGCAATTCGACTTGTTGCTGGAGTAAAAAGCAAAGCAGCACTCTGGTATTCAGCTCCATCTTGACTAAGTAACACACAGATTTACACGCTGACGTCACAGCTGATCTTTACTCTCACCTGAACCCACCTGGTCAGCCTTTTATTACAAATGGGAACTGTTCTAGCGGTTTTGTGCAGCTAAAAAAAAAGGTAAACCGCTCTTTCGCTTCAGTCGAGGTCGGCTGTAAAAGCAGAGGTGAAAATGAAGAACTCCTCAGGGGAGCAGGACTCTCCTAATGTTGGTAAAAAGTCTGTTAATTCTCACAAAGTGAAGACAAGTGTGCCTGGAAATGGTTTGAGTTTCGTCTAAAGAGCTTTTTTATTTGCTGACTTGCTCAAATCTTCGTCGAAATAAAGAAGTAAGCAAAGAAGGAACAATACGCAGCAGCTGGAAGCTCTCTCTCTCTCTCTCTCTCTCTCTCTCTCTCTAAGGCGTATAGTTGGGAAAAGATGGATTTGCTCATTTCTTTCAAGAGCTACGTCCTTGTATTAAACATGCATGAATGAGATGGTAAAAGATGATGGGTTTTCAATGCCACCACGGGCGCACACTGACTGACAGGAGAGAAGAAGTGAATTTTCTGCAGAGGAGATAAGCAGCGAGATACTTGACGACGAAGACAGCTTCCTGATAGAAACAATTTGGTATACTTGAGGCAGTTTTGTTCGCCTCTGAGGCTGGAAAAGAAGTGATTTGTAAAAGTTCTCCCCTCTGTTTGCAGGTAATCTTCCACCATCGCTGCAGATAAAACTGCAGATTTGGCACCTTTATCCTGGATTCATCATGTCCTGTGTTCTTGTACAAGTGAAAAAAGAGCTGAACTGAAGGGTTTTTAGGTTGTTGATGCTGCTGCTGCTGCTGATGATGATGATGATGAGGAGGAGGAGAGGAAAAGGCTCATCCATGTTTCTTTAATGCCTGTGCAGCACATGTCCACGACCTTCATTTTCAGCCTTTTTAACCAATAATTAAACTTAACCTTAAACTGCTCTGTGAAAATATCCAGAGGGAGAAAATGAGGAAACAAACGGAGAACACAGCAGAGCAAACCAAACACACACTCAGCACTGAGAGGACAGGAAGGTGGTTTCCCTCTGCGCTGACAACAATAAACTTTACATCTCTGATCATGATGCTAACCTTTACGACATCTCTGGAGTTTCCTGTAGTTCGTTTTTCTAAACTACCAGCCGAGGCGTCTTTCTGTGGACTGAAGGAGAAACTGTGATGGTGACCTGGAAACAGATATGAAATTAAGCCTCTAAATACGTTTACAAAATTATAACAACTGTTTGTTCGTAGTTTATTTCTCAGAAGGAGTAACTTATCATCTGTGTGGTGAGTCTCAGTTTTACTGTAAATAAAAAGCTTCATTGTAGGTTTTTTATGATTAATTTACATTCTTAATTTACATTTCTGATTTCTTTCTTTCTTAATTTTTTTCTTTTTTCCTACCTTTCTTTCTTTTCTTTCTTACTTTCTTTCTCTTATTTTCTCTTTTTCTTACTTTCTATTGTTGTTTTTCTTTTTTTCCTCTGTTACATTTTCTTTCTTTCTATTGTTGTTTTCGTTGGTTTCAGTTTCATTTTATTGTTTTTTTCTGTCATCTTTTCTTCCTTTCTTTCCTTTCTTTCTTTTTTCTGTCTCTTTCTCTTAATTATTTTCTCTTTTTCTTACTTTCTATTGTTTTTCTTTCATTCTTTTCTTCTTTCTATCCTGCTTTTATTTTTCTTTCACTTTTTCTATTTGTCTGTTAATTTCTTTTCTTTCTTTCTCTTAATTTTTTCTCTTTTTCTTACTTTTTATTCTTTCTTTCTCTCTTTTTCCTTCTTTATTTCACAGCACCAGGCAGATTTGTGGCTCCTTCAGGACGTCCCACACTGTAAAGCGGATCTCTGTTTGTGGAGACTCTCATGTGGTTCTCCGTTTGGGGAGTTTGCATGTTTTAATGTTGGAGTTGTGTGTCCCGCCTGATTTTGCTCTCCATATTTCCTGTTTTTTGCTGCGGTCTATAAAAGCTAAAGCCCGCTGATAATCAGTCGATACCTCACAGACTCGTGTTGTTCAAAGGTTCAGTCCTACATGTGAAGCTTCTATACTGTAGATAGGATCTGAACACGGAGCTTAAATGTCTTTTAGTATTTTCTGAAATGATTCGGTTTAATGTCACTCTGTCACCTTTTCTGACAGGTGTAGTTAGCTTTCTGCTTATTGGCTTTAAAATGATCGAACAGATGATTGGGGGTCTCAGAAACTAAAGCTGATTAGAGTGGTCTTTAATTTCCTGATATAATGTAAACACGGCCACAGTCATACATGTAAACTCTGAGAGTATAAACCTGAGTGTGTGTTCGGCTGCACTGGAAACTAAACAAATCTAGGTCAGGGCAGAAGTTCAACAAATCAAGCCAGTCATGTAAGTAAAAAAAAACCACATGGTGCTGTGAACATGAACATGAACACAGGAGCAGAATAAAGTTCAGACTGTATGAAATAGATTTTCTTCAACAAAGTGATAATAAATGCAGAAAATAAGGACATCAGCCGGACAAGTGAGGCTCTCAGGAGACCTTTCTAACCGCTGCCTTCTGCATGTACCGATGAGAACCATATGTCTGAGGTGAGGAGGGCGCTGATAAAAAATTCAAGTCCTTTAGTTTGAAGTTAGGTTGTATGAAAAATTCATCACGTCTCGCGGTTCTAAATTTAGACTTTCAGGATTTTAGGAGGAAAAAAAAAGAAACAAGAAAAAAGAAAACTTGTCACCTTATGTGTTCTTGAAGTTTGTTGATTTTTTAATCCTCTACAGCTTCATAAGAAGACATTTACTGTCAGAGTGGTTCATGACGCCTGAGGCGGGTGGTTTTAATCTTACTTGGTAAACAATCAATCACAATAACAATAGTTTTTTTTGTTTTTAATCCGTCTGAAACCGCGGGCTTCCATCCTGCTGTTATTTTTACGTGAAACATCTGATCTTAAACTATGGTGGTTCTGTTGCAGCGTGAACATACGTGATACCTCAGCAGAGAATCGACGACTTTGATAAAAGCCACTACGGATTGAAATAGGGAACAACAAAGCTGTCAATGTGTTAACGCGCAAATTGCAATATGACTAACAATCCCAAATTGACTTTTTTCCTTTTCATTTTTGGGTGCTATTTTGTCCCTTTTGGCACACCGTAGTCAATCTGCTGTAGCATCTTTCTACATTCAGCTGTGAACATAACACCACGGTGCTTCTGAACGGCACCTTTCACTTTAAACTCTGAAATCACAGACAGTGTAAATGAGCGGTCCAAAGTGATAGACACTCGGTGTCGAATGGTAATAACGCAGGACTTGACGTTAACTTTGTTCACATGTTCTCCTGAGTTAAAAAACTAAGGAGCACAAAGAACTTTAGAGGCTTGATGAAAACTGATCAAATAATGTTTGTCTGATTGTCCGACCTTAGCACTATTATTTAAAATCTATTTTAGGTCTTTTGGTCACATGACATGGAAGCCATTGAAGGAAAACAGCCAGGTAATTTATTGACGGTCCCTTATTCAACACCGACGTTGACAGTGAGGGTGTCGAGTAGATTTAACCGCGCTGCTGTTGTTATTCCCGGTTATGGAGAGAGAGAAGACACCGGTAGATCCTCAGAGAATGTCCGTCAGATATCCAACCCAAAACTAACTTCACCGCCGTATTTACAGGAAAATATATCCAACCTAAAACTAACTTCACCGCCGTATTTACAGGAAAATATATCCAACCTAAAACTAACTTCACCGCCGTATTTACAGGAAAATATATCCAACCTAAAACTAACTTCACCGCCGTATTTACAGGAAAATATATCCAACCTAAAACTAACTTCACCGCCATATTTACAGGAAAATATAGCCAACCTAAAACTAACTTCACCGCCATATTTACAGGAAAATATATCCAACCTAAAACTAACTTCACCGCCGTATTTACAGGAAAATAAAACATTTGTTGATTTTTTAAATTCTATTTTTAGTCATAAATGTGGGTGAAACGGTCGCACTGTTGAGCCTTGTAATGTCACCAAAGCTCCACCTACGAGCTGTGCATGCAGGTGCAGCAAAAGTGCCTCACAAAGGTCAGCAGAGCACGATTTTGGAGGGAGTGAATCGCTAAAATCTGTAGATCTTGGGTTGGCAGGTCATGATTGGTCATCAGATTCAAAGTCAGCTGATTACAGGGTTGTGATTCCCAACCCAAAAGACGAGTCAGAGCTTTGGGTTTGAACTTGAATAATGAATAAATGGAATAATAATTATTATTATTATTATTAATCTCGCCTGACTATTGAAACTCGGCGATTAATCGTGATCTTAAAGAAACGATTATTTGAAAACCAATAAAGAAACAATAACAGGAGGGTAAACTGAAGCTGCTCTTTGCTTGAAAGAAAATAAATCCCTTCGGACAAACCTTCCTCTGGAAAAACATCGAGCAGCCAAAAAGAAGAGTGGCAGGAAGCAGTTGTATTTGGTTAAATTTGGTTTATAAATAATGAGTTATGCAGGATTTTGTTTGTTTTTTTTTTCTTGTTTTTCTGCTGCCAAAGAAAAGTCACCCGTGGGCCTGCGTACAATTCTGACATCAACTCCAGCTGTGTGACTAACACACGTGTGGAGTGGGTGGTTTTGGAATAATTCTACTTTGGAAATCCGTAAAAAATGAATATCACAGTCTGACACATCTGTAACCGGTACTTATGTCCCTTTTTTTTACACTGTTTTATAATCTGATAAGTTTTAAGTGGTAGATATTGTTCGCCCTGTCCTTTTGACTTTATCAAACTGTGCTGCAAAATACTTTGGATGCAAATGCTGACAGATGAATATTTAACACTGTTATTTATAAAACATGGTGATGCAAAAGCCAGTGGAGCAGGTGAAGGAGAATCACTGTCAGAGTCCACAGAGCGTACAGCTGGCCGGTGGCAGGACGCCACGGGGCGGGCTAATGACAGTCCAGACTGAAGTAGGGCAGCTAACAGTGTTAGCGCGCTCAAAATGTTCACCCAGGGGCGCAGAGTGACTAATTCTTACAGTCGCATTTAGACTCTCAGCTGAGGGCGAGTGGCTGACTTGCTCAAGGACTCAGAGGCAGTTCGCAGCGATGAAACCGTTTCTGCAGAATATTAAATCTCTTCATCTGAAGCCCAGTGCAGAAAGTAAATCAATCCTGGAGGGAGAAGAAGAAGAAGAAGAAGAAATAATAATTCCATCTTTCTTTCTTCCTGGTCACTTACAAGGCCCACTAATCAAATTAGTCTTAATTGAATCTTATTTGATGTCATTCATTTGCAAACCAGCCAGGCGTTGCATTTCAACTTCTCACTGGAAAAGAGTAATTCAGCCGTGGACAAGAAGAGGCTTTTATTTCATAACAAATGTGGAGGAGAGCGACTTTATCTGCAGCTGTTTTTAGAGCAGGTTAGTGAGAGATTAGATACAAGATTGGGCTTTGTTTCCTCAGACGCTGCGTTGTACTACATCTGTTTCAGCCCGCAGGCCCGTGGGAGCCCCTGCTGGCCAACTCAGCCACAGTTTGAGACAAGCACTTTCAATAGGCTCTCCCTAAGGCCGGGGAAAATGGATATTGATCTGGAGCCATGACTAAATGGATTAAATTACAGAGTAGTGTTGGTAGCAGGGCAGCGGAGGGAACGAGACGAGAGGGAGGAGGAGGAGGAGGAGGAGAGGCGGTGGAGATGCAGAGAGAGAGAGAGAGAGAGAGAGAGAGAGACAAAAGAAAGCAGGAAAAAAAAACGAGTCGACCGAGAGTCGAGGCTGTTTTCTTTCTCTCTGATTTCTCTCCTCAAAAGCCCACCCAGCAGCCCCTGTGCAATCACGCCACACTCCCAAGCATCATCCTGGTCTTTATGCAGTTACGAGCCAATTGGCTTTGGAGGAATCGGCAGTCAGGGGGATTATCATTTCCCATTCAACCGAGGCTATTGAGCGGCAGAGATGCCAAACGCATGCTGAGAGCAGGAGAAGAAGAAGATGCATCATCACGAATACAGAGACCCAAACGATCCTTCGGGGAGTGTAAATCTGTGGTCGCCGTCAAAGCGGTTTGGAATAAACAGTTAATCAATCTGAAGTCCTCCTCCAGCAGATCTCCTTCACAGCCCTGCTGATGCACAGAGGAGAGATTTCTGAGCGCTCTCCTGTGAGCCCTCCGAGGTTATATTCAGGGGTTCAGTCGTATGACAGGAATAACAAAGAGGGGAGTGTGACCTGCACTGTAAAAACAGAACAACAACACACTCACAGCAGGTCTTTGTCTTTGAAAAATGTCGTTTAAACACGGGACCAACCAGAACATAGACATATATGTTCATGGAGGCATCTATGCTGATAGCTCTAGAATTCAGCTCTTTAAAAAAAGGTTCAAATATTTGAAAGTATAAAAAAACAGACGGATGGTGCAGCTGCTTCAAAAGTGACACCAAAACATTCAGAGCTCCCCCTGCTGACTGGATGCAGGATCATCATAGAGTCCGCCCCCTCCATGTTAACAGGTAATGATCATAACTGTTGAAAACTTTTTGACTTTCTGAGACTAAAAATAACGATTATCTCGTTATTTTAGTAAACGATTGAGAACCTTTTTCTGACATGGAAGCACACATTAATCAGCAGCATCAGAATTTCGCTCTTTAAAAGGTCCGAACACTCCGGGAACGACGCAAATATACGACACAATGTTACGAAATATTTTGAACTGCCTGACTTTACACATCAAGCCTGATGCGATTTGGCAACTTTCAGGGTGGGAAAAGACAAAGTCCCGCCTCCTTCACCTCTGATTGGCTAGGAAAGCTGGAAACGTCATCACACGCTCAAGCCAAACGGTCGGTACTTAAAGCCAATCAGAGGCAATAAGATAAGCACATGAAACTATGGTAACAACTGTTAGCTTATGCTAGCACAGATGAAAGTTCAAACAAAGACGTTTATCAAACTGTTAAAGCTCACAAACCATCGTCAGATGAGAAATCCGACGCTATGACTCTCCACAAGTCGTCCTTCAGGTCGTTCTCTTTGTAATGTTTGTGTCTTTGATCAAAAATCACTCTGTTCTCCGACACGGAAACAATCAGCCGGTCGGCCATGTTGGATATACCGGTGAATCTGACGTCACATCAACACGAAATCTGATTGGTCAGAAGTGGACACACAGTCTGAGAAACTTTAGAAAAATTGACCGTGAAACACAAAAACAAATGCCGCAATATCGCAGGACGGGAAAACGTCGATAAAGTGAACGCTTGTTTTGACAGGATACGGGATCAAAAAAAATATTGACGTCTGAAATGATCGCCTGAAAAAAAAAACGGTCCCGGTGTGAAAGGAGCTTTAAGTTTCTTTATCGGCTCACGCTGGAAATATCTGATCAGTCACGAGTAGTTTCCTCCTCACTCTAAAACTTGTTATGCAACATTTTCCTCAAGATGAAGCCTTACATCTTCATCTTTTAGAACTGCAGACACACACACACACACACACACACACACACACACACACACACACACACACACCCTTCAGGGCAGAGCTCCACTTCATGGACTGGATTGAATATTCATAAAAGACAAAAAAGACTCTCTTGGTCTCTGCAGACACACTGATGTCCGCCCCTGCTCCACATCTGCATTAAAGTGTTTATTGTTGGTTTGTTTGTCGGACAGTTAACGCTCCTTCAGTCCTTCTAATTCTTTGGATCTGCCAACGTCTTTACAACAAGCCTGACCGACGAGTACGAGGAGTGATCTTCTGATGGTAGGAAACAGTCTGCATTGTTCCTCCAGCCTTGGGTGCAGAAATCGTTAAACCCACCGTGAAGCGTAAAGTCACTGCTCCTAAAAACGTGTCCCTTTTTCTCCTGCAGGAGTGACCCCTGAAAGCATGAAATCTGACAGACCAGGGAGGCACAGACTCTGTCACCGCTCATCTCTGGTCTCAGAGCTTCGTGACTCTCTAGCTCCATCTGTTGGGACCTCTCCTCTCTTGTTCTCACACAGGTTTGAGGTTTCAGGATGCAGAAGTTGCAGAGTTCTTGCAAATGTCGGCTGGGATAATGATTTCACAGCAGCAGCCGCGGATTCTTACGTAACGGCAGTAATTCTTCAAACACGCTCGACTGAGTGGACTAATGAGGGCCGGGTCAACCTCCTCATTTGACTTGGGAAACAAGGATTCAAACATCTGCCTGTTTTTCTACATCTGCTTCTATTATTCAGGATCTCTGGGGTTGGCACCTTTCCCAGAATGCACCGGGCAGGAAAAGGTCACCAGTCCGTCTCAGAGCTGAAACACCTGACATCCAGATTCAGAGCTGCTGCGGGCAGAGACGGCGGCGGCGTGTCATGTTCGATCAGGAGAACACAGGTAGCTAACCTCTCTGCTGTCCAGTGACGGAGACGACTGAAATATCGTTAGAGCCGTTTGGATCGTTCAAATGTCAGACGGAGAGGAAATGACACGTCTCATGTTCGCTCTCGATGCTAAACTTTCCTTCAAATGAGGACCGGGTCTAAAAACCCTAAAAAGGAATCAGGGAGCTGAAAACACGGAGCAGAAATGATCCTGCAGAGATTTGGGTAAAAGAAGCTGGGTTCAGATTAAACTCAACTCAAATACAAATTCATTTTTATTTTATTTTATTATCTTTTAGATATCAAACCAGGAGTTATTTTGAGGGATTTTTTGGGATTCATAAAGTTGAAGATATCTCACTTTGGTTTTGAGCGCCTGAAATCAGAGGTAACGGTATCACAGAAGAGAAAAGTCCTATTTTAGTTTTTCCACGTTAAATATTCACAAAAATACACATTTAAACGTCAAAAATCAACAGAATAAGACTTTAAATGTTGGCGCCCCCTGCTTTATCCTCAGGGGGGCGCCAAAACTGCCACAAACCAAAGGTTTCTGACAGGAGCTTTAACTTAAAAAAGTTTAAACAACAGCTGCAGCAAATATTTAAGAGACAGAAAACCATGAAAACGTTTCAAAGAGTGAAATTTATACATGATAAAAGCTGTGATGGTTTCATAATTTGACATCTTTCTCGTCCTCGTGCCTAAAGGGACACCGAGTTCAGCTGGTTTGACTTTTAGTTTGATAGAAATTGATGTTGTGAAGAAGTTAAAGCCGAGTGAACAGTTTAACTCGGATCAGAATTCCTCTTTTTTTATTACTTTTTTATTTTATATTCAGAGCAACATTAAATTTATACTCATTCTGATTTAAGTTTTCAAAGTTTGAGGTTCAAATGTTTTGGTGAAAAAGATTAAAAACGTTGAAAAAAACTGACGAGTCTTCATGATGAAATCCAGAAATCTGTGCTGGTGAGAAGATCCTGGTTGGACTCGTTCTGGTTCGGATTCTGCTGGAAGTGTTTTTGAGGTCATAAAAGTCGTTCAGTTTGAATCCACTCGCCTGCTGCTCTTTTTCACATTTGGAGTTTTAGTTTGCATATTTATTTTGAGTGATATTTTCAGATGGTCAAAGGTCAACGTTTTAAAAAATCACTAACATTCTTATACAGGGTGTTAAATCCAGAGTTTGAGAGCTGTTCTGTCACATGTGCTCTAAACTTCTCACAGTTTCCAGACTTCATTCAGTTATCAGCTGTTGTGTTTATATCCATCCACGTCTTAAACATACTTTAGAGACATTCTCACAGACTCGGTCACCAAAACTGAAGACGTGTCCTCCTCACCTAAACCAGAGGATTCAGAGTCAAGGATGAAGTCCTGAATGTTTTGAAATGATCCAGAAAACCTGAAGCTCCTGTTAAAAAGACGATTTTAAGTTTCTTTCGTTTGTAAAGACGACGTTCAGAAATCTTCTCCCTGAGGTGTGGAGAATTAAAACTATTGTGAACGCTGCAGCAGCAGAGCTCTCTCTAAAAACACAAAATTTTAAAACACAAGCCCACACAGGTTTTTTTTTTCCTTTTTCTGTCAACAGCTGAAAAAGTGCATCAGTGCTGCCAGCTCCGAGCGTTCGTTTTCAAACCTCAGCTGTTTAGTTTTCACAGTAAAGACAAACTGGATGTGTCAGCAGATACACTGATATACTACTACCTAATAAAGTTGATGTACTGGAGGTGGAAGCGATTGCCTTGCACTTCCAGGAGATATTAAGAAACATGATCATAAATTTGGAGTTTTACTCTCTGCAACCTGATGAATATGATTGATATTACAGAACCTGGATTAGTTTGAACTGTTGAGGAGAACAGCTGCACCTCGGAGCTGACACAGACACTCCAACAGTGTCTTTATACAGTTTAGAGCTAAAAAGGATGTTTTCAGTTTATTTTCAAAGTTATTTCACCTTTTCTGCTTCAACAGGAGCTGTGACCGACAGTGAAGACTACTTACCTTCTCGTCATCATCACCGACACATTATATTTGGGATATCACGTCATTTAAGGCTTGAAAAGGAGGGTTTGAATCACGCTTTTATTTATCAAAGCAAAGCAATGAAACAACCAAATATGTAAAAAAAACCTAAAAGAAAAAAAAACACATCGACTCAAATGTCGTCAAATCAAACCGGTTCTTAAAGTCTGTGTGCTGCTGAACAGCTGGTCAAAATGAGGAGGGCTGATGATCTTAAAAAAGACGATATTCATCCACACGGGGAGATGACATTCAACTAAAAAATATAAATACTGCAGCTCCAGTTAAAAAAAAAAAGAAGTAAATGTCTGGACTAATGGGGGTCTGGTGGATCAGGGTTTGAGGCTCTAAAAACATGTTTTCATAAATCAGAGTGTGAAACCGAGTTTTCTCAGTCGACAGTGTCTGTTCATGGCATCAAAGAGAGGAGTAACCCCCATCGCTCTTATCTGTCTGGTCGCATCATGCCCGGCCTGACTGGCATCATCATGGGTCGGGGGTGACGCATCATGTGTGGCGGTCCTGGCATCATCTGCATGGGTCCTCCCATCGGCGGCCTCATGCCTCCTGAAAGTGTCAGAGAGGAGAGACGCCGAGTTATGACAAGCGGCTGACAGTCGGAGTCACAGCAGAGCCGGTTCACTGCTCGCTCAGAGTGACCTTCTCCGACCGCTCTCTTTGACACCGTCTTACCAAACCTTCAGAAACGTCTTTACTCTGCAGGAAATCAGACCTGCTCTTACGTTGGAACATTGAAGAAGAGACCTGAAACCTTGAGTACTTGAGTATTTTTATATTTTTGGTCCATTCAGACAAATTTTAGCCGTTTTAATTGTTATTTGACGTCTTTTAAATCGGCTGTCGTCGTGTGTTTTGTTTTGTGCTTGAATGTATCGTTGCTTATTTTCCTGTCTTGGCCGATACGCTCTATGAAACAAGACTTTCTCTCCTGACAAGCTTCTTCCTGGTTAATTAAAAGGTTGAAAAAGTTCACGATAGCCTGGCAGTCTGGTTGCGCCACACATGCTCTGGTGGTTCAGTTTCAGTTCGACCCTGAGGCCTCTCTTCCTGCACGTCGCTCCCTGCTCTATCCACCGTCTTAAACTCTGTCAATAAAAGGCCAAAGGAGCCTGAAAATCCTCCTTCAAAAAGAATAGTTTGTTTTGCACCGTTATAAAACGTTTAAAAAGAGTAACATTTCCCAAACAAACACTTTAACTTTAATCTGATTCATCATTTCTGACTTGAAACAAAAAAATGTCTATTAAAAGACCGCCGTAGATTCCTGTATGGGAAATCTCTCGTGGATTTACGACAAAAAAACGAGTAAAGAGGGTCAATAAACTCCATCACAGCAGATCAAAACCTGAGCTGAAACAAACTCTCATCACAGATAAATGCTAAACATGATCCAGTTTATCACAGAGATTTTTCCCCGGAGGATTTTTCCTTTTTAGACGACACAAACACATGGAAGAACGGCATTTAAAGGTCTGTACCGATTATAAATACAGAGATGTTTAAAATCAGGAACAAACGCCGTCTGATAAACGAGGAGATGAAGCTGTTTTCTCTTAAATACCTAAAACTGTCAAAAACAAACAGGAAGCGCGTTTCTTACCTGGTCCGCCCGGCATCATTCCATGTGGTGGAGGTCCCATCATCGGCATCATAGGTGGACCTCCCATGGGGGGTGTGGGTAGCATACCTGGTCGAGGAGGACCACCTGTAAGAGAAGAGAGGACCCTTCATTTCCTGTCGTATTTCTTTGTGCTGATCACTCATGTTCATGGATGTGCAGCGTTCTCCGTACATAAAAACTCCTCCCACTTCTCCTTCGCTCATTTAAATACGACTCACTGGGAAAACTCTGATTCTTAACCCGTTTAAACTGGGACTGCATGTACACATTTAAACCTTCCAAGCCGGCTGAGATATCAGCTTTTTGGTAAACCTCAACACTTCAGAAAACCTCAGGATCTGGGGGCCCTTCTCAAAACAGCCCTCAGGATTTGAGAGTCTCAGACAGGGTTCAGGTCTTCATGGGTTAAATGTGAAGGATGACTCCTGATGGTTTGTCAGGATCAGACCCAGAGGCGTTAGAAACCAGGATACAGAAACAGAGAGTCTCGAACTTGAACTCTCGTTTGTTTCTGTCAATCAAACACAGACATGTGAAATAATTGAGTCTGTTTTTATTATCACCAGTTTGAGATTTCACTCTGAACATAAATCGGTTTCTTTGTTGAGTCCACACACGCCGAGCTGCCTCTGTGTTGAAAATGAGCCGTTTCAAAGAAGCCGCTCGTCCCTGTCTCGCTCATGTCTAGTCTAGTGGAACTCCAACAATCTAATTTGGTTGTAATCCGGCTGCAGCGTAAAGCCCTATGAATAATAATACACTCTTTGAATTGTCCTTGATATGGAGGAGTGAAATGCTGACAGCCTTTCACTCCTGAGGACAAATCAAACTTTAATCACATCACTGCGGCGCTGAAAGACGGCGGACTCACCTGGGGGAGGACCACCGGGGAACGGCGTGGGGGGAATCTTTCCTTGTTGGAAGGCGGCCGCTGTTTGGAGAAGAAGACAAACGATTAACACGGGAAAAAAAGCACGAAATGTCTCCATTTCAGAACCCAAGAGGGTCCAAACTCCAGGGTTCCTACACAGGTGGAATTTCCACTTTTCCATACCCTACTTTTTGGAATTATTTTTGGAAATGCCTACTTTTCTAATTCTGAAAAGAGTATTTTAAAGATGTGGTAATATAGTCTGTGAACATAAATGTTTGTCTATACCTTATTTTTCATGTAACATACTTTTTAAAACCTGGAAATTTATCAAATTACTTCCATACTTCGAAGGAACCCTGATATTCTTCTGTATTTGCTGTGGGTTAATTAAAGTATGTTTAATATCCTCAACTTTAAACTCCAAGAGTCAGTATTTAGTCTGTTAGTCGACATATTCATTTTTTCTGGGCTGTTTGCTTTAGCCTTAAATTATTTTTGCATCTGTAACAGGGATTAGTAATCACGGTAAAAGTTAAACTCAAAAGTCAGCAAACTCTAAAGATGCAGCCTTAAAAGTTGTTTAAAAGCGGTTAAAATGGGTTAAAAAGCTGCTCACAACAGAGAGGAATGGCTGGGTGCCATATGACGCTGACACATGCGCACATTAGCTCATGGATTTCATAGAAACACAATCAGACCGAGACGCTAAGACAGAAGAACTACCGCGTCTGCAGAGTAAAATGATTAATATGGTGATTATTACTTTAAGGAAATGATAAAGAAATGATCATAAATGTTCTTCCTTGAGCTGCGGCACCCCGCTGTAGTCCGTAATAGACTGGCCTGAGGTCTCGCTACAAACAAGCATCTGCTGGAAGAGAGTAGGTGAGTTGTGTTTAGTCTCTTTGCTAAAGAAATGAGTCAAAGTTAAAAAGATGTTTGGTGTCTAGTACTATGTCTGTGACCCTATATGTCCTGTTGATGAAGTTAGGTGCTGTTCTGAGCATTATTTGTGGCTATAGAGTGGCGTTTTGGTTGGGGGCGTGGCTCTCTGTATTTCTATCCTGCAGTCGTTACTAAAGTTGGTATAACTAGAGAAGCAAGCGGTCGACAACATTCATCTCTGGAGGGGGGGTCTAACTCGGTGTTACGGTGTTTTTGACCCTAAATTAATTTTATCCCTTTAACTCTGAAACTTCAGCTCATTTTAAAAGTCTTGCACTGAGGGACATCTGTGAGTCTGCTCAGTATCTCTAGTTTCACTCAAACACATTTTCTCTCGTACTTGTTTTATCGATCAGACTCTGGGCCTGCTCCTCCATCCATTTCTGGTAATAATCTTTCACATTTTCTTTGTGTTTTCGGCCGCTGCAGTGAGTCTTCCTCACCGATGGCTGAAAGACAAAAAAACACAATCATCAGTAAGTCAAACCAAAATCTGAATCATCAAACTTTCTAACAGTTATTGGTGTATAGAGATTAAACTCACCGAATCATGTGTCAGGTAGGTGTCGCAGTAATCGCAGTAAAACCTGAATAAAAAGAGAAATGTTAGCGTCTGTTTTAAGGTTATTTACATCTTCAGGGATCAGACTGTCCCGTTAATCAGAGTTTAAGGTGAATTTCCTTCAGATGAGTCTGTGTGGAAGAACTTTACACATAAAAGTGTTTTTTATGGACTTATTTTGTCCTGATGTGTGGATATCTGCAGCTCGGTGAGAAACAAAATCCTCCTTAAAAAGAAACAAGACGACCACCTTAAGAGTACATGTGAGTTTGATTTAATTTATGGATTTAAACAGACAGAAAACAAAAAAGACTCTCTCCATCTTCAAAAATTAACCCTGTTTGACCAACATGGCGCCGTCTATTTACAGGTCTCGTCTTTTAACTCAAATCATCACATTAACTCATTTTTAAAACTCGATTATGAAACATAAAATAATATTTTAATAAGCTGGAAAAACAATAAAAAGATCAGGTTCGTGAAATCTGTGAGAAATACTCATTAAGAGCTCAAACTAAAAAAACAGAAGCTCCGTTAACACCATGTTGAATCCAGCAAATAGACCGATCCCAAACAAAGCTGAGGACGATCATTGTGAATGAAAATAATAAACTCGTCGGTTTTTGAAGTTAATGTTTCATCATTCGGTCTGAAATACAATGACAACTACTCGTTAATTTTGCTTTAACTCAGAAAAATGAGATTTTGAGTGAATTTGGTGAAATCTGAACTTACTTCGGCATGATCCTCCGAGCAGTCTCCACCGACGGCGCGATTCCGGTGTTCCAGATAATTCACTCCCCCCAGATAAGAAGGCTGACTAAACGTTGGTTCCGCCTGAAAAGTGCTTTACAAAATAAATGAAACATTTGACTCTAAATGATTTACTTCACTGAATCAAATAAACAAAAATACAACACTGACATTAATAATGTTTTTTTAATTATTATTTTGTCCTAATTTTTATTTACTTCTTACTTTGGTTCAGATTATATATTACAAAAGGCCAATAGTTTTTTAATGTTAAATCTCTGTGTATTTATATTATTGTTGTATAATAGTAAAATACATTTGCACAACATTAAGGTTGAAATTGGCCAAGTTAACAGATGTTTTTATCAGGTGCTTACAAATATATATTTTTTTCAAATAAATACCCATCTTCATACTGATATATTTAAGAATATGTAAAAATAAATGTGAGCAATGTCAAATATGTTGTCAAATGCAGTAAATTTGAAATAAATGGTGACAAACAACGTTACCACTAAAGCACCACATACTGAACTTCTAAACATGACAAGATGTTTTTCATTTTCTGTCATAAAATATTAAAATTTCTCACAATACAAATACAAACAGGTTCAAAACTGACGAAAAATAGCTTCTCTTCAAAGAACTACGTCAGCCTATGTTTAAAAAATGTTTTATAGCTATAACAGACAGAGAAGTGAGGTAAGAGGAACACAGAATGACTCTTACCTTAAAAGAACTCCTACATACTTATGCATAATTCATGTCCTTCATTATTTATGCATGCCCACAGGTACACAGCTATAACTAAAAGACAAAGACCCCGCCAAGTTTCTGCTCACTTCCTTTAGGATACAGATTTATTTTTAACAACCACAATGAAATAAAATAACAATAAAATGAAGGTGACAGGGATGTTGATCGCTTGTTTTGTGTCTCAAGTTGAAGTGAAGAAAAGGTTCATGCTTTTATTAAGAAAATTCCACAGTTTAAGGGATTTTTGTTTTAGTTATGTCCTGAGGGTTTTACAGATACACTGAAGTTGATTTTTAAAACAATAACTTTTTTTTAGAGCTGTTTGCCTTTTTCTACTCGTATCTAAAAATTGTAGCTAATACCTCTTTTAAAACTTTTATCAGGACAAGAGGTTACATGTATAAGTTAATTTTTGCACAGTCATTACATACATTACATATTGTTTTTAAAAAAATTTTCCTACCTTCAGTAAGTGCCATAACTAAGTCCCCAAACCCATCCGAGACTGTACAGACCCCATACTTTCAAATCACTCCTAAAAACACAACTTTTTAACCTGTGAACTGTTCTTTTATTGTCTTTTCATATTGTGTCTTTTTTAATCTTTTACACTGTTGGTCTTATTACTCAAAAATTTCTGTATTTTAAATTGTGTTTTTTTGTAAAGCGTCTTTGAGCACCTGTAAAAGTGCATAATACATTTATTATTATAATAATAATAATAATAATTATTATTATTATTATCATTAAAGTGCTACTTAAGAAAGATCTGACGCATGAGACACGTTTAAACAAGTCAATATAGCGTAAAATTTGAGAAAATAGGAAATGAAAAATGAATTAACCTCTTATGTATCTGGTGAAAACAGAGTCAGACATAAACAGCCACTAAACATTAAATGCAGGTACATTTTCAGTGTGACCTTTAAATCTCAGATCTAATGTGCCACATGGCTGGTCCACGGTCAAGCTGTTTAAGGAAATATTGATGAGTCTTAACTGCATTTTGTTTTAGCTGCAATCTAGTCCTCTTGCTGCTCTTCTGTCTTCATGTCAGAGCTGCATCGGTGCACATAAGAAAACAAAAGCAACAAATGTATATTAACAGTGTCTCCTCTGCAGCAGCCGCTTTGGGAAGGAAAAAAGACTTTTATTTGGGTATCAAGATCTCAAGAAAACAACCGGAAGAATAATATTATCATCTGTTTTGATGTTTTGAAATCACAAAATGAATCAATCAATAATAGTAATAGTTTAAAAAAAAAGAAAAAAAAAACAACAACAATAACAACAACAACAACAACAACAACAACAACAATAATAATAATAATAATAATAATAATAATAATATGAAACATAAATATAAAAAATAAATGGATAAAATAAATGAATATTAATAAGAATATTCATAGTTCAAATAGTAAATAAACACATTTGTTAAACAATTAACTAAATAAAATAAAATTTGTAAAAAATTACAGGAAAATACATGCAGGAAAAGATCAAGATACTGACAATGGAAAATCACAGCTACTCCTGCAGATGTGCTGTCAATGAGTACCATCGACAGTACTCATCTAATTATCTGTGATAATTCATGTTATCCAGATATATTTTAAAGTCATTCCAGCATTTGTCCGAAAGATTGGGTTTCTTTTCATATTGAACATAATTTTTTCAGAGGCCATGTATGATGAAACTTCCTTAAACCACACTGAGGCTGTAGGTGGGTTTTCACTTTTCCACAACATAGCAATGCATTTATTTCCAGCATTTAGAGATAGCCTAATAAAACGTGTTCTCCTTATCTTATCAGTGGGTAATACAGACAATTCACCAGGCAAACTGTGAATGTCAATTTAGGGTCTTTAAGTCAATACTAAAATAAATCTCTCAGTCACACGAAAGTGAGCTGCAGAGTTAACAGCATGTAGGATATTAAACAGATAAAATTAGACATAATAGTCTCGGTGGAGCAGCAGTTTAAGGAGGAATAAACTATAAATAACACAAAAATACTCTATAAGTCTCTTCTTATGATTGTATGAGAGTGTTAAATAATGTTTGATTCTTTTCCTGGATATTGCTGCTCTAGTATGTTTGGTCGTATAGTGTCTCCAAAAACAGACACTTTGATTGATAAACCAATCAAAAGGGGGCTGCAAATAGCAACAGATGACGTCGCCGCCCACTACGTGATTGGAGAAAGGTGACGTGCGCGCTGTTGCAACGTCAAACATCGTCCCCCTGGTTGTGCCATGCGCACTGGCGGTTGTTGTTGTTGAGCTGGTTGTTATGGCTGGACAAGGCCTCGGACTAAATTAGAGAGGACCCCCCGCACCACCCCCGTCTCTGCCGCGGGACACCCGCCACCCATGGAGGGCACAGACATGGACGTGGACGCGGAGCTCATGCAGAAGTTCAGCTGCATGGGAACCACGGACAAGGACGTCCTCATCTCCGAGTTTCAGAGGCTGCTGGGCTTTCAGCTCAACCCGGCCGGCTGCGCCTTCTTCCTGGACATGACCAACTGGTGAGTGCGGTGATTCATAGGCCTGTCCCGCTAACGTAGCAGGGTAATTGGCTAGTTAGCATTTAAACAACAATTAAAAGAAATTAAACTGAAGACAATCTGAAAAATTCTGTGCTGAGTGTGCGTTCAGGTGCTCGTCGAGCGCTCAGAAATCCCAGTTTTCTGGGTCGTTTTTCCAAAATTTGGTGCGTTCAGGAGCTGTAAGTCATTCTGGAACAACAGGGAGGCGACAGAGATGATGTCCAACGTTGTGTTACTCAAAACTGAATTAAGATGAATTTACATGTAGAGCAGTCTGTCTCTGTAGTACGCGATACACTTTAGTAACAAACTGTTTGATAATATGTGAGTGTATAAAAACTTTCCTGCCGTAAACACATTTACTTCAGTCCGCCACATTTCAGCCCTGTATGGTGTTGTGTCGTAGAATGCACCCCTGACTGGAGAGCGGTTAAAGTAGATAACAAGGCGAAATAATCCAAGTTCTCCCCATCAATGGATGGATTTAAAAGCGTGAATCTTTGAGGTTTAATTCAGATGAACCGAAAACAATAACCATCTGATTTCTAATATTTCCTGTCCCGAAAATAAAATGTTCTCTACTTTGACAGCTAACTGTACATTTAATATACCCAAATACACCTCTATATGTGGATTTGTGAGACACACAAAAACAGAGCAAAGTTTGCTGCTACATTTGACATGTTGTCATGATCAAATACTCGTGTTTTTGTAAATATGAGGTCATTTTGTTCCACTTTAAGAAGCTAATGAGTGGAGGGGAGCAGGGGTGCATTCTACGGCATTACACCGTCTCCGTCAACACGACAGGCTAACAGGTACCAACATATCTCCCAAACTTCACCAACATGTCCCCCAAACTTCACCAACATGTCCCCCAAACTTCTCCTGCTTTTGTTCTGACTTTAATCAGCGTTTACGTGATAATACTCAACCCGACAGCTATTTCTCCGATTACTCTGACAGGACGTAAACGCATCGTCCGTCAGAGCCGTTGGAAACCACAGTCGGTTAACTGGTTTAAATGGTTAAAGTTCGTCCTAACCGTGAGTTTAAAATGAGGTAAAGTAACCCGAAAACTGAGAGAAATCCTACCCACTTTGTTTGCTGTCTAATTTAAGATCGGGGGAACTCTCGGCGTAGATTATCTGCTGGATTACATAATCGTATTCAGAGCCAGTTTAACTCTGAGACTCAACTCAAGGCAGCAGCAGCGGCGCGAGCCCCTTCACTGTGATCGGATGACGTAACCGATCGTGATCTATCAACAGCTGATCAAACCGCCTCTGTGTCTCTAATTAGTGTTTAAATGAGCCTAATCAATCAGTGGTTTATGGCTCTGATTAGATTTAATTTAAAGGGACAGACCCCCCTTTAGAAAGCGGCGTCTGTCCTGTGGAGTCTAAACATAGACTCTAGATTCTAGATTCTTTATACAGTCTATGGGTCTAACACACCAGACTGACACCACAGAGGGTAGGGGAGAGTGGGGTAAGATGATCCACTTTTCATATTTGGGATCAGTCCATCAAGTCAGTCCTAGTTTTGTCTCTAACTCGTGTCTCTGCAGATATTTCAGGATGTTGTTCATCCCTGCAAACCAACAGAATGAGTGTAAACAGAACTGTCATCTTCATAATATAGCAGGACAAAAAAAAGTGGTCTCTTATGGTCAACTTACCCCTCACCTTCTCTCTCCCTGAATAACAGTCACTTCTTCACATTCATGTGTATTTTTATCTATTATACTCTATTCAACTGGTACAATAGTTCCTGTTATTATTATTACATATAACTGCTAAAAACCATTTGAAGATGAGAATGTCTTTAAGTGATTGAGAACATTCACAGATCTGTATTTTAGAAAAGAAAAAGTCAAACATTTCAACAATCTGAAGGTAAACTCTGATCCTCTCATCAGACTCCTTTACTTTCTCTGTTCCCCCTGAACTACTATGATGACTTTATTAGTCCTCCAAGATAAAATGGTGGACTGTTTGGTTTTTGACCTCATGTTGGAGCTGATAGAGACCATGATTGATGGATAAAACTAATTTAAAATGATCTTTTTTGGTCTGAACACAATCCTAATCAAACTGAACTTACCCTTTGGCTGAACTTACCCCAGTCTCCCCTAAATTTCCACAGAAGCGAGTGGAAAAGTTCAGTCAAAGTTTCCTTTTGTTTGTTAAAGGTTTTCAGGGACAAAGGAGGACGTTTTTCTGAGCACCGTCATCCTTGGTTGTTTACTTTTTACAGGACTCGGGATTCCCCCAAGAAAAAGTCACAAACACTGTCTGATGTAATGTGTCCCATGACCTGCTTCTAGGTGTGGACTCGACCTTTATTTCCCTCAGTGGGTTCACTTCAGCTGCGTACATAACTTCCTTTTACAGTCATTTTGATAAGTGTTCAGTCACAATAGTGTTGTTTGTGGGCCTGACAGACTGGAGATGATGTGGTATCGTGTTTCATCAGAGTTTCAACCGCTGTGTCCAAACTGTGCAAATCATATGATTAAAAATACAAGTCTGTTTGTGAGTGTTTACCAAAGAAAAAGGTCTGTGTTGGAGACAGACAGATTCACCGGGTTAATAAATGGCATTCTGACACAACCTGCGTCATACTGGGCTCTGCTCTCACCAGGCAGACATCACGACTATCTTCTCCAATGAAAAAATATATTTGACAGTTTATCTAATTAGAATATTCAGTGGCTGGTCTTTGATATCCAATCCAATATTATATTTACCTTGTATATTTTCTGCTACACCAACACTTATCTAACCATAAAAAATCACACATTTGTTCTAATATTTAAAAAACTGTGAAATTGGCATTATACAGGATATCAACCATGATATCTGCATCAGCCGTCTGTATAGATATAATAAAGTAGCTTTGATTGTTTCTTTACAAAATCAATTTTAATTTCACTCACACTTTAAAAATAAATCAGTAACTAACTTAGAAAATCAGTCAGGCTAACGTTCTGACTAATCTCTGCCTCGTGTGTGTTCAGAGTGACATGTTTCATCCTGTGAGTCTCAGTTATCCTGTCGGTGTTGAGGAGGAGCGTGCTGAAGAGACTGACGTGATCAGATCAGGTTTGGATCTTCATGTGAGACTCTATCTGCAGTCATCAAAACCTGATCAAACACGATTGTTTCTGGACTTTGATCGGGGATTCAAGAAAAAAACCGAGTTTCCCTCTTTGCCTGTGTCAGTTTGACGGCGGGTTATCTCCACCTGTGAGATTCGTCAGGCCTGTTGTGTCGAAGTTCTTCAGAACATCACCTGGAGGCTCATGCAGTTCCTTCACTTTAACCAGATTCTTCAGGCTTTGTGTCTGAATGAACTCGACAGAAACTTCCGGATCGAGCTCAGTCAGAACTTGATTATTACAGACAGAAATGAACCACCAAGATTTTAGAAGATATGTGAACTTGTTCAGAAAAAAAGTGATTCTGAACGATGTTTGGATTAGAAATATTCATCAAACAGTCCCGGTGTATCCCAGATGATGAGAAGAAATCGTGTCTTCACGTCGACTCTGTAGGTTTCATCTTGTAGTCTGATCACACTCAGCGCTCCAATCAGTGCTCCCATCAATCCTAGATAAAAGAGCGGTTTACCGACCTTACGGTTCTTTCAAGAGATCTGCATTAGTGTCAGTCAGCTCTGCACAGAAGACACATAGATTTTAATGTAACTTGTGACCTTTGAGTTTAAACCTTAAGGAGTTTTTTCACATTTGGGGGAAAAAAATCAAAAATATTTTCACGGTAATCTCCCTTTGAGCTCGGACAGTGTACGTTTACAAGGCTGGAAGAGTATCACGAATTATTAGATTTTTTTAAGAGCACCTTTCTCTTCGTTTTGTCTTGAAACAGGAACCTGCAGGCTGCTATAGGTGCATATTATGACTTTGAAAGTCCAAACGTCAACACGCCATCCATGTCCTTTGTTGAAGACGTGACGATTGGGGAAGGAGAGTCAGTTCCTCCAGATACACCGTTCACAAAGACCTGGAGAATACAAAACACAGGTCTGGGGCTCCACACACCACACTCACGTCTTCAGTTTGTACTGTATCATCATCCTTTTTTCATCGACATGTTATTTGTCTTTAACTGAACTCACTTCTGTGTCTTATAGGAGCAGAGTCGTGGCCTCCTGGGGTTTGTCTCAAGTACACTGGCGGGGATCAGTTCGGGCACGTAAACACAGTCATGGTAAAGTCACTAGACCCCCAGGAGATCTCAGATGTGAGTGTGCAGATGAGAAGTCCCACAAATCCAGGCATGTACCAGGGCCAGTGGAGGATGTGTACAGCCACCGGATTATTCTACGGAGGTAGGAGAAGTCCGGTCAGTCTGAGAGCGCCGTCTTTCATTTGAAGGTTTTTCTCAACAGCTGCTTTTGTCTCCGCCTCTTTCCTCCCCAGACATCATCTGGGTGATCCTCAGCGTAGAAGTCGGAGGCCTCCTCGGCGTGACCCAGCAGCTGTCCTCCTTCGAGACAGAATTCAACACCCAACCCCAGCGCAACGTGCAGGGAGACTTCAACCCGTTCGCCTCGCCGCAGAAAAACAAGCACGATGCCACCGACAACAGCTTCAGAGATCCCGGCGGGCCGTGGGAGCGCACGCAGGAGCCAATCCAGCAAGATCAAAACGGACTGTCTCATAATGCTGTAAATAGGGCGTCAAATGGCCTCCAAACCAATCTTTCTGTGGTGACGTATGGTCAGGTAGGTCTGATTCAGATTCAGGCTCTTCAGCTCTTCAGCTCTTCGCTCTCTGGAGCTTCTCTGTTATTGTTTGTTTGTCCAAAACCTCCATGATGGCGGCGAAGAAGCGTTCAGTACTCAGAGTCAGCTGTTTTCAGTGATTGTTTAGTTGGAGAAGTTCATGTTGGGAGTGATGCCCTGTGTCAACAAAACAGTGGAGGTAGAAGCTGTCGTGTCTGAGAGCAGGACGGATATCAGTTAAACACGGTCGCTTTATTTAAACGTTTTCTAGAGGAGTTGAGATCTTTCCCTGAACTGGTGAATCTTTCATTAGTTTTTTCAGGAGAATCAAAAGTGGTTGTCAGTGAAAGCAATAAAAAAAAGCAGCTTTCTGTGGCGTCAGGAGGATGACATATTCAGGTCAGAAATCTCCGGGTTTCCTTTTCCCGATCAGGAGGATCATGGGCTTTTTTTTTAACTGCAAACACGAGTAACTTAGAATGAGAAAGGGTGGAAATGTTCTGTACTAAAACTTGTAGTTCGATCGTTTCACATTGAAGAAGCAGAAGAGCTGCAGTCAACACAAACATTCTGATACCACGTTAGCATACAACAGGATACGGTGTATTCACCAAGGCAACAGCGGACAAGGCTGCTGCATCGAAGTGAGAAACTCAAGGATAAATTTTGTTGATTTCATCCCTTTTTTTTTCCCGCTCTTTGGATCTTCATCGTCAACACTTCCTCTCACCTTTGCAGTTCTGAGTTTGTGAGATTGAAAAGATGACGTGACAGCTGCTGGTTTCACCGCAGACACTCTGACGTTTGTACCTCATCACCGCTGAGTCTCACTGCTCACTGGTTGGTCGACAGTTTTGTGGGTCTCTTACAGCAGAGCGTGTAGAAAAGTGCGGCGAACTCGTCCTGGATCAGGACTTTGTTCACTAGAGCGCTGATACATGTTTTTAAAAAGAGTCCTAAAAGGATCAGGACCCTCTGAAGTTTGAGTTCTGTCCTCAAAGATAATTTCTGCTCCTCTTTAAAAGACTTTCTCACAAACTCTAGTTAGAGGGATGACAGAATTAAATCATTTTCTCATCTTGACTTAAATTTGTTCAGCTGCTCCTTTTACATCGTGAGAAACCTCTGTGGAAGTTTGGTCCAGTTTCAAAGTATAAAAGTGTGAATCTCTTTGGTGCTCCTTCAGTTTTACGTCCGCCTGTTTCATGGATTTTAATCTTAGTTCTGTAAAACCAGAGAGTTCGATTGTATTCACTGAATTAGAGACGTTTTCACATCACAGGAATCACACTTCAGCCTGTTTCTGAGTAGAGATCAGGTTCTGGATACTTGGCGTGTGTCCGTGGTCGTCTCCTCCTGACAGAGAATCCGAGTTGGTTTTTGGTGAATCCAGATTCAGGACCAGTTCTAAGAGGCGTGGACAGATCTGAGCCGCGTTTAGGGTTTGAAATGTAACTCCATTTTCAGAACTGCAGGAACGTCTTAGTCTGCGGTTGTGGCTCCTGTGATCCTGTATGACTCACAGTAACAAAGATGACCACACATCCAGAGTGATGGAGACGTGTGGAAGGAGCTGAGCAGGTCGATGGAGCTTCTGAAGTAGAGCTGGGCGATATGGGCGATAAGTTTATCACGAAATATTTCTGCGATATCAGCTGATATCGATCAATATCAGGATATAAAAATCTAACAGTGTTTATTGGTCTCATGTCTTTTCCAACACAATAATCTCCTGCATCTGTGAGGTCTTTGTGTCTCTTTGGCGTTTTGTCGTAAGGCGTCGCTCTAGAGAAAGCCGACTGAATGGTCGTCTGTTTCAGGCGCCATGGGCTCCTCGCTCCTCTCGGGGTTTGTAACCTTTTGCGTTGCGTGTGCTCTGCGGCGTGGCGCTGCTTCAGGTGGTGAAAAAGATTTGAGGTATTCCCCGACTTTGTGAGAACATGTACTCGACATAATTTACAGTCCACATTACTCTGCTTCATGTCCGACCTCCAAAAACCAAAATACCTCCACACCACCGACGTTTTCCTAACGCCAGTGTTGTGGTTGACATTGATGTGGTCATCTGTTGAGCCTTCATGGTCATTTCTGTCGGGGGTAGCACTCATTTTCTTTGTTTCTCACCAACAGTGCTGTCGGCTTCACCTGTTAAAGTGCTATGGTTGGGTGGAGCTGCTGTCTGCTACGACACTGCAGTTGGTTGATACTTGGTTCTAATTCAGAACATGATTGGTTCAGACCCGGAGACACTCCCCTTTTCATTGGCTGTTCGTATAGTCGACCAAAACATGTCAGAATGACGACTATCTAGAGGCATATTGATCGTGTTTTATATTGATATTGAGGGAAATTGATTTTTGATAGATATGGTTATCGTTTTATCGCCCAGCCCTAATCTGGATGTTTTTTATTTCTGAGTTTGTCTGGTTCAGGTTTAAGAAAGTCTGCACAACAGGAAGAGAGTGTGAAGGGTGAAAAGATGTTAAACCAGCGTCTGTAATGATCACAGTGACTCCTGCACAGAGGATGGACAGAGGGTCATCTGTGAGCGTGAACTCAGACTGAGGGTTTGATGTTGGCGTGTACATCTCTGTCGTTAACATTCATTTGTTTACGTTTTATCGCTGAATCGTTTTCCCAGGAATCAGAAAATGTCGCTGCAGCTTCTTCAAATCCAGTTTACAGGCTCTGTGGAGGAAACGCGGTGACGTCACTGCATGTCCGTCCCAGTTAAACGCCTCTTTACACAGTTGAACCGTGTTAATCTCTCAGGTGGGGCAGCAGCATAATTGTTTTACAGCAGCAGCTCCTCATACCTGTCATAGCTGAGCCCTGACTCAGACGTTTGGTTTCTCCTCGGTGGTTAAACTGGACTGTTGACGGCGCACACTTAAAGCATTAATCCACATAGACGTTGACACGGCTGCTTCCTACATGACCTGCAGGTTACTGTCTTTAAACGGATGACGACCGCAGACGGGCGTCTGTGCAGCTCTGACTTCACACTGTTTACTTAAATCAGGGTCCAAGTAAAGAGGGAAACCAGAACCAAGTTAGTAACCTACTCGCTGCAGCGTGATTTTAGGAGGCTCTGAAAGGGAAACAAGGTTGGAATGGTTCTCCTGCGTGTCGGCTTTCATTACAGTCAACTCTCCGTTTCTATGCAGATGCTCTTTCTAGTACCGTATGTTATTGCCACCCTGCCAGCTGCATGTATTGTAATGGAGAACAGCCTGCAGTGTCAACAATAGGAGTTCGATCCCCACGGCGAACTCCTCTGCTGACCACGTTTCTACTTCAACTACGTTTTTCTTTTTAATCCGTCAAAACTTTTTCTGAAAGTGTTTGATTGAAAAAACCAAAAGAGGGAGAAGAGTGTTAGAGAGCAGCACTATTAGACTGGTCCACTCCGGTGTGTACGAGGTTAATAATGTGTCGATTATTGTCATTTATGGAGTCAGAGAAAACACAGGATAGCACCGTTTTTAAACTCACCGGAGCTTTGACATCTGTGCTGTTTGAACACACCTGCACATGTCATAAACACTGATATAGAGACATCCATGTTGGCCTGTAAAAGCTCTGGTTATTATGATAAAGGAGTATCTTATAACTTTGCCCTAAAATTCACTTTAAACCCAAAAAGTCGCTGCGAGACGACGTCCTTCACGTTCATGTTATTGAGATACGTCAGCAAAGCCCAGAGGGAGTTTGATAACAGAGTTTATTATTCATCTGAGTGCCAGCAGTGATCAATACATGGAAAATCCCCCCTCACATATTAGTTATTATGGGAAGGGTCCACTAAACCTGATACTCCACAGAGAGACAGATCCTCTCTGTCAGATCTGCTCTTCTGACTTCTGTTTGTTGGGTCGGGTCTGCAGGAGTTCTGAGCAGCAGTCAGTGTTTCTGTGTTAATATTAGTCCGGTGTGTGTGAGGGTGTTTGTCAATACAAACACAGAGCGGAGTAAAAATAACACACAGGACTTGGAGAGGAGAGGAGAAACTTTGATCTGTATGAGTTTGTAAATGTCCAAGAGTACAATCTGAAGAAGAACTTATTTATCCTCAAAAGGAAATTCAATATTATAGTCAATTTGAATGAATGAATGAATGAATGAATGAATGAATGAATGAATGAATGAATGTTTTATTTCGAACATGCAATAAAGGAAACAGAGTATAGGTAGTAACCATACACAAACACATGCATACTATAAATAACAGGAAACAAAGATTTCTGTCAACGACCTGCAGCTGAGCTACATGTTTGAAAAGGTTCAAACTTATTTAATCCTTTTATCAACAGTTTCTATCGTGATATTTTAACCTCACATATTTATAATGTTTAAACTCGGTCATAAACTTAATATTTCGAACACAAAAGGATGATCGTGTCCTTTACTAAGTGATCATATCTGAGAGACTGAAGCTCACCTGAGTTCAGGCAAACGTAAGAATGAAGTCAGAGTGAATGGATGAGGCTGTTTGTGTCACACATGAACCTGAAAAATGTTCAGAGATCTTCAGGTAAAGAGAGACGGAGAGAGTTGGTGGATTTCTTTCCTTTTTCTAAAATCTTCAGATTAAATAAAAGTTTATCTTCATTATTCTTTAACTTTTAGTGAGTCTTGTCCATGTCTAACAAGCAAACTTACTTTTATATCTTATCTTGGAAACTTAAACAGCTGTAACACCTCTGCGTCTCCTTTTTCACACTGAAACCCTCTGACCATGAAGCTCAGTGTTCACTGCACTGTTGTGTGTTTACACTGACCCGTTCATCGGTGTCTTCATGTTAGTTTTTTATTTTTTGTGGTGTTGTAAAGTTTGTGTAGCAGGTGAGATGCTCACATCTAACTCTCTAATAAACAACCAGATATCTGTAAAGAACAGTAGTGGGGGGGGCGACCATATTCTGAATTCCCAAAAAGAGGACACGACTGGAGTCACGCGCTGTAAATTCAGAGAGTTTTTTTACGCGCTTCTAACTCAGTTACCATATTTTTCGCACTATAAGGCGCACCTGATTAAAAGGCGCACCATCAATGAACGCGTCTATTTTCATACATAAGGTGCACCAGATTATAAAGTGCATTAAACCAAACAAAACAGTCAGAAAAGTCAAACTTTATTTAACTCAGTCAGTAACTCTGCGAGGGTACTGTAGCTGCAGCACTCCGACAAGCCAAAAGGATTTTAAGTGCGCCTTATAGTGCGAAAAATACGGTAGTCCACGGTACAAAAACTCAAAACTTCCATACTAACCGCGGACACTTGAAGGATTTTATAAACTCCCCCCTGACAACGCTGGACAGCCCCCCAAAAAGAGGACATGTCCGGGTAAAAGAGGACGTATGGTCACCCTGACAACAGTAGGAGGAGTCATCTCTCCTCTGATCCTCCTGCTGCTGTTATCCTCCAGATAGAGGAGATTATGGAGGTGATGTGAAGTGTCAGGGCTGTATGAATAAACATATTCACTTCTGAAACACCAAAACCCCGCGGAGACACCGGTCTGCTGCTGTTTTTTCTTTTGGACGTCAGAACTTTGTTACTGTGATGAAGTTGGAGGATGAACACGGAGCTGAAGGTGGTTATATTCTCGTTACCTGCTCCTCCTGTCTGTATCTGCTCCACAATAACTCCATTGTAACTCGTGTTTTCTCGTTATTTCCAGGGTATTCATGGACCCTATCCGTTTGGACAGAGCTAGAACGACAAAGACCCCCCCTACCACGGTGGATGATGAGAGAAACACCCTGGGAGTCCTTCAACACAGAGGAGGAGTCAGAGGGGGGGACGAACTGTTGTTTTCTATTGACTCATGACGACCCTCTCCCCCCCGACCTCATGGCCCTTTCCACACAAACACAAACTACAGTGGGAGGGGGGGGAGGGGTGGATGACGACACCACCCTACCTGACATCAACACCTGGACTCGCATGTGTGAATGCTTCATTAAAGAGAGCTACAAACCCTGAAAAAGACGAAAACACCCGACGATTTTTGTTTCACCTGTAAGAAAACGTCTGAAGGGAAAATCCACCCTCTCACCGTCAGGGTTCAGACACGGGACCGTGAGACAAAACGCAAAAAAACACAAACAACCCTGAAAAAGATTCACTGAGAGATTTTAAACTCAAACCGATTTCCTCCTGGGTGAGAGTTTAGTCCCAGCTCCACTGCTCCAAATAACCAGCCGGTCTACAAGTACGACGAGCGGTCGAATCAGCCGCCACAAATTACTGTAACCAATACTGTACGGCTTTATTTGGAGGTTAATCAGCATTTCTACGGTTACAAATAAACGAATTATCACTGACTGTAATGACCTTCATTTGTTCAGTTGAAGCCAGAAGAGATTCAGATTAGTGATAATTTATCAAATCAGAGATGGATATTTGATTTAAGGGAAAAAAAAGTTTGAAATTCCACTCTTAAAATTTCTGTGTTTTTCCTTTTATTTTAACATGCAGGGACTTAATCAGAACTTTAAAGATTTAAATTTGGAGCGTTTTCAGAGCTGAGCTGTAAAGTTTTTGATTCTAAAAGTTTCTAAAAATGGAGAAAACAGGAAGTAATAGTCAGTTTACATTAAAAAATAACCCGTGGGAAATGCAGTAGTTGGAAGATGACGATGAAGAGTGGCTGAGGTTTACAAAACGTAGAAACGGAGGATCGTACTCGTCATCACACACTAAAGCTTCCTGTCCTTTAAAGGCCACCATATTTTCACAGACGTGAGGGACGAGCGAGGGAGGGGTTCATTTCTTCACTCTGCACTTTAAAAAAAGCCACAGTTGTGTTTAGTTTTTCTTTAAATAATTGTATTTTTATTTATTTTGTTGCTGAGAAGGAGGACAAAGTTTCGCAAACGTTTAACATTTTTATTTCAAAAGTTTAAAAAAAAGTTAAAAAACAGACAAAAATGAAGAATTAATGTCCTTTTTTTCCAGACACATAATAAAACTGTGAAAAAGAAACAAAAACACTACAGTGATCCCAGTTTTCAGCCTCTATTGTGATCGAATGTAAGATCAGTCAGTATCATAACATGTCATGTAGTCGTTGGTTAAACCCGACATGAACTTTCAGATTTTAAAGGATAATCCCACATTGTCACAGATTATTAAACGTCTCCTCCTGACCCGTGTGTGAACCCGATCACTCTTACAGATCAGACGAAGCGAGACACTAACGGGTTCTTTCAGGCGACACAGGAAGTGAGTTTTTTGTTAAAATTTTGGGTGGATTTTCCCTTTAAAGAGTAAAGTGAGTGAACGAGAGGTCGGAGGAGGAAGGGTTGAAAAAGCCATTTAAATCTATTTTGCCTGATGTGTGACTGCTCTGAGTCGACATGTCAACACGAGTGTGTGTGTGTGTGTGTGTGTGTGTGTGTGTGTGTGTGTCCCGTATATGTAAGAGTGTGTGTGTGTGTGTGTGCGTGCATGTGTGTGTGTGTTAAGGTTTCTCTTTGGATTTAACTGACATTGTAAAGGTGTTTATGCTACTTGGGCAAAGGATGAGGTGTCTGTTCACGAACACATCCAGACTGCGTGTGTGTGTGTGTGTGTGTGTGTGTGTGTGTGTGTGTGTGTCTCTCTGAAGTATTGTTGAGTGATTCTGCACTGACTCACGATTCGCCATTTTCTTATTTATTTGCTGTTTTCTCTCTTTTACCCCCCCCACCCGCCCCGCCTCCCCTGGTTGCTTCCAGTCCCGTTCAAAGCCAGCAGGTGGTGCTATAAATCAGAAGACCAACCTTAAAACTTGAGATTCACATCATGCTGAGTTCTTTGCCAGGAGAAAGTGACGAGTAGTGGTTTGATTGAAGTGAGATTTGAGTCTGGAGATGAATGGTTCACATCAGGATTTGCACTGATGTCCTCTTACTGCTATTTGCACAAATCTGTTCATCATCCCTGAAAAGGAAATGTCGTTTTTTTTTATTGTTTTCTTCCACTCATCACCCTCTCCTCCCTGAAGGCCTTCGCAGCTTTAAAGTTTGTTTTCATCATGGGTCTTAAACTTATGTCTGATCTTAGAAACGAAGATCCAATCGTGTCATTTAGGTTTTTGCACATCATCTCTCTGTCTGTCCGTCTGTCCGTCTGTCTGTCTGTCTGTCCGTCTGTCCGTCTGTTTGTCTGTCTGTCCGTCTGTCCGTCTGTTTGTCTGTTTGTCTGCGATCACACCTGGATTTTAACCACAGCTTTGCCTTCTTCATTTTGTTCCTCGGTTTGTTCATCGTGTATTTTGGGCTTCAAAATAAAAGTGGGAAAATTTGATCATCGGACTCCATGATAGTGTTATATTTCTTCACAAAGAGTGTGTGTTTTATTTTTTTATGTGTCTTTCTCTGAGTGGAGTTCATGACAGTCTGTACAATTCACCAGCCTTCTGTATTTGTTTTAAGAGTCAGCTGAAGTCCTCCTCCCAAACAGTGTACACTCTTCCCCTCTGCTCCTCTGAGTCACAGCAGTTTCATCTGTGTGTGTGTGTGTGCGTGTGCGTGTGTGTCGGCTGGTGAGAAATCTGAACACTGCTGGATTCATTCTCTAGTTTGAGTTTGTGAGTGTGTGCGGGTTCGAGACTGGTGGTGGCCTGGTGAGTGGATGAGCTGAAAGTTGACATAGTCCTAAAATAGCACATTTATCTGAAGAGAAACTGTCAAAATAAAAGCTTTCCCCTGTATCTATAATGAAGCATTTGTATGATTAAATTAACACTGAAATAAGGACTATGGTGTCTTCTTCTTTATGAGCCTTTACTGTAGACAGTTCAGGATAAATCTCTGTGTATGACTGACATGATCATCTGTGAAATCTTGGTTGACTTATATTCAGGAGACTTTGATTAGATTGAGTTTAGCTGAAACTTAAAGTTCATTTTATGAAGTATGCTGGAGTAGACGCTGTTTCCCTCCTGTTCTCTGTGTTTTATTCTCTAAATCAGTTTTCAGTGTTTCCTATTTTATTTTGTAGAAGTTGATTCCTTGTGTTTTATTTTGTAGGAGCTGATTCCCTGTTTTATTTTGTAGGAGTTGATTCCTTGTGTTTTATTTTGTAGGAGTTGATTCCTTGTGTTTTATTTTGTAGGAGCTGATTCCCTGTTTTATTTTGTAGGAGTTGATTCCTTGTGTTTTATTTTGTAGGAGTTGATTCCCTGTTTTATTTTGTAGGAGTTGACTCCTTGTTTTATTTTGTAGGAGTTGATTCCGTGTTTTATTTTGTAGGAGTTGATTCCTTGTGTCCCTAGTTTTCCCTCCTTCGTTAATCACCCATCAGTCTCACCTGTTGCTCGTTTACCTGTCTGTATGTGTGCCACCATTTTGGACACACCGATCTAATGTGAGTTTTATTGATCAGCTGGACTTTTACAGGTGTTGTTTTTTTTAACAATGTAGTTTTGTTTTACTTTATTTAGACATTTACACTGACAATTTTAGCTTTGGATAAGTTTTCATGTTACGTCCAAAAGTCGATTAGTCTGCTTTGGGTTCGTAAAAACACGATAAACTTGTCTGATCCCAAACCATTGACTGAAGATGAGACGATATTACTGACTGTTTAAAAATCTGTGAAAAAAGGAAATTGTATCTGGAGTTAAAGTCAAAGTCAAATATATATATATATATGTTTACTGCATGATATATGTTTATATATGATCAGCACGTTGACTTTAACTCCAGATATAATTTCCTTTTTTCACCGTCTTTTAAACAGTCAATAATATATATATACATATATATATATATATATATATGTACACTCACCGGCCACTTTATTAGGTACACCATGCTAGTAAAGGGTTGGACCCCCTTCTGCCTTCAGAACTGCCTCAATTCTTCGTGGCATAGATTCAACAAGGTGCTGGAAGCATTCCTCAGAGAGCTTGGTCCATATTGACATGATGGCATCACACAGTTGCCGCAGATTTGTCGGCTGCACATCCATGATGCGAATCTCCCGTTCCACCACATCCCAAAGATGCTCTATTGGATTGAGATCTGGTGACTGTGGAGGCCATTTGAGTACAGTGAACTCATTGTCATGTTCAAGAAACCAGTCTGAGATGATTCCAGCTTTATGACATGGCGCATTATCCTGCTGAAAGTAGCCATCAGAAGTTGGGTACATTGTGGTCATAAAGGGATGGACATGGTCAGCAACAATACTCAGGTAGGCTGTGGCGTTGCAACGATGCTCAATTGGTACCAAGGGGCCCAAAGAGTGCCAAGAAAATATTCCCCACACCATGACACCACCACCACCAGCCTGAACCGTTGAAACAAGGCAGGATGGATCCATGCTTTCATGTTGTTGACGCCAAATTCTGACCCTACCATCCGAATGTCGCAGCAGAAATCGAGACTCATCAGACCAGGCAACGTTTTTCCAATCTTCTATTGTCCAATTTCGATGAGCTTGTGCAAATTGTAGCCTCAGTTTCCTGTTCTTAGCTGAAAGGAGTGGCACCCGGCGTGGTCTTCTGCTGCTGTAGCCCATCTGCCTCAAAGTTCGACGTACTGTGCGTTCAGAGATGCTCTTCTGCCTACCTTGGTTGTAACGGGTGGTTATTTGAGTCACTGTTGCCTTTCTATTAGCTCGAACCAGTCTGGCCATTCTCCTCTGACCTCTGGCATCAACAAGGCATTTCCGCCCACAGAACTGCCGCTCACTGGATATTTTTTCTTTTTCGGACCATTCTCTGTAAACCCTAGAGATGGTTGTGCGTGAAAATCCCAGTAGATCAGCAGTTTCTGAAATACTCAGACCAGCCCTTCTGGCACCAACAACCATGCCACGTTCAAAGTCACTCAAATCACCTTTCTTCCCCATACTGATGCTCGGTTTGAACTGCAGGAGATTGTCTTGACCATGTCTACATGCCTAAATGCACTAAGTTGCCGCCATGTGATTGGCTGATTAGAAATTAAGTGTTAACGAGCAGTTGGACAGGTGTACCTAATAAAGTGGCCGGTGAGTGTATATATATGTATGTATTTATGTATATATATGTATGTATTTATGTATATATATGTGTGTATTTATAATGACATCCTTAAAGACTGGAGTGGGTTATTTTCCCCGTGACTTGTACTCTTCCACAGAAGACGTCCAACAACACAACGATCAGGTATCAGTCCGTTACATGATAAACACACAATTATTTCCAAAGAGGTGTGAGCACAATTTGTCCCGATGTTTGAATCATCGTGTTTGTTTAGCGATGACAAACTTCCCTCCTTGTGCATTCAAAGATTTCCAAGGAGAGGATTAAGAGGTATCTGTTACTGGGAACGTTTCTGCAGATGGATTTCACTTCCTCCTCCTCCTGATCCCTAATCTTCAAATTCATCTTTCTTCTTCTTTTTAGACTCAGACCTGTTTTATTTCCTCTCTGATGATGTGTCTCTAAAAACTTTTGCATTGTCTCCAAACAGAGTCGCTCTCGGTTCAAATGAGCCACAGATTACCTTCAGCCGTGCACGTATATTGTATCTGTGTTTATATTAGATGAATGGTGTGTGTGTGTGTGTGTGTGTGTGTGTGTGTGGGTGTGGGTGTGTGTGACGCCCCGCTGCATGCAGGTGGTGAGCACTGAGGCTCTGATGACTTGAATGGGGCTTGTGTAACATGGTGTGACAGGGTAACTGAGGACAAATATTGACTCTCGAGTCAGCGTCGAGTCTCAAAGCTCCAATTATATCTGTGATCTCTCGCAGCGCTTGAGTCAATAGGTTTGTTTTGATAATGATGGGTAACTGCTCATCATCATCATCATCATCATCATCATCATCATCATCATGGCTGTCGAGTCAAACAGGCCTTCAGCTCCAGGCTGGAAGAGTAGGAAAGTGAAGGAATGAAAAAACAGCATTTTTGACCTTTAAGGAAAAATTCAAGACACGACTGATCATCGTAATAAATCTCTGTGTTTGTCGAAGTAACTGTAGAGACGGCCAGAGTTTACTTATAGTGAGTTTAATGTGAACAAACAACAATAATAAAAGGGTTTTAAAATCCCCTCACATCCGGGACGTTACATTGAATCGATGAAAATAAATGACGGGAATAAAACCCTTAAAAAAAAAACTGTGTCCGAAGTCGGAGGCTGCGGCGTTTGAAGGTCAAATGCGTCGCATGTCCAACGCTGTGTCCAAGAAAAGTGTCCGACTTTCTCTAAACCGTCTTCATCCTTCATGATTCAACCTTTCCTGTCATCCATGATTCTCAAACCGCCCGATTATGTTGTCACTCAGTACGTTTCCATGACACATTTAAGAAAACCGAATTATCGCCTTATTCCGATTAAGACCGGACAACTGAAGTCCAAGTAAACACCTTAGTCTGACTATAATCAGAGTTTGAGAACTCTGATTGGAGACGGAGAACTCCGAGCTCTGAGGGACAAAGTTTAAAAGACATTTGAGAGTTAAAATGATCAGAAATAAAACTGATTTTTATGGTTTTTAGATGATTTTAAACCAACTATGTCCAACAGGTTAGTCACATGACACATGAGCGGGAATCGCTGCATGGAAAGGACAACTGGACTTAGTTGAGAAGTTTGGCCCACAGAGCTACATCTGCCAAAAAAAACAACATTTCTGCTAGAGGAGGATGAACGACGAACATGATTCAGGATTCATGGAGTAGAAATAACCGAGCGCCCCGTCTTTGAAGCGCTGCGCCGGTCTTCCTCTAACCAATCAGAATCAGAGAAGTAAAACAGTAAATGACGTCTGTCTTCTGCTGACATTAAAGTGGTAAACGAGTTTTACCGTTCATGATGGGTCAACTTAAATATCCGACTGACGTTAGCCTGTGATCTTTTTCACTGACGTTTCACCCAAAAAGAATCGAATTTTAAAAGAATCAAAATAGAGAATCGTTTGGAACCAGAATCAAAACGAGGAATCGGAATCAGAACCAGAACCGTTCAAATTGAAACGATGCCCAACCCCGGTCCATGAGGGCTCGGTCCTTCTGGATCAGAACACAGCTACAGTCTCCCTCCTCTTGTTTGGTTTAGTCAAAAATAATCATTTAAAGGCACCTGAAACCCAACGATGTCAGGCGCCATATTGCGAACCTCGTGTTTTTACCAACTTCTGAAGTCGAAAAAAGAGGAAGACAAGCTAAAAATACATCACTGATGATAAAAACTTTAATATGTTTTAGACGTACCACACTGAACCTCAAATCATCGTATTGTCCTCACCGCTCTCATCTGATCCATCTCTTCAAGTCTTGGGAGTGCGTTCTTGTGACCGGCTGAGTCAGCTGAAGGTCGCTCAGGTCACTTATCTCCTCGTGAGGGCGACACGTCGACCAGCGACAGAGGCGACGTCAGTTTAATAGCTGACATTTGGAGTGATTATAGAGCCGGGTCAGAGTCAGAGACAGGAAGCAGTGTGGTGTTTTAAAGCACCATCTGGTTAATAGAGGCTCTTCAGACTCGGATGTTTTACTCTGATTAGATTAGAGTTTATATGTCAGGGTGGGGAGCGCTCAGGGCGTCGTAAAACAACCTGAACAGGAGCCAAACTTTTCAGGGAAGAGGTTTTTAGGACAGTGACGCGACAGAGAAAATACGGCAAAGAAAGTAAAAACTTTAGCTTAAAATTTCCTTAAAAGAAAAAGTTCAGAAGAATTTTCATCAAAACGTCTTAAAGAGTCATAAATCTTTAATGTTGAAATTCATCCAAGTGTGGATTTGACAGTTTTATTCTCTAATCTGACATA